TTGATTGGTTTACCAGTCCTTGCTATAGAATTTTCATTATATTATAGTTAATGTTTGCATTTAAAAGGACACTCCGAGCTCCACACTTGGCTCCAGGTTCCAGGGAAATTGAAAATACAATGCACAACCTAATTTGGGCTGTTTACAAAATGAAGTTCAAAAAAGCAAACTGAAATGAGAATAGTGGATACTTTGCAATTATTTCTGGTCATCGTTTACATATTCAAATGTCAATAAACCACTTTCTAGTGCTAGTAAAATAAATCACAAAATAAAGCATTTCTTCTTAGGAAATCGGAATGTGGCACAAATTCTCATGCAATTCTAAACCACTATAGACAAGAGGTAGTTACAATCTTTTTAATATACTTCAGATAATGCATCCAAAATATTAATAAACTACCTTCAGAGTTCCTGGAACTTCTGCTAATACTCGGCAAGCTGGCTTTCCCCTGCTAGACCAGGAAGTGCCTCCACCAATCACAAGCCTCTTCTTCTAGAACTGTTTTTTCTTTCTTTTCCTATGAACCCCTGAATGTATACACAACGTTTACCAAGTTTGGATGACAAACACAGAGTAAAATATTCTTCTCTGCTGTAAACGTCTGACGGTAAACGGCTACAGAGACTTTTGTAAATCGCTGCAGTTATAAGTCACTCCATGCAGGGAGACAGAGACCTTGGAAATCTATAAACCATAACTTAAATAATAAGCTAAGCTTGCTATTGTAAACAAAGAATAAACCTTAAAATATGTTATTTACAAGCTCTCTCTCTTAAACAGCTGGAGGGACCCTCAATGAGTCCAAGAGAAATCAAGGAAGGTTATCCCCAGAGATTCCTCCAATGTGAAGAGGGTCTGGCAAATGTTTGTCCCAAACAACTGGCGTATGAGGGTCCACAAAGAACCTCGTTTAAAAAACATAGCATCCCCAAAAGCCCTCCTCTTCTTCCTCCATCCCTTGTGCGATGGTTGGAGGATTTTCAAAATAAAACCTGATGGATTACTCCTATCACTTCCTCCATCGCTTGACCAGTGATATCGGGAACTGCGGTAACGGGATATGGGAAATATTAGACAAAAATAGCTGAAATGAAAATTCAGTTGACTTGTAGAAATGTCTCAGTTTGGATATGGTTTAACCCCCTAAGGACACACGACATGTGTGACATGTCATGATTCCCTTTCATTCCAGAAGTTTGGTCATTAAGGGGTTAATGAACAAATCCAAACATATTTCTCCTTGGATCATCTTTTTATGACCTGCACAAGGTATTCCATTCCAAAATTTATGGAACTTAAATAAAGAAAAGAAAACAAGCAAATGTTATCTCACATACATTGCACTTGGTTGGAGATTTCCTATTGGTATTATCCCTGCTTAGACATGTCCGAAGAATGCTAGCAGTCTATAAGAATGCAAGGTTTGCACGAACAAAGGTAAAAGACAAATGCCAGCATGTTACAGTGGCCAACGCAACGTGAGGGCTGAGTCCTGGATAACAATACAAGCCTTTCCCAAACTCTCCTGATTTAGTTAATTGCAGTCTGGAATAACTCACATTTACAGCTGACTTCTCTGACCTTGGGAGCTACAGAAGTCAAGCTAAAAAAATGAACAGGTAAACCCATGTCTAAACCAAAGTCTTATTAAAACCGTCCCATCCCTCCCACTATCTGAGTCAAACTGGAGGTAGCTCACAGAATATTCTTGAGGAATACCAACGAGTAAATGGAAACGTTTACTAGTTGGTGGTTAAGAACTGTTTGTAGGGCTTCCAATAGTAAGAGAATTGAGAAACCTTTGATGCCGTTTTCACACCTATTTTGACTTGTTACATTTTCCAGCTCTGCTGTGACCCATCGCGATGTACTGTTTAGTGAATAAACCATAATGATTCCGTCAGTGTAAGTCCCTGATAATAGCTGCACGTCACGGAGGAGAGTCTTGTTATTAGTCTTAGGTTACAGAGAATTCTGCTATTACCTTTCTGTATTTACCAAGCGGGTAGAACTGTGTTTGCTCAGGATCAGCCTGTGTTTAAGCACAATATCTATGTGGGCTCTTTTAATGATTTCACAGTGTGGAACGGATACAGTTATTGCATTCGGCAATTACCCCAGGGAAACCCCGTGACTATCACTTATTAGGCTTATTCTACTGCTACGTTTAGTTATTTGGGTAAAATAGAAGAGGGTTTACTCACTAAATCAGGATTAAACAAGAGAACGGCAAATTTTCACAAACTAACAAACAAAGCATAAATTCTAAATTCTACAACGTGGCTATTATTCCTTCTTTCTACTGAACACTAGTTTACATCCATATCATTTCTCCACAATACTACGGAATATATCCCATAATATGTCTGCAAAACGTTGTCAGAACTCATCATTAATAATGAACTTTACTCCACATTCCTTTCTATAACTGCTATATGTTGTGTGATGTCTACATCCTTTATGGAATAATACACTCAGAAATTCGCCTGTTGTACAATAACACAGAATATGTTGGGATGTTTTAAATAATAATAATAACGCTCTGACAGTGCATAATAACTGCACAGCTCGGGTTTTCTGCAGCCCATAATGCTTCACATCTAAAAAATTTATAGATAGATCGATAGATAGAACATTAGATAGACAGACAGATAGATACACAGACAGATAGACAGATAGATAGATAAATAGATAGACAGACAGACAGACAGATAGATAGATAGATAGATAGACAGATAGATAGATAGATAGATAGATAGAACATTAGATAGACAGACAGACAGATAGATACACAGACAGACAGATAGATAGATAGATAGACAGACAGACAGACAGACAGACAGATAGATAGATAGATAGAACATTAGATAGACAGACAGACCGACAGATAGATAGATACACAGACAGATAGATAGATAGATAGAACATTAGATAGACAGACAGACCGACAGATAGATACACAGACAGATAGAGAGATAGACAGATAGATAGACAGATAGATAGATAGATAGATAGATAGATAGATAGATAGATAGATAGATAGACAGATAGATAGATAGACAGATAGATAGACAGATAGATAGATAGATAGATAGACAGATAGAGAGATAGACAGACAGACAGATAGACAGATAGATAGATAGATAGATAGATAGACAGATAGATAGATAGACAGACAGACAGACAGACAGATAGATAGATAGACAGACAGATAGATAGATAGACAGATAGATAGACAGACAGATAGATAGATAGACAGATAGATAGACAGACAGACAGACAGATAGACAGATAGATAGATAGAACATTAGATAGACAGACAGACTGACAGATAGATACACAGACAGATAGATAGATAGATAGATAGACAGACAGATAGACAGATAGATAGATAGATAGCTAGACAGACAGATAGACAGATAGATAGATAGATAGATAGATAGACAGACAGATAGACAGACAGATAGACAGATAGATAGACAGACAGATAGACAGATAGATAGATAGATAGACAGACAGATAGATAGATAGACAGATAGATAGATAGATAGACAGACAGATAGATAGATAGATAGACAGACAGATAGATAGATAGATAGATAGATAGATAGACAGATAGACAGACAGACAGATAGACAGATAGATAGACAGACAGATAGACAGATAGATAGATAGATAGATAGATAGATAGATAGATAGATAGACAGACAGATAGATAGATAGATAGATAGACAGATAGATAGATAGATAGATAGATAGATAGACAGACAGATAGATAGACAGATAGATAGATAGATTGATAGAACATTTCTGTATGAGAGTTATCAGATACTAAGCACATCACACACCAATGTAATATAATGTATTATTTCGACACACTATAACATTGCTGTGATGCTAATAGGCTTTGGTTTTCTAAACAATCCTCAAATGTAGTTTCCAAGCAACGCTGGTTTGTCTTATATTTCTCGTGTTGTTTTTTTGTTTAGTTTTTTTAATAGATTTGCGACCATAATAGCTGAATGTAGAGCAAGAATAAGGTTGCCCAGGGCATTGTGCCAAATTGAGGCTCCTCTCTAGAACCCTAGGCTCTGTTTCTGTGAGTGGTGTGTGTTGACTGAGTTTGTGCAGTGGCTGTGTTGAGGAGACTGTGAGCTGTATGAGGGGTTGAGTGTTGTGTGTGCTGGCTGAGTGTTGTGTGTGGTGGAGACTGTGAGCTGTATGTGGGGCTGAGTGGGTCTGTGTGTGTTGGTTGAGTGTTGTGTGTGGTGGCTAAATTGTGTGTAGCAGTGGCAGAACAACCACAGGTGCCCTGCACTTGGCCTGCACACTGAGAGTGCCCATCAGGTGGCCCATGCACTTATGGCCTTTGGTAATGTGTCTTCAGGGCCCCGGTCAGCCCTTTATTGATGTCAGCGCTGGAAGGAAGTGACAGGGCTATAAGCGTCATCCTTGGTCATCTAGCAGGTTCAGACTGGCTCTGGTTGAACGTTTTATATAATTATGATCTAACTTTTAAGATGTGTGATTTTGTTTTTTAGCACTTTAACCAAAATTCAGTGAAAAAAAACCCAAAACAAAAAATATTAATAGTTAATAATCAGAATTACAACCAAGAAATAACAGTACAAGAGATGTTGACATTATAGTTTTCTATATATAATCTTCTTTCTCCTAGGAGTGAGGGTATAAGTGGTACTTGTTAGTATTCTTTGTGTGTGTTCTAGGAAATTAAACTATTTGTAAGGAATTTTTTGTAAAATCTGCTTTTCACAGAGCACAGATTTCTACTTACACAAGTGGTTAAAGTTTTTTTTTTTTTTTAAAAGAGGCATTAGCATATTCTGCATGGATTCTACAATGAAAACTATTGTCCCCATTGCTTAAAGCACATTGTTGTTTGGATGTCATATTTCCCATTAATTAAAAAAAAATTTTTTTTAAATGGGATCCAAACGTTTTCTTTAAATATTTATTGATTTAAAGTCACTTGTATTTTTTTTTCCGTTTTTCCCTCAAGCCCTGAGATGCTGTATTTTAATTAACAGTTTCTTAAGAAATGCAGAGGTGTTTTCAAGCAAATGATGGTAAAACAAACATGTCAACGGCATATAAAGGAGCTTTAACAAAACACAGCAAATAGCAACATAAAGGTTCATCAGGAAAACAAGACAATGACAATGAGTAACGACACCAAATTACACATTACAGAAAGACATATCGTTAGGTCCGAACTGGAACAATTCCTGGTAACGAGAAAGGATAAGGCAGCTTCGAAGCATCTTGAAATCCATACTGAATCTGAATCATTGGTTCTATACACAAGGTTCCACTCTCACCAGACCTTGTGACTGATAGAAACATCTTTCCAATTCAGTGGAAAAGTCCTGATTGTAAACGTGTTCGAGCAGACCCCAGTTCACCTCTATCTGTCATTAAAGGAGCACTATAGGGTCAGGAACACAAACATGTATTCCTGACCCTATAGTTTTAAAACCACCATCTAGCCCCCTTGGCCTCCCTAAAGTTAGTAAAATCTTACTTGTATTCAAGTCTGAAGCTGCTGCCTCTGCCTGTGAACTTCCTCTGACATCATCAGAAGTGGTGGCCTGATCCAATCACAATGCTTCCCCATAGGATTGGCTGAGACTGATAAGGAGGCAGATCAGGGGCAGAGCCAGCATGATTCAAACACAGCCCTGGCCAATCAGCATCTCCTCATAGAGATGAATTGAATCAATGAATCTCTATGAGGAAAGTTCAGTGTCTGCATGCAGAGGGAGTTGATACTGAATGTTTGGATGCATTTTAGGCAGCCATGACCCAGGAAGGATCTCTAACAGCCATCTGAGGAGTGGCCAGTGAAGTTATCACTAGGCGGTACTGTAAACACTGCATTTTCTCTGAAAAGACCATGTTTACAGCAAAAGGCCTGAATGTAATGATTCTACTCACCAGGACAAATTCAATAAACTGTAGTTGTTCTGGTGACTATAGTGTCCCTTTAATAATTTTTTTCCTTTACTTACTGTTATATATCCACACTGTATCATTGTACAGACATGCAAGGTGAGATGCTTATCATTTCTGACTGTAGGGAAAAAAACACTTGATCCTCTAAAGTAAAACAGCATAGCCATGTAGAAAAGCCACACCTGAAGAATGAACGTGCATGAAGCCCCAAATGTTAGGATCTTTAATCTCTGAATTTGATGGAGGTGGCGGCAGGATATTAGTGTTTTGTTTTGTTGTTTTTACATCAGGTTTCAAAGCAGCCGCCCATCATAAAATGAAAGATCAGTAAATCTGCAAACCAATCACCCCTCTATTCAGTATTGAGGTGAGTCGCACTGAATACCTGACATACTGAGCGGTCTGTACACGGTGGCCAAAAAGTAATTATACAGTTTGAACAATGAAATTCATCACAACAGATTACATGGGTATACATACCCAATGACACAACAAACTGACAGCTACATTTCAGCTATTTAAATATCAGTGTGAAAGTTGGAAAAATTAGTGGAATGTTGCAACGTTGATGGAAGACTTATGCAAATAAACTATACTGTATGCCTACGTTTGGTCCACCCTGAACTTGTTCCCGGCTATGCTTCCATTGAGATCCTGGAGGCCATTGGCAGCTCACTGTTCAAAATGAGAGGACATAACATGCTGGGGATAGGACATACTCCACATAGTCCAGAATGCTGGAGATAGGACATACTCCACTTCCCTGACGGGGTCATCAAGATATCCATGGGGCTCAAGCCCCAGGTGTTTCTGGAACCAAGCAATGGCCCTGGTGTAAAGCATGTACAGTTCCCTGTGAAGTGCAGGCTCCCATATCTCAAATCTATGTAGTGATGTATTGCCATAGCATGAGTTCCAAGGTCCTTCTATGTAAGGATTAAGACTTACCTGACCACTTACATAGAATTCTAAAACTTGGGTCTCTACAAACTGGATGCAAGAAATATTTCCAGGAGACTTTACTGGTCTAAGATGGACAGAGCTGCCTTTGTTGAGGAGTAAAAAAGGCTTGGAACCATGTGCAAATATCACTTCAGAGACAAACAATGGCTGGATGAAATTTCTCTTCATATGTGTACATGGTATATATGTGCCCATAAAGACCTAGGCAGGTCATACATTTAGCAAGTTGCAACTCCTTATAGGATTCATTTTTCCCCAAACAGGATTTGACTGAGCAACCTTGAAGATCTCTACAGAACAGACATTATGTTATCTCTTCCTATCCAATAACCATTTTACCAAACTTGAAAGGAAGAACAATTACTTTGTTTTTGCTGATCATGAGGACTTAACAGATAACATAATCAGTGTATTGGTCAAATGATCTACAAGAGATCACATCAGATCTTCCTTGGCTTCAATGACACAATTTGGAATATTTAGAATTAGTTAAAGGACCACTATAGTCACCCAGACCACTTCAGCTCAATGAAGTGGTCTGGGTGCCAGGTTCCCCAGGTTTTAACCCTGCAGCTGTAAACAAAGCAGTTTTAGAGAAACTGCTATGTTTACATTGCAGGGTTAATCCAGCCTCTAGTGGCTGTGTTCCTGACAGCCGCTGGAGGCACTTCCGCGACGTTCAATGTGAAAATCGCATTCAGCGTGCAGAACGTCCATAGGAAAGTATTGAGTAATGCTTTCCTATTGGCGGTTTGAATGCGCATGCACATTCGGCTCCACTCGGGAGCTGACTTCAGAGGGGGAGGAGAGGTCACCAGATTAACCCCTTAAGGACACATGTCATGATTCCCTTTTATTCCAGAAGTTTGGGCCTTAAGGGGTTAAGGAAAGTGGCTTAACCCCTTCAGCGCTGAGGGAGGGGGTCCCTAAGGACTATATAGTGCCAGGAAAACGAGTTTGTTTTCCTGGCACTAGAGTTGACCACTATAGTGCCAGGAAAACAAACTCGTCCCACTCCCACCAGGGTGAAGGGGGAGGAAGTGGGTTAAACACTCACCTTTCTCCAGCGCCAGGCTCCCTCGGCGCTGGGGACTCTCCTCCTCTTTCGGTAGTCATCGGCTGAATGTGCATGCGCGACAAGAGCCACGCGCGCATTCAGTCAATCCATAGGAAAGCATTCTCAATGCTTTCCTATGGACGCTGGCGTCTTCTAACTGTGAAAATCACAGTGAGAAGCGCAGAAGCGCCTCTAGCGGCTGTCAATGAGACAGCCACTAGAGGCTGGATTAACCCATATGTAAACATAGCAGTTTCTCTGAAACTGCTATGTGTACAGCAGGCAGGGTTAATCCTAGAGGGACCTGGCACCCAGACCACTTCATTGAGGTGAAGTGGTCTGGGTGCCTATAGTGGTCCTTTAAAATCCCTTAAGGACACATGACGGAAATATTCCGTCACGATTCCCGTTTATTCCAGAAGTTGTGTCCTTAAGGGGTTAATCCAGGGTGGTGGGGGATTTTACCAAGAGTAGCTGCCAATATACTGTGTGTCCTACACTGCAGGATCACTGCTGCCAAGAAATGTAGCAGAGTTTAAAATGAGAATTACCATCAATCTGATTTAAGAAGAAATCAAATTGTCATTCTAGAGTCTGGAAGAATTTTTTCCCTTTTTTAAACTCCCTTAAAAGGGTACCTATAAACAAACAAACACACACACACATTTTAAATAGCATACAATTTAAACTATACATTCTGCTACCAGTTTTGCTACAAACTATATAGATTGAGAGAATATAGATCTTTCTACCACTTCTCAGTCAACTCTTCGGCATAGACAACAGACAAGGGAGAGCAGAAAAGACCTCCCACAGGTAGTCCTTCTGCTCTCCCAATTATAGCAACCACAGCGCATGCACTATGGTTGCTATGGAAACTCCCCATCTGACGTGGTTAGCACTTGCTAAGGAGTAAAGGACACCACTCAGATCAAGCGCTCGCATGCTGGCAATGAAGTTAGTGTGTTGGGGTCAATGAGGAGTGCGTAGCGTGAGGACGTACAGTGCCAGTTAGGCAACGACCTGGAAGTCACTCTTGTGATTGTCTGGTAGAAAAACTGCAATAATTACCTTTGCAGGGTTACATATGGGGGGAATATGCACCCAGACCACTTCAATGAGCTGAAGTGGTGTGGGTGCCTATAATCTCCCTTTAAGGTAAGTTAAATCTTCTTTTGCATGTTCACTTTAACATTTTGTTTTTATCTTACTTTGGATCAACAGCCCAAACAGGTGTGTGGAAGGTGGATGATAAACAGGAGTCTTTTTTCAACATATATAACTATGTAACTAGTTCAGCAGGATTTCTTCTAAATACACTTCTAAATAATTCTCAAACTGGGCCAAATCCAACAACTGTGCATTTATAGAATGAACCACTTAGCAGAAGGTGTTAGACCTTAGTTTGTAGTAGATTGGTGAGCAGTTGCAGTTAATTCACATATAACATATTTAGTTCTACTTATAGAATGTCAAATTCCATAAATACATATTAAGAGAGCGACAGCAACCGAGAGTCCCCATTGGGACTGAAACAGAATGATAACACACACACACACACACACACACACACAATCTCACTCAATGCCCCTATTCATGTTCAAAGTAGGATAATAGATTCATAAAGTAAAACAAAACACTACATTTTGGGATAATATATTCAGACACCCAGCTTTAACAATTTAAAATAACACTCAGAAACGTTACTTTTGAAAAAAGAAAAAAAAATGAACAATTTTATTTTAATGGTTTTTCAAACCAAGTGATTCCACGAGTCCTACTCTGTAACACTTCCCTTTTAAATGATGAGTTTGGTTGGTAAAATTTCAGTGACCTGATTGCAATAGTTTTAAACATTATCATAGTCTGCTTCCAGTGTAAAGTGTTCATTAACCAATTTACATTGCATCGAAAAGAGAAAAACTCATTTTGTGCAATACTGTTGTTTTGTTTACACAAATGTGTGTTTTTTAATTCTACTGTTACGTCTTGGAGTCTTATTGTGGCTTCCTATGTTACATGCCCACATGCCAACAGAGCTGCATTGTTACTATGTTGTAAAACGTATGTTATGCACCCACATGCCAAACGAGATCAATTGTTACTGTGTTATACAGCTCGTACAACAAAGCTGACTATTGCACATTCAACAGGCCGCAGGCACTTTCAGGATCACAGCTGTTAAGGTCAAATGTTTCAAATGTAAAATTCGTATACCGCAAGAACTGTCAATTTTTTTGTGGCAAAAACATTAATCTTCCAATGAGCAACACTCGAGAGCATCTTCTAATTGTGAGTCATTATCTGAACACGCGCACAAGATCACCTACTTACAGCGATGTGCTAGGTAGGTCATTCTTTTAAGAACTCAGAATTCTGAAATGCAAAATTGGCATCACAGATTTCAGCTGTTTGAATTCCCCATTAGTATAAATTTACACATTAGTAAGTTAATATTTAACGATATTAACTTGAAAAAATATGTGCAATCCCCAAACCCAGCAGATTATCACCAAATAAATGTCTCTGCCTGAAAACAATTAACAGATTCTAGACCCACACCTACATCATAATGTCCTAATGTCTGCGCTTAAAAAAAAAAAAAAAAAAAACAAGTTTCTTTCTATACTATGAATGGGAATTGGATTACAGATTGAAACTGAACTGTAGATCTTTTATGAAATGTTACATTTTCATTCATTCTATTTTGATCTGTTATGTGGCCATATTCTGTAGGCAATATGTGTGGTCACAGGGGAGAGTTTCCTTAAGTTGTGTTGTTAGAGGACAGAAGTTATTGGACAAGATGAATCACGTATCAAATGTTTGGTCATGATGTCAATTGCATAATCAATCCCCAAGTCCTTACAGAAAAATGTACCATTATACCTCGTGGTCTTATCATTTGGAGCTTAAAGCATAATATTGTTGCTTTACCTAGGGAACCATTGACAGCTATTCAGTTGTATTATTGAGATGGACAAAGTCCTTTCCTTAATAAGGACAAGACACGACCAACTAGGATTTTGCATTCTGGACAACAATTGGAGATTAGGTTCTATAGGAGAAAAACAAAAACAGGTTGTTTTCATTTTTTTCAACTGACAATGGATTTAAATGGAATGAAACCTATTAACCATAAAATTAAAGGAATGTAGACTTCTAACTTAGAGCTGAGCACAGAAAAAAACCCAAATCTCCCAAGCCACACAGAAACAGCCATCAGATACATTGTGTTTTCATGATGTTCCATGTAGACCTGTTACAGCTATAATATCTATGGTTGCCATGGTAATGCTTTTAAAACATAAAACTCTACTACGATCTTCACTTTTGATTGGTAACATGCAGTCTGTTCTTGGTATGATCTTGGCTAAAATTATATACGAACGCTAAAGATGGATTCAGTCCTCAACTTTAAAAAAAAATCTGCCTTCCCAATCCCAGAAAGGAATCCTTAACATCATTTCAACCTATGTTGGATAATTCAGTCAATGGAGGATAAACAGATTTCGCTTGTCAAGTAGACTGCAGTATAGACGTATCCAGAAACAGCATTGCCTCCTGGACTCAGCAAAGCGGGAGTGATTAATTCAATATGGTGGAATTAGATAGCAGGGAGGAAACGGTGGCATGGATTCCAGTTGTTCATGTTGTGCGGGCCTAGCAAGGAGAGGGACATGGAAAGAGTAAACCAGTCTTTCTTGTATTGTGTCCTTTAGTTTCCAGTTTTCATTTGATTGGCTGCTCTTTGAGATCCCAGCAGATGGCACCAAGTAAGTGTTTCAATTATTCGTTTTGGGCATCATAGTTGGCACCACCAGCTTTCTTTAACTCGTTCCTAATGTAGTCTTCCTCCAGCTCCTTATGGTCTGTGATCACAAATTCTTTGGCAAAGTTCTGCAGAGAGAAGCGAATGCAAACAAATAAATGACTAAATCAAAACGGAGAGATTACTTTAGAAATTGGCACAGTCACCTTAACCAATGGCAGACTTCATTCTCTCAGTGTCTTGGGATTTACACATTGAATATCATTAGAAAGAACTAATAATGCAGTCCTGTAGACAAGTGGGACAAGACAGCATTGTTCACATCTAAACAGCGACAGCCTTACACTCTACACAAAGACAGAAACGCTTAATTATGAATCCGACCTTTCCTTCCCCCGGACTGCTCTCGGCCTGAATCGGGGCCATGCTTTTACACGCAATAAGGCCGTCACAAGGTTGACTTCGTGAAAACTTGGCTATTATACACAGACATTGTTTACTATTCGTAGGAAGGCCCTTTAAACTGCCTATTTTATGAGAGGCCTAATGTCTGCAAGACTGCATTAATATTATTGCCAGTCAATATCCTTTTTACTGAATCCCTAAACAGAAATCAGTTTTTGATTCCCTGCCCAATCTTTGCAACTTTTATGCAGTAAATGAATAGGGTCAGTCAGTAGAGCCATATGTAAAATGCACGTGTATGTGAATAGCAGTGCTACAAAACATCACCCAGGGTGGTCGGAATCCAAATATAACATGGTGGCATTATACCTGGGCCAAATAATATGCCAACATGTCAGACAGGCTATGGCGCAGATAATGCACAGACAGATCAGAGTGTTAATAAGATTATTAGTCAAATATACCTTGGTCCAAGAATGGTACCTGCTAATATTCAGCTGTGCGGTTTACCAAACCAATAGAAATGTTTTTTTAAGATTTGAAAAAGTAGCAAAAACATTTTCACCTAAACAGATTTACTAAGGTTGCTCACGACAGCGACAGCCCTGAACCTGAGGGTCACTCTGTGCTAAAGCTAACGTACTTTGATGAAGATCCCTAACAAGAAGCAAACATATTTAATGATAAGGAAATTCTATCCCAATGAGAACTGAAGGTTTAATAGCTTTCATAAGCCCTCCCTCCCCGCTGTCCACCAGGTCCATTTACTCACACAATTAATAAGGAACATGCGCAGTAAACCATGAGCACAATACATAACACAGTGTTTTCTGGCTGTCCATTGGGTAATTACCTGTACTACATCTTTTACCAGTGTCTTGTCAGTGCCAGTTTTAGCTCTCTGGAGTCCACCGACATTTTCACCGATCCAGGTTATTAAGACAAACTTAGTTCTTTTACTCATGGCATCCCCAGTGGTAAATCGGATGTATGCGTACAGCCGAATGTCATCTGCAAAGAGGGGAAGAGACGTGAGATTTTATTAAATGATAAAAACAGGCTTCTTATCACGTTTCCAGCAGAAATACCTCTTCTTTTCCCCCCCACCCTCGGGTAATAAAAAGGATTAGCTCATGCAGTTTAACGGATAACAAAAGATCTCTGGTTATGAAAGGCTTAGCCCTGATTTACTTGTATTGTTTAACAGCACAGCACCGTAACATCGGAGTCCAACAGTGCATTGAAAAGCTTTCTTAGAATGTGCCTCGTGATTGTGATTTGGGTCACTATAACCTCTAGGAACTCATTGTCGATCAGATGATCACACGTTTATTGCAAAATTAAACTGTTTTTTACTTTACTGGATAGTAAATAAGATTGTCTGTCTGAAACACAATTCTATTTCATTATATGGGAGTACAAACCAATTCTATTCTAAGAAAGAAAAATCGCTGTAAAAATCACATCTTTTCAAACAGATGGGTGAGATTAAGCCATGGGAAGCACTTGACAAGGTACTGGGAGGACAACCTCTTAGAGGACTCCATGTGACCAAAGACTTAGCCAGCAGTGATGGTGTCTTACTGGGCATAGTAACATGAATTTAACCTTCTCACTTCCAAAATGATGATAGTTGACCCCAGGGGCATACGTGGAGCATTTGGCAGCTTAAAAATTTTAAAAAACACCCACACATTTTTTACTTGTATCAAGCACTGAGCAGTGTTTGCATTTTAAAAAAAATATATATTTAGCACTGCGCAGTGTTTGAATGGAGTATGTGAGTGAATGTACGGGTGTGTTTGCACGTATTGGCATTTGAATGCAGGCGTGCATTTTTTCTGTAGTGTGGTTTTTGAATATGGTGGTGTGTTTTTATGTAGTGTTGACATTTGGATGCAGGGTTGTATTTGTGTGTAGTGTAGGCGAAATGCTGAGATAAATGCACATAATCACTCACATATGCATACACACACACACAGACACATAGGCACACACATGCAGTTACATAGAAACAGTCATACACACATACAGACAAACACACACACACACAGATACATCACACATACACATGTATAAGTGTGTGTCTGTATAGTGAATGCAATGTGTGCTTGTATAGTAGATAATGGTGTGAAGGAGGGTTGATGGTGAGAGGGAGGGGGGGTGATGGTGGGAGGGAGGGAGGGGCGGATGGTGGAGGAGGAGGGGGGATGGTGGAGGGAGTGGATGATGGTGGGAGGGAGTGAAGGGGGGATGGTGAGAGGAGGGGTGATGGTGAGAGGAGTGAAGGGGGTGATGGTGAGAGGGAGTGAAGGGGGTGATGGTGAGGGAGTGAAGGGGTGATGGTGAGAGGGAGTGAAGGGGGTGATGGTGAGAGGGGGGGGTGATGGTGAGAGGGAGGAAGGGGGGTGATGGTGAGGAGTGAAGGGGTGATGGTGAGGGGAGTGAAGGGGGTGATGCATGGTGAGAGCGAGTGAGGGGGTGATGGTGAGAGCGAGGGAGGGGGGGTGATGGTGAGAGCGAGTGATGGGGGGGTGATGGTGAGAGCGCGAGTGAGGGGGGTGATGGTGGGAGGGGAGTGAGCTGGGGTGATGGTGGGAGGGAGTGAGGGGGGTTGATAGAGGGAGTGAGGAGGGTTGATAGAGGGAGTGAGGGGGGGGGGGTGACTAAATACCTTATTTAATTCCCTGGTGGTCCAGTGTGGGCTCCCTGGTGGTCCAGTGGTGATACCCAGTCTGCAGCTCTGCAGCGTGCAGAGCTGCAGACTATGAATCTCATGGTCTGCACAATGCGATAGGTGCAGGAGGGGCATATCGAACAAGCCGCCGGGCCCCCTCCTAGTGTCGAGTCCTCGGTCAGTGACCCAGGACCCGACACAGTCTGCCCCGGGCATCCCCCTAGTGTGTGGAACCAGGGGTGGACCCCCCCCCTCCGGCCCCCCTCCCTTAGTACACCACAAATGTAACAATGTGATGCAACAGGTGTCCCTGCCAATCTCACTTTCTCTGCCGTAGAGTTGGTCAAGTTTGAGCAAAGAGTATTTAGATATCTTGCAGCAAGTTAGTGATTTTTGTGAAAGTACATTAATACAGAGATCACTTGCACATTTAATGACTTTCTGTTTTTTTTGTGTGATTCTCAGTGTTTAAAGGGACACTGCAGAATGAGGGTCCAACATTTTTTTGCCTGCATTAAACAGATTAATAGAACATTAGAAAGATGTTTTCAGAACCAGGGGGGATTGCAATGAATCTCCATACTCTAATGTATTCCTATGGAAGCTCAGTGTTAAATCAGACAGAGGTAATGTGGAAGTAGAGTTGCTGACCACATTTACGGAGTTTCTTTGATTTCCTCCTGGCTTGATCTAGGGTTAAAACTATCAGGAACATAGCGAGTTTGATAAGATATGTCCAGCCAGACAATATTGCTGTACTAGGGGATCATGGGAAAAGCTAATTTGTTTAAAATGCCTCGTCAAACACCACGAGTGCCACAGTGAAGGCCAATTAAATGAACTCTCTGTGGTCTTTTCATTAAGTGATGAAAACGAATTATTAATATGTCATTTCACTGTAATCATTTGCAAATTTTAAGCTCTAATAGAAAAAAAATAAAGTGAAAAAAAGTTAACAAGCAAGTCCAGGTAACAGAAAAATACAAGATATATTCTCGGTCTGTCAATCTCTCCTTAATGGCATTTTTACAGCCTCTATTAAATCCAGTATAAGATCTAAAATAAAAATACATGTGGTAAGCTCGGACACAGCTGTGGTCTTATCATGACTTGCCAGAAGGAATTTTAACAGTTATGCCGGGAAGCAGCTTCTTTTTCTAAGAGGCTCAGCAGGAAAATAAGATGATTTCAGCAAAGGATGTTTGTTAAGTAAACCGAGCTACAAACATTTAATAAAAGTTCTGCTTAGGTATTTATACATAGGAAGTGGAACCCAGGTCAACAGCAGACAATGCATTGGGTGTGAAACACGTCATTCAAGGAAAGAAAGACAAAAAGGGACAGGGGAACAAGATACGAATAAGAGAAAGGTTAACCAAGGACTGAAAAAAAATCTGAAACCATTTTAACTCCATACTGGATACAGGAAAAATGTCCCTTTAGTCTAGAATGAGGACAAGTAATTTGTCCAGAATGAGTACGGTGTCAAGACGTCAGATCCCAGAGAGTGCTATCCCTAAATAACCCACCAATGCTCTGCATGATCTGACAAATCATATGATGTTTTTGTAACTATCCTACATGTTAGTGATTAGATATCACAGTCAGTGTTTAACGAACACCCTATTACTGCAAGGCTACAAAACTCAAATGTGAGGCCGAACACCGCAGAAAAACCACTTCAGTATTCAAATTAACAGCATGCATCTTCACTGGTGGAGTTAATTAAATCTGAAATTGAAGATTGGCAAACTATAAAACCTGACCTATTTGTTCCCTCCACACCCACTTACTGAATTATCCCCCATAACAATCGCCCTCTGAATGTTCCCCCCAGGATTCTATATTAATTCTTCTTTCAAGACTGTAAGCTCGTTTGAGCAGGGTCCTCCTCAACCTATCGTTCCGTAAGCTTTCTTGTAATTGTCCTATTTATAGTTAACCCCTCTATAATATTGTAAAGCGCTATGGAATCTGTTGGCGCTATATAAATGGCGATAATAATAATAATAATAATAACAATAATTCGTCAGGGACTTAACCAGTCTAAATATTACAGGGTAATAAAACACAAGGCGTATACAATGCTAATTATAGCAACAATACCCAATTTTTAAAACATGATAATGTTGTGTATCAGTGTGTATGATATCAAAACTTCCAGTGGGATAATAAACAGATGTAGATTGTGGGAGAGTTGAAACGATTCCCTCCCCCCTCCCCCAGAGCAACAACTAGGCCTAGCGTTACACATGTTAAGCGTAAATCTGGTTTAAGCAGTAGTTATGGTGGAATCAGTGACCTCTTGATGTAGTGTCCTACTGTAAAATCACAAGTTGTGACAGTAATAAGTCGTGAACAAAGCATGGGGTGAGAGGATTATTGCCAGTAGAATACGTCCTGTTCTCTCCAGCACAGAATGGCCACGGCTGGGTGGACCTCTCTGGCTAAAGCAAACAGTGCGTTGGAATGATCCCAAGGCGTTTCAGGAACTCACTTTAAAAGTAGGTTTTAAATGCATCCTATACGTTATGTCTGCTTGATACCATATTTCACCTTGATTTTTGTATCTTTGATTGAAAGATATCATAAATATTTAAACGCAAAATTAAATCTATTCTAAATGGCACTCTTTATTGATTGCATAAAGCGTAATAAAACCGGTTATTATAAGAATATCTATCAGTGAACCAGGCATTGTGATGTACAAACACTCATCTCACAGAGATACTTTTATGGAGTGAACTCGGGACACAAGGAAGATAAAGACTCGTTCATGTCTGATCACCTCTCAGGAAACGTTTGCTGTCTCTTTAGGCTGCCCTGCTACCCAAGTTTTGTGATATTCTAGGACATCTGCCTTAACAGGGCCATTTGGACATAATACAGACGCCGGCTTTGCCAGCTTGGGCCTACTCCATGAAATGACAGTTACTGTAGAATAAAACATTGGTAGAAGATGCCTTCACTTGGTAGAGTTAGGATTAAGTTGGTATACCTAAAGAGTCACACCATGTATGACCATTTAATTCTTAGCATTTCCATGCTTGCTGGGTGCCAAGGTAAACCTACTGTGTCTTTCAGACAAAAAAAATTCATTAACATTCCTATAGTGTCAAGAAACGAGGAGTGTCTGTGGTCCACCACCAGACGAGCGTTGAGCCTTCCTTATTATTTGAAGAATAAAAGGAATATGTGGTAAATATTAAAAGCATAACCTTTAATAGTCTAATATTTAAAAAGTTTTTAACCTATTGGATTGGCATCATATTAGTTATAAGTTTACAATCAATACAAATCGAATCCGATAGGTTAATAACTTTTTAAACATTTGTCTTTTAAAGGTTATGTTTTACTATATACCACGTATTCTTTGGACTGGGTCTTTGAGTTCTGTGTGTAACAAAGGCGACACTGTACAAGTTTGTGCCAATCAGTTTTCAGCTGAAGAAGCACCAGGTGACGTAATCTGCACACAGTGTCCCAAACACCGACAGGACAACACAAACAGAATTCTGTAACGTTTGTGAACACGGTTTTTATTTTCCAACCTCATCAGCCAAGTCGTACAGTAGGGAAATCAATTAAACATTCTGACATTACAAAGCAGAAAGGCAAAACCAAACAAAAAATGTGACAGATCTGCCTCTTTAGGACACCAACAGTTATAAAGAAAATGTACTTTAATATAGAGTTTCCCCCAGAGCCAACATGTAGAAAATAAAGAATCAGACCACATCTGTCTAGATCTAACATGAGTTTGTTGGAATAAAATCAGCGTGAGGTTAGAGCGCAGTGTTGGATGTCGTGTGTAGAATGCAACAGGTGAATCTAGAATCTGCACAAACACACACAAAAAACAGATTGCACTCCTGTTATTATAATTACAACAAACGATGATCTGAAAAGACATACACAGGATTATGCGCATGTCACCCAGTCCCCATGGGGGGATAATTACAGTGTGAGCGGGAGAAGAGCTTTGACAAGACATCACTGTAATTACAAGTTGTGCCTATCCTATGTTTACGATATTGGATTTGATTGCAGTCGACGCTTGGAGTGGAATTAGCTATATGTTAAGATTAAAAGAGTTAAAATGGACAAAGACAATAATAGAAGAGAAGTTATAAAAAAAGGAAACCCGTTTTACATTAATAGCTCGTTTCTTTTATTTCCTATTCTCAATAACAAGCAAAGTTAAAATAGGCTAACGAGACAATACTTTGAGAAAGAAATACTAGTGTCAGTTTTTAAATGTTTTTCCAACCAGGAATAGTTTACACATTTAAAAAAAAAAGTCCTACAATTAATTAGTTCTACTTAATATATCAAGAGTTGCCTAAAACATCTAAATAGTATCTAAAAAGAATTGACTTTCCAGGGTACAAGTTGGGTATTGCCACTTCTAAAAATACATTAAAATCATCTTACTTTTATTTATCAAATAAAACATTTTTTTTTCCCATTTTTTATTTAAGTAGATCAGAGACTGCCCTTGGCGTTTTTTACTTTGTGCTATATCTGGTCAGAGATCAATATTTGATCTCAGAACGCAGTTATATTGATGGTTAGCTCATTTGAGCAGGGCCTATAAATATCCCATTTCTAGAATTGTCAAAAAAAACAAAAAAAAAACAAACAAAAAAAACACACACACACACACACAACATGCTGGAGCTATATAAATGGTTTAATAAAAATATTCCAAGAACGCTAACGTTATACCACAGTGAATTTAGACTGCTCAGATTCCAGCTATTAGTGTCCTTTTCTTGGTTAGATAGTATTCGTTCTATTTGAATTCTGCTACCTGCCTGTATTAAATGAACCCAGTGACCAAAACTCGACTAAAGAGAGATCTAAGCCTTTTCACTTCCTGGATGCCTGACTAATGTTTAGTCATTGTTAACAGAAGGGGGTGATCAGGCCACAATGTTAAACGCTGACGTTGTCAGAGCCTTGCACATTGAATGAGGGAAGCTTGGGATAGAACGTATCCATCGCAGCAGGAAATCGCGAAACACAGGAAAAGGAAGCAAACGATGTTTTAACACAAGTCACAGAGGTTCCTTCGCTGCAAACACAGCTTGGGAGGAATTTTCAACTCGCCTTCTTAGAGCATTTTATTGCTATAAAGGGATCATTGGCTTAGAACAAAAACTTTGTTCAGCCGTATGGAATAAATACTCGACTTTATCTCATTCTGTCTTGGTTGGTCAAGAGAGAGGAGAGGGAAAAGGTATTTTTTCCTTTGAAGTATTGGCATCGCTAAGGTGGGGCTTTGTGGGCTAAAACCCCAGATATGAAACCCTTGCGCCCTGATCCCCATAGGTTGGGGTGGGGCAGGACAATATTAGTCTTTTGTTTTGTTGTTTTTTTTATTTTTTGTTTAGCAACAGGCAGCTTTTTGAGAAAAAAAAACAAACAAAAAAACAAAACAATAGTATAGTGCCCCTTGATACTACGTGGGTGGATTGAGTGGTATCCCCCAGGTGGATGGCAGCAAAGTTCTGTTTTTCTCAGAACGGTTTCCTACCAGTGTTCACTTATAATTGGTCCTTGGCCAACAAATACAAATTAGAGACTGCTTAGCAACATGAAACGATGACTAGTTTAAAGAGACACTATAGTAACGAGAACCACTACAGCTTTATGATGTGGTTCTGCTGTCTATAGTCTGACCCTGCAGGCTTTTCAACGTAAATGCTGACTAATAACACCTCTAGGTGCAGTCACTCAGACGGCCACTAGAGGTGCTTCCTGTATCAGTGTTGCACAGTGTGCAACACTGGCGTTCACCTTCTCCACACTCTCTGTGTGGTGGTCTTGAATGTTCCCTGTAGATACAAAGACTCAACTCATCTCTATGCGGATTGGCACAGCGCTGTGATTTGCAGCACACGTGCAATAGCTTTTCAAAGCTTTCCTATGGGAGATCATCACCAGTCTCAGTGTGGGAATAAAATCGCCATTTCAGCATGATAACAGCGGGGCTGGTCGCCTGAACAGGAACTGTATTGTCAGAAATACATGTCTGTGCTCCTGTAGGGTTCTTTAAAGATTTGGGGTGCAGCTTATAAAATCAGATTTCAATATAGGATGCTCCAATTACGAAATTAACTTTTTTTTATAACATGGTGATGCCATGTTTGATGTTATAAAGCAGGATAATGAGAATACGTAACCAAATCAATGATTATGAAACTGAATACAACTGTATTAATAAACTAACAATTTGATACCAGGGACTAGATTATAACAGAGAAATTAAGGACGGGCCTAGATAGCATCTGAAAGTTTCAATTAAAATTTAAAAATTTGAGAAATGTCGGTCGGTTTGCGGACATGTGATTGGTAAGCGCACCATTCAAGTTCTCAATGTCCAGGTTTGGTAAATATCTCCACTGGGATAGACTTGTGAAATGGCTACGTCCTGAACGCTCTGTGTCAATGCTTTCCTGAATACAGGAAAACACATTATACAATGCTTTCTGATCACGGTCTATTCTATGCGGACGAATGAGCCAGTCCATATATTAGAAGGTATTGAGCACAGTTTGGGAATTTGGGACTGGTGTCTAGTATATATAACCCAGCCAAACCTGATCCAAAGAATTCATTTCATGTCAGAATTCTCCATTGCCATCAATTAAAAACAATGGCCATGGCTTTCTGCAAACACAGGATTCATCTGGTGGGTGGAAAGGACCCCAACTATACCCCAATGTCTGCTGTACCCGAAACACAAACATCAGAGAATCGGCTAATCATTTGATCTGCTGAGTAATAAGTGTCAGGACATAAAACCAAAGAAAAACTATTTGTTGGCTTTGCATGCTGGGTTTCGAATTGAGAGTCCTCGTTACGGAATAAATCAAGCAAGCTTTTCAATTAGTGATCAGATAAAGTGAAGCATGTGCCAAAATGTGCATTAATAATCCAAACGACAGCATGGAAAATTTCTCTCAAATACCACAGATACAAGCCAGCAACACATTAATCGCTTTCTTATTAAAAGACATTTAAACTATGTAATGATTACTCATCGGAGAGACGGTATGGCATTTTCTGCAAGTTTGACATTATTGTGACATGACATGTCTTGTGATCCAAGGGTCTCTGTGGGTAAAACACAGGAAACAAATGAAATGAAAGTAGTCAAGGAAGGATATGGCTCGATTTTTTCAGTATTCCGGTATGTCCTGGGGTGCACACCTTACAGACCCCAGAACGATAAAGGGCTGAGATGACTCTGCAGGGAATCAAACTGAAAACCCAGAAGTTTGAACAGGAACTATGAATATTCTAATATTTCATTGGCTAAAGATGTTCTACCTTACACTATCCCAATACTACCATAATCAATCAATAAATGGGAATGAAAATGGTCTATGATAGCATTAGGTGTAACGGTGGAATGGACATAAAGGAGTGGCTACTTCTCGAACAGTTCAGACAAGAAAGGACTCGTTTCTCCCAATTTATTCATCTATTAGGAGAAGTGGGGGAGGGGTAAGGTGGGCGGGGAGTGAGGGGATGTGCGACAGAAACTGTCATAGAAATGTCAATTAAATTTACCTGTTAACCCTTGCCGTCCCCTGTTATCTGGGGAAACTTACTCCAATATAAAAAGGGGTTTTCCTACACACCAACGTTGGCATCGCCCAATCAGAATGAGATAGATATATAATATGAAGACAGAATTAATCCACGATTGGTAAGAGCGGATCCTATTCTATATAAAGCTACAGTGTATGAAACTCACACTTTACTGACCTAAAAAGAAAGGAGATTTGCACTGACCCTACTGGGAATCAGACTGGAGACTCTAACGTTTGAACAGTTAATTGTGCATATAATAATATCAAAGTACTGAATCGTGTGTCTTGTCCTCTCAATATTATATTAGTCAGTTGTATTGTGCACATTTAATAGACCTTGGATGGATGAATGGCTGACTGTGACTGGAGCTCTATCCACTGAGCTATCTCCCCATCCAGTGATTTATATACAAATACCTTGTACTTTGTAACTATTAAAAGATTAACAAGAGGTAATCATGCAGCCAGTATTATTATTATATACGGTTATAAAGAAGATATTATATTGTATATAATTTTGTCCATGAGCCCTCCCAATGAGTTCTATTCCAGTTAGCCCAATTTCCATGCTCTGGAGGGCAGGGCTGAACAAGTCAGATGAATTGACATTCCTAGCATATAGCCGGAGGTCATAATCTAACACACATTTTTGGCTGCTGATTACATTCTGCAACAGAAAGAGAATAACATGTAGAATCAATCCTGCAAACTCAGTACACACACACACACACACACACACACACGAATGGTGTGAGCAGACATCAGTGGGATCACACAGGTAAGTATGGCTTCTTACCTGAACAGGCATTTACAAATTCTTCATATTCTGAACCTTGATCCCCTGGTACTATTGTAGGGCCATCATATTTAAATGTTACCCTGGAACAACATTAATAGACATGAATGGACACATATCACTAGCAGACACAAAATTTAAATTACCATTATAATGTATAAAATTACTAAATGCACCAACATGGTCTGTAGCGCTGTACAGTAAAAGGGTTAAAGAAAGCACAAGATACACTATACATATCAATACAATCAAACATCCCAGAATCTGTTTAAACTACCCCTCTCAGCATCTCTTACGATGTTACTGGGGCTGTACAATAGCCAGAAAGATTCTAAACATGGATCCAAAAACCATTGACTGTCTCTGGCTGTTTCAATCAGTCATGTTGCTAGTTAGGAGCAGTTACTGAGTTGGAGATCCCAGTTACCTGTCCTCCCATATCACATAGAGAGAGATCCCAGGTATGGGAGTGCTAACACAGAGCTATAGGAGAGAGATCCCAGGTATGGGAGTGCTAACACAGAGCTATAGGAGAGAGATCCCAGGTATGGGAGTGCTAACACAGAGCTATAGGAGAGAGATCCCAGGTATGGGAGTGCTAACACAGAGATATAGGAGAGAGATCCCAGGTATGGGAGTGCTAACACAGAGCTATAGGAGAGAGATCCCAGGTATGGGAGTGCTAACACAGAGCTATAGGAGAGAGATCCCAGGTATGGGAGTGATAACACAGAGATACAGGAGAGAGATCCCAGGTATGGGAGTGATAACACAGAGATATAGGAGAGAGATCCCAGGTATGGGAGTGATAACACAGAGATACAGGAGAGAGATCCCAGGTATGGGAGTGATAACACAGAGATACAGGAGAGAGATCCCAGGTATGGGAGTGATGATAACACAGAGCTATAGGAGAGAGATCCCAGGTATGGGAGTGATAACACAGAGCTATAGGAGAGAGATCCCAGGTATGGGAGTGATAACACAGAGATAAAGGAGAGAGATCCCAGGTATGGGAGTGATAACACAGAGCTATAGGAGAGAGATCCCAGGTATGGGAGTGATAACACACAGATACAGGAGAGAGATCCCAGGTATGGGAGTGATAACACAGAGCTATAGGAGAGAGATCCCAGGTATGGGAGTGATAACACAGAGCTATAGGAGAGAGATCCCAGGTATGGGAGTGATAACACAGAGATATAGGAGAGAGATCCCAGGTATGGGAGTGATAACACAGAGATATAGGAGAGAGATCCCAGGTATGGGAGTGATAACACAGAGCTATAGGAGAGAGATCCCAGGTATGGGAGTGATAACACAGAGCTATAGGAGAGAGATCCCAGGTATGGGAGTGATAACACAGAGCTATAGGAGAGAGATCCCAGGTATGGGAGTGCTAACACAGAGCTATAGGAGAGAGATCCCAGGTATGGGAGTGCTAACACAGAGCTATAGGAGAGAGATCCCAGGTATGGGAGTGCTAACACAGAGCTATAGGAGAGAGATCCCAGGTATGGGAGTGATAACACAGAGCTATGGGAGAGAGATCCCAGGTATGGGAGTGATAACACAGAGCTATAGGAGAGAGATCCCAGGTATGGGGGTGATAACACAGAGCTATGGGAGAGAGATCCCAGGTATGGGAGTGATAACACAGAGCTAGGAGAGAGATCCCAGGTATGGGAGTGATAACACAGAGATATAGGAGAGAGCTGGGTACATAACAATGGATAGCTGGAATAAAATGAATGAATGAAACTTACCAGCTGATGCCATTGGTGTCAGCCCTCACCAGGTTATAAGATACTCCCTGATCCCAGGTATGGGAGTGATAACACAGAGCTAGGAGAGAGATCCCAGGTATGGGAGTGATCTAGGAGAGAGATCCCAGGTATGGGAGTGATGCTATAGGAGAGAGCTGGGTACATAACAATGGATAGCTGGAATAAAATGAATGAATGAAACTTACCAGCTGATGCCATTGGTGTCAGCCCTCACCAGGTTATAAGCCTCCCTGCAAGCCTCTTTATCTATCTTTGTTGCCATTTGGATTCAGCAATGGATACACACTGTAACTGGATCAGCTGGAGGGAGATCTGCCTCTTCACTAAATCCCTTAACCAGATCAGTGCAGGCTAATGAATGCTGGCTCCAAGGGCAGGACAGAGTGCTAGAATGAGCTCCACTCACTGAGCCTGCACAGCAGCAACTTAACCCACTGCTCCCTGTCAGCAGCACCCAACTCCAGCTGGTGCACATTATGTCTTTCTGCAGGAGGGGGGGAGGCGGTTTTTGTTTCTGCCTGTACAAAAAGTAGGCTGGAATCACCCCTTTGGCTTTGCTGCCTAATGGTTTTACCTTGCCTGCTTCCTGTTTGATGCAGGGCATTACTGGGACTTCCAAGGGGTGATGTCATTAGATTGGTACTCCTGGAGAGTGATTGAGGGGTGCAGGGATCAGCCCCCCTCTCCATCAGCCCTGATTCCCCACATGTAATAAAGTCTAGCAGCAAGGCATGCTGAGGGCAGCCAGGGAAGTCATAGTGTGGGAAATGTTTCCTGTGTGTTACAATGTATCATGTCCCAGACCAGGCTGCCTGCTAAGACCCCAGGTGGAGAGGGGCATTGCTGGCTAGTTTGCAATGAGAGGTATCTGCATGGACTGCTGAATCAGGAAACCCTGTCCCAGATTATAAACTGGGGACAGAAAGGAGTGAGCCAGCAGACCCCACTGCTCCAGGTAGGAGGGCTGGGATCCCTGGGGGGGCTGGCATTGGGGGGGCGGGGGGGGAGGGTTAACCTGTGCAGGCTGCAGCACTGAATGGGTCAATGTGCTTTGTAGGATTGGGGAACCTATTTAGCTAAGAATGCTTTGTCTTCACAGGGGAATTCCAGATTAATGATTAAATGCAAACAATCAGTGACAGGTCCTGGGCTGTCACTGGGGCCCTTGATGGCATTTACAGAATTGGTATTTCCTTAATATATAGAGACCCCCATACTGACATGCAGAGACCCACACTGTCTATACACACAGGGAAACAGTTTAATTTAGTAGACAATGCTTCCCTCTAGTGTTACAAAAGTGAAATTGCAACCATTGAGAATTTGTAAATATTATTTTATAGATCTAAAAGCTATCTATCTATCTATCCTAAAATTACTTTAAATATAACCATCTAGATCAGGGGTCCTCAAACTCCGGCCCCCCAGATGTTGCTACAACTCCCATGATTCTTTGAATTACGTAGATAGCCAGAGAATCATGGAAGTTGTAGTTCAGCAACATCTGGGGGGCCAGAGTTTAAAGACCCCTGATCTAGATTGTAAGTTCCCACTGGAATAGCGCCCTCACCCCCTTTAGTTTTTGTTTGTTACATTTTCTATTGTCTTTTAGATATATTGAACATTTGCCCTTTTAATTGTTCCAATTGTATCAATGCATAGAGCTGCGGAAAAGTGCATGGTCGGCACAGTAATGTAGAGTAATTATGATTTTGCAGTTCTCCCATAATTCCCAACTTGATATGCTCAGACACCCTTAGTAATGAAGTAGTGCATTAAACGCAGCTTTTAATCCAAAGCATAAATGGTGAGTCAAAAGGATCAATGACCAGAAACCAATAACTGACTATTTACCCAAATACCCTGCTCGTAGGGATATGTACAGAACCAGGAATGTGCTGGTATGTTTGGGAATGCAGACTCGCGTCAAAGCTTGCTCTGGCTGCAGTTTCCTGTTGGAAATGAATGAAAGCCAGCATTGCATGTATTCTATGGAGAAATCGTTTATGTAACATATTAACAAGGTAAAACATGTGAACTAATATTTTGCAGGTGACTGGGTGTCCTCTTTAAATTGATGATCCTATAGCTTATTCGCCAACATTGGCAAGTATGAACTGGATGCGAGGGGCCATTTTGGCACGGTGACAACCATAGACACAATTTATGTCATCGGTAATGAGGTAGAATATAAAAAGGACATGGATCATTAATCGGACCAAATTCATTGCAACTACCCAGTGTGGCTGTGCTCTTGTCGCACTGTCCCCTTGTGTCTCCAGAAACTGGATATCAGAGACAGAGTCCCAAAATCGTGACTACACCTCTTTATTTGGCACATCAGAATGCAACTGACCACAACCTATATGTCTTTCATGCCATCTCTCCATTTATCAGCATAATAAGAATATCACATGTTATTACCCAGGAGAGGGACGTATCATTTTATGTCAGTTTTCGATTATATCCTGGGGTCCTGACATTTTACCAGTTGAATGGTATGAAAACAAAAAAATAAATATCCCCATCAGTTCTGACGCTAGGAAAGTCCTGGAATTTTTCTGGAAGTGCTAATTATTACAACGTGCTTCCTGTAAGGTTCCTTGTTTTGTAATAATGTTTCTTGTGTTGTTCAGATTAGGTGACTGTAGTTCCCAGACTGAGCTGTGATTCAGGATGTAACGACTGGACGCAGAGTGGGGACAGTGCATGGTATCCGGTGCTGTATTAGAGACAGCTTGATTATAATTTTATAGTAATATGTGGAATAAAGATCTACGTATTATGAGTGGGATTTCCAGCTATACAGAGTACAATGTATGGAAGCAATGGTTCTGGTTGAGACACTTCATTATGTGACGTTTAAATACCAAGGGGAGAATTAAATATTTTCTCCATCATTCTGGCTTGGGCCAGGAGTCCACAAACCTTAGTGTGATTGGTGTAGCACATAAAGCGTACAGTACTGGAGTCGGATAATGCATGGATTTCCTATTTTTCTCTTTTTGTGAAAGGAACCGTTTCAAATGGAAATGGTCATTTTTATGTAAATTATAGCCTTAAATAAAACCTTGAAAATCAGCTTTAACTTGTGTTAACCGTTTTATCATGCAACGCTCCATTTTCATTTAAAGGTATATTACATTTTGCAGTGGACATCATAATCCAGTTGTGCCCTGGCACAGTTCTGGCATTGCTTCTGCTTTATTCTCTCAACATACTGTGTTCAATGACAGAACCAGACAAGATGGGGGCACTCCGTTCTAGGATAGATGTAAATAGAGCAATGTGGGATCCTGCGTTTCATTATATTTTTCAGACCTCACAAATAAGATAGCTAAACTCCATATAAAAATCATGGAACGTAACGTCTCTTTCTAATTGTGAGGATATAAGATAATGACGATGATAAGAACGGTACAAAGTGTAGATTTTAGGAGGCGTGTGTCACCTTGAAGGTGATGCCACTTTGTAAATATTTCTTACAATCACTGAGAGGTTCTCGTAGTAAATAAACATTTGCTGATGTTTCAGAAGCTGAGAGGGGAAAGCACTGGAAGGTAGGTTATTTTGGGTGATTGCATTTATTTTCCTTACAATATCTATTTAAATGTTGGTTTTCAGTTTGCTGCAGTTTACAACATACTGCACTTAAATTCTTTTATTTTTGGTTTTAAGCTGTAGCGTACTACAATGTTTGGCCTCTTTAGATTCATATCTTGAATGAAGTGGCTTTTGGAAACCCGTGGGGCTTGTTAAAGTAGATTAATACGTAGGGTGCAGCCACTCAGAGATGCTTATTATAACCATAGTCGGTGTTTATTTTGCGGACTATAATCTGATATCACTTGATTCCTATTGGGGAACATTTAACATGGACAGAGCACACATGTCATTGTGGACTGTGTCTTTGTCAAACTAGCATGTTTCCGAAGATGATGTAATCACTTTCCTGCTGTCTTATCAATGTATAATGTAAATGGCAATTATTTGCGATTATTCATTAATACATTCGTGGGTAATGGAGAGAGTCATTTCTCTCTTACTGGCGACTGCTGACAGTACAGGTAGACTGAGATTAAACGCCAACATTCTGCGGTGTTGCGAATCAGTGGAAGAATTGATATAACTGATATTATGTCACGTCATCGTGAATCAATAACGTGTGCAAAGTCATCATCTTAAGAAGAAACCAAATGTATTTTGCTGCTTTTAAAACTTGTATGAATGTAAAAAAGTATTTAGAAAGCCAAATGTGAATCTAGAAAATATCCCTGATACAAACAGTGTGGCTGCAGAGATACTACCGTTTTATTCTGGGTGAATTAAGTTTATTTTTTTTCTGATATTTTTATTTGAAACTGACAGCAAACTGTATTCTCTTGCTAATTTGCTGTGTGATTAAATCCCGGTAATCTGTGCTTTGTTTCAGTACCTAGTAAGTTATAGACAATGTGAAAATGGCTACAAAAGGACTGGTAAAAGGCCACTGGCAAGCATCATCTGATTGGACACTGAGGGAATGTCACTGAGAGCATTCGAAAGGTACACTTTATATTCCATTTCTTGCTCCTGACACTTGATCATACCAGACTGGCTTAATTAAGCAGTTTCAGTGTATAGATCATGGCCCTGTAGTCTCACTGCTCAATTCTCTGCCATTTAAGTTAAATAACTTTGTTTATACATCCCTAGTCACACCTCCCTGCATGTGACTTACACAGCCTTCCTAGATATTCTAGATTCCCTTATTGCACAGTCTGTTTAATTTAGAATTTACCATCTGCTGCTCTGTTAATACCTTGCTAGACCTTGGCGAACCCTTGTGTGTAAAGTTCAATTTACAGAGCAGGAGATAAAAACTTTTAAAGTAAGTAACATGTGATTGGAAATGAAATAATTTTGTTTCAGTCACAGACAGTGGTGGTATAACTAAGGCTGCATAAACAGAAACAAAAGTGATTTAATTCCTAAACGGCAGAGAATTGAGCAGTGAGACTACAGGGGCATGATCTATACACCAAAAAATGCATCATTAAGCTAAAGTTGTTTTTTGCCTATGGTATCCCTTTAAACTAGTTATTAACAGACTTATTGCTATGCAATGACAATGCGTCTGCATGTTTTCTCAATAACCAGAGATGGCTAAAGCTCTGAGTTGCTATCTAATGAATTAATCATATAATATTTTTTGTTAAAGACAATGGAAGGTTCAAGGCAGTCCCGAGTTTCTCGTCCACAAAAGATCAGTGAATCGTCAAAGGTATGCATAGCTATCTTTATTCTCTGCGATTTATCACACATATTACTGCGCATGTTGTGGGCTTGGTTCTGTAACTGTCTAGCATTAATTCTAGTGTTTTTATTTTTCTCCTGGCTTAGCTGTACAGATGGACAGATCACTCCAATTTTGTTCTTCAAGGCCTGAATGAACAGAGGCAAAAAGGTCTATTCTGTGACATCATTCTGGTGGCTGATGACCAAAAAGTGCCAGCCCACCGAAATCTTCTGGCCGCCTGTAGTGACTACTTCAACTCCATGTTCACCATTGGTATGCGTGAGGCCCATCAGAAGGAAGTGGAATTGGTGGGCGCTTCCTATATAGGTCTGAAAGCTGTGATTGACTTTCTATACAGCTGTGATTTGACACTGGACGGAGGGAACATTGATTATGTTTTGGAAACGGCCCATCTCCTGCAAGTCTGGAAGGTGGTGGACTTCTGCTGTGAATATTTGGAGAACGAGGTCAGTGAAGACAACTATCTTTACCTCCAGGAACTGGCTTCCATCTTTAGTCTAGAGCGCCTTGGCTCATTTATCGACTCCTTTGTCCTTCAGAACTACAGTACCCTTTCCTTCACAAATGACTTTTTGCTAAATATCTCTACCCAAAAACTTTGCCAGTACCTAACGAGCAGTCAGGTGCAGCATGTCAGTGAACATGACCTCTTGCAGTCTGCTTTGCAGTGGTTGACCCAAAGCTCCGAAAGGGAAAGCCAAGCCTACCAAGTACTCCAGAACATCCGTTTTCAGCTAATCCCAAAAAGTGATCTTCTACATCGAGTGAAACCAGCAATATGCTCTCTCCTCCCAAAAGAGGCAAATTGTGAGTGGTTAGTGGAGGAAGCTGTCCACTATCATAACAATGTAGCTTTACAACCACTACTTCAGAATACACGGAGTACTCTCCGCAAAGGGATTGAGAGACTTCTGTTTGTTGGTGGAGAGGTGTCTGAGCATTGCCTCGAGCTGAGTGATGATGTCTGTAGTATGGACATCAAGAAGGAGCAATGGGTTTCTGAAACACAACTGCCAGCCAGACGGAGTCATCACTGTGTTACGGTTCAAGGCAACTTCATCTTTGTTGCTGGAGGGAGTTTCTCAAGGGACAATGGTGGAGATGCTGCCTCCAACCTTCTCTACAGGTATGATCCCCGCTGGAGTCAGTGGATTAAGGTGAGACTTCTATACAGCTACAAATACACAACCACTACAAATACAGCGCTTGCTCACCATTATCAAGAGTACGTTCTAGTATTCATATCATAGTTGTCAAAATCCACATCCGTACAACCACCTAGATATTGGTTGATAAACATATAGGTGTAAGTCAAGTAGGAAACCATTATTCTGAGATCATCCCAAAGTCATGTTGTTTGACATTGAAGTCATAAAATGTCCCAAAAATATTCTTCTGAGTCGGTAGCTATATAGATCAAAGGACCCTCTCTGCTTTAACTTGAGTGACTCTGTTCTCCCTTCAGTGAGTATTTTTTAATGTTTTGTTGTGAAAAAATTTTTTAATCACATTCAGTAAGATCAGTATCATACAGAGAGCAACTAGCAGAATAGTTGTAATATATATGCAAACCACTGCTAATGAATTAGGTTCAGCTAGGCAAGATAGACCGTATGCAATAATCTGAGCTATCATGGTAAGATGAACCAAGGTGTCAAATGAAAGCCAAATGGTTTAAAGTAATGGTAATGAAAAACATGATGTATCAACAGCTGTAATAGAGATGTGTAAAACACTGAATTTGATGGACTCCAGGTCTATCTATTTACACACTATAGATACCAAAACCACTTTAGCTTAATGAAGCAGTTTTGGTGTATAAACCATGCCCCTATAGTCTCACTGCTCAATTATCTGCCGTTTTGGCGTTAAATCACTTTGTTCATACACTCATAGTCACACCTTCCTGCATGTGACTTACACAGCTTTCCTAAACACTTCCTGTAAAGAGTCATCTAATGTTTACACTTCCTTAATTGCAAATGCTTTTTAATTTAAAATCTCTTATCTCCTGCTCTGTTGATAGACTTTTAAACTATGTAGGGGCCCCCTGTATGTGATTAAAGTTTAAAGGGACACTATAGGCACCCAGACTAGTTCAGCTCATTGAAGTTGTCTGGGTGCACTGTCTCTATTGCACTTAGTGCATGAGTACATCCAGTGTCAGATTTTTTGTTCCCCATAGGAAAGCAGTGATTCAATGCTTTCCTATGGGAAGGTCTAATGCACGCGTGGCACTCAACGCGCATGCGCATTAACGCCCCCTCATTGAGCACCGTCCGAGATGGCGGAGCCGCAACCCAGTGCCAAGAGACATCAGCGCTGGGATAAGGTAGGTAAGTAAAGCTTTTTTTAACCTTTTATTCTCTGGGTAGGGGGGAGCCACAAGGAAAGGGGGAGTTAGAGGAATCTATAGTGTCAGGAATACAGCTTTGTATTCCTGGCACTTTCAGTATCCCTTTAATTTACTGAAATAAAATCTGCTAAAGTTTAACATCTAATTGAAAATGAAACCCATTTTTATGCAGGCTGTGTGAGTCACAGCCAGGGTAGGTGTATCTAGCGACAGAAACCAAAGTGTTTTAGCTCCTAAAATTCAGAGAATTGAGCGGGGAAACAGCAGGGGCACGATATATACACAGAAATTGCTTCATTAAGCTAAAGTTGTTTTGATGTTTAGAATATCCCTTTAACCAAGTGTAAAAAAAAAAAAAGAAGGTGTATGGAAAACTGGAGCAGAATGGCTCCCCAAAATTATCCTCTAACTGGGGGATACGAGGGCAGGGATAGACAATTGTAAAAAATGGACAGACATTAAAAATATTGAAACAAATTACACTAAAGTAGAAGAAAACACCAACTTTAAAGCCAAAAAAACAGCCAAAATAAACATATTATGATGACTAGCATTTATATAGCTCCAAGATATTCTGCAGCGCTTTATATGTACAGCAAGTATTTTACTTACATAATGTTAAAGGAACCAGACGGGCATCATAACAACTTCATGTTGGTGAAGTTGTTATGGTGCCTGGAGGTTCTCTTTAACAGAGGTGCATTATTGCACGAATCACTTAGGCCTCAATTTCATATTTTCGGCTCTTCAAATGATCACAATCTGTTTTCAAATGACTTATCTCCAGAAGTCACCATTAAAATCTATGGGAATTCTTGTAGATAAATCATATGAAAAGTTTTTCTAACAGACTGTGATCCTTTGAAACCCTTTTACAAAATATTAAATTGAGACGTTGGGACATCACTTGCATGTGGCCTACATTTAACAATGTTTTTGACATCCCGGGACGTGGATGATTCTGCAGCAAACAGTGGCACCAGACCAGGTCCCAAGTTCTTGAGAAAGACAAACAGATCCAAGTGAGTTTAAAGAATTGAGTATCCTTTTCCACTATCAAGGATTGAGGTAGACCACAGAGGTAGCCAAGTCCATCTTCACACAGACATCTTGAGACTTGGCCCAGTAATTGACACCACTCATGGTTGTTCTACTCAAATCTTAAAAGAAGGAAAGTTTGCTGTAGGATATAGTCTCTTTGACAGCAGAAACAATGCCTACTTTGGCAGCAGAACTTTGGCAGCGTACTATAAGATCACATGTTGCAGAGACATGGTTCTGTAGACTCCATTCAAAACTATGTTTTGGGCATGTCAAACATATAGCAATAGCTCCCTTTTTTTTTTTTTTAAACTATAAAATAGACAGGTAATCAGTGTTTTTTCCCAACGTGTATAGGTTGCATCCATGAACCAACGTAGAGTGGACTTCTACCTGGGTGCAGTGAGCGACAAACTGCTTGCTGTTGGAGGTAGGAATGAAAATGGCGCCTTATCTTCGGTTGAATCCTACTGCCCTCAGCAGGATACCTGGACATATGTATCTGAGCTGCCAAGGTGAACCTGTGCTTTGAATTCTATAATTAATAAACCAGTTTCGTACATCTGTATTTCTAATAACCGTGATTTGCAGGGCTGTACCTATCATTGTAAAAGTGGCAGGAAGCCTAACCAACACCCCTGCCAATTGTACGTTAGTGTGTTGGATAAATCCTTCAAATATCTGCTTCTTTGCAATAGTCCCTAGCCATTGCCTCTTTTAATAGCTGTTCCAGGGATGTCGGGGATGACTCACACTGTATCGAATACTTTTTGATTGATTGTAATAATTGGATCTATTTTAATTCAGTCTAATGCCTCCACAACACCAAACTCTGACAGCAGCAAAGCAAGACTTAACCTTTAATGAGCAACCTGTCTCCGTGACGGCTGACCTTAGCACATAAGACATTTCCCTTAATACTCAACCAGTCAATAGGATTTGTGGTTCACAAACACTGGGTGCAACAGTCAGTCTCTTTTACTCTACCATTTCGAACAGTTTAAATAGCTTTTGCATTATATAAAGGGGCAGTAAAATGGCATTTTATTTTAATTAATCTTCTAAAAATAATTCTGTTTTTTTTTTTTTTTTTACAACAATTTTTTGCCACTTAATCAATCACTCCTTTTCTGTTCCTCGCTCCCAGCCTGCAGTGTTCCATCTTTTTACTACAAACTTTTTTACTACACAACCCTCCCAAAATTTGCAGTGAACAAAGAGGCACACTTTAATTTTAGGGGTGAGGGTGGGGCCAGGGACAGAGCTGTTCTGAGAAATTGTAGGTGACTTACTAATAAAAATAAAGGCAAATAAAATATTATTATTTAAAACCAGAACAATGTATCCTATTCACACAGACTGATTTCTAAAAACATTTATTGTAGTTTAATGACACATTACTGGGAGTATTATTGCTGTGGAGCTCTGTTATACACTCAGACACATTACTGGGAGTAATATTGCTGTGGAGCTCTGTTATACACTCAGACACATTACTGGGAGTATTATTACTGTGGAGCTCAGTTATACACTCAGACACATTACAGGGAGTATTATTGCTGTGGGGCTCTGTTATACACTCAGACACATTACTGGGAGTATTATTGCTGTGGAGCTCTGTTATACACTCAGACACATTACTGGGAGTATTATTGCTGTGGAGCTCTGTTATACACTCAGACACATTACTGGGAGTATTATTGCTGTGGAGCTCTGTTATACACTCAGACACATTACTGGGAGTGTTATTACTGTGGAGCTCGGTTATACACTCAGACACATTACTGGTAGTATTATTGCTGTGGAGCTCTGTTATACACTCAGACACATTACTGGGAGTATTATTGCTGTGGAGCTCTGTTATACACTCAGACACATTACTGGGAGTATTATTGCTGTGGAGCTCTGTTATACACTCAGACACATTACTGGTAGTATTATTGCTGTGGAGCTCTGTTATACACTCAGACACATTACTGGGAGTATTATTGCTGTGGAGCTCTGTTATACACTCAGACACATTACTGGGAGTATTATTGCTGTGGAGCTCTGAGCTGGGAGTATTATTCTGTGGAGCTCTTATACACTCAGACACATTACTGGGAGTATTATTGCTGTGGAGCTCTGTTATACCCTCAGACACATTACTGGGAGTATTATTGCTGTGGGGCTCTGTTATACACTCACACACCAACAATATGGTGCTCCTAGAAAAAAGCATACCTCCCAACATCGGCAGACCCAGAAATGGGATGCTGGTGGGAGGGGGGTAAAGATACTATTGCATCACTGGTTCTGACTCAAGGGAGTGGACCTCCACAAAAAGGCTGCCTGAGGGCAGACTCTGCAGGGAGCCCTGTTTCAGCGCTCTCTGTAATGCCCTTGTGCCCTAAACGTAGCACAAGGGAGTCTTATGATGCGCTTTCACTATGTTTGGGTCAGTTCCCTGGTGTCCCCAAAAGTGGGACATCAGAGGACTAGGGTGGGATGACAGGATAGGACCCAAAAATCAAGACTATCCAGAGGCATGAATGATAGACATTGGGGCCCAAATAGGGACTATCCCTCCTAAATAGGGACACTTGGGAGGTTTGTATACATGGTGTTGTGACTAGCATTTCTGGTTGTTGTGGTTAATTTGTTCGATACCTGGAGTCTCCTACAGAACAACCTCAAAACAAAGAAGAAAAATTCTCAGACATGAAGATTATTTCCTAAACAGTCAGTTTAAATAGAAAACGCGCTTGTAAAAATGTTGTCAAAAATGCTGAAAAAATAGTTAGTTTTCTTTTCTTTTTTCTTTAAGTATGTAAATTCTTTTGATTATGGGACCACTAAAATATATGCCATCACCGAATACAGTCCACTTCATTATATTGGTTAATAAATATTATGGTTGGATCTAGAGTTAAAGAAGGGAATTGGAGGGTACGACTGGAAAACCAAAATATGTACAAAATACAGATTGAGGAAGTCAGTCGCACTCAAAAAAAAAAATAATTAAAAAAATACAGTTTTCAATTTGACAAAACGACTTATCAGCTATTGTAACTAACCAATATGGGGATTCAGTTACACCATATGGCCTTATTGTGTTACGTCACAGTACTCCATTATCGGTGGGTCCTACACTAATTGTAACACGGGACATAAACATGCTAACTGCAATACTGCTTAAACTGCTTCCAAACACTCTCCTCAAATGTATGCTTTGTGGTCAGCTCCATTTGTTTTCTATGATAGGCTATGCTAAGTAATCTTGTTAAAACGGTGTTTTTAAAATGTACTTTATTTAATTAATTTTGTGTGCGCTGTTCCCTAATCTGTATTTTTGGTCTTTATGGCAGCACCAATGCTGAGAAATGCACGTTTCACAATTTGCCTGCAATTTTCTTCATTCGTGTATATTTATAATTCAGACCAGATTCCTTTTGGGTTGAGCACCCGGCCCATCCAATATCAATTTCAGAGACAACATGGGTTTACTTCAGGGAGATCATGCCAAACTAATCTTAGTGATTTTTTTGATTGGGTAACTAAAATTATAGATCAGGGTGGTGCAGTAGGCATTGCTTACCTAGATTTCAGTAAGGCATTTGACACTGTTGCACATAGAAGGCTTATCAATAAACTGCAATCTTTAAGTTTGGATTCCAATATTGTTGAATGGGTAAGGCAGTGGCTGAGTGACAGGTAACAGAGGGTTGTAGTTAATGGAATATATTCGAAGCTTGGACTTGTCACCAGTGGGGTACCTCAGGGATCTGTACTTGGACCCATTCTCTTTAATATTTTTATTAGTGATATTGCAGAAGGTCTTGATGGTAAGGTATGTCTTTTTGCTGATGATACTAAGATATGTAACAGGGTTGATGTTCCAGGAGGGATAAGCCAAATGACAAATGATTTAGGTAAACTAGAAAAATGGTCAGAATTGTGGCAACTGACATTTAATGTGGATAAGTGCAAGATAATGCATCTTGGACGTAAAAACCCAAGGGCAGAGTACAGAATATTTGATAGAGTCCTAACCTCAACATATGAGGAAAGGGATTTAGGGGTGATTATTTCTGATGACTTAAAGGTAGGCAGACAATCAGTGGCGTACACATGATCCATGGGGCCCCGGTGCGAAAATTGATCCGTGGGCCCCCCCGCGCTTACTCGGCGCGGGTCGGGGCCGCAACACATGGCGGCGGGCACCTGGTCGCAGGGGTTGCAGGGCTGCGACCCCGCGACCGCGGTATGCACACACACTTAAAGGACCACTACAGACACCCTGATCACATCAGCTCAATGAAGTGGTCTGGGTGCCAGGTCCCTCTAGTTTTAACCCTGCAGCTGAAAACATAGCCGTTTCAGAGAAACGGCTATGTTTCACTGAGGGTTAATCCAGCCTCTGGTGGCTGTCTCATTGACAGCTGCTAGAGGAGCTTCCACTGTGAAAATCACAGTGAGAAAACACTGTACGTCCATAGGAAAGCATTGAGTAATGCTTTCCTATGGGCGGTTTAAATGCGCGTGCGCCTCTTGCCGCGCATGTGCATTCGGAGCTGAGAGGCGGAGGGATCCCCAGCGCCAAGGGAGTCCTACGCTGGAGAAAGGTAAATGCTAAAGACATATACACACACACACACACTCTCACGAACAGACCCATACACACTAGCTAACAGAAACACACATTTACTGACAGAGACACACTCAGTGACAGACATACATACACACTCACTTACAAAACATACTTTCACTGACAAACACACTCACTAACAGACATCAAACACACTCAGTAACAGACACACACAGTAACACACTCACTAGCAGACACACTCACTGACACACACACTAACACAAACACTAAAACACACACACACACACACTAACACACATACAGTAACACACACACACACACATACACTAACACAAACACACACATACACTAACACACACACACATACACTAACACACACACACACACACACACACTAACAAACACACACTAACATACACATACATACACTAACACACACACACACATACATACATACACTAACACACACACACACTCACACTAACACACACACACATTTAAAAAAAAAAATGTAATCCCCCCAGCCTTCTTACCTTTTGGAGTGCTGGGGGGATTCCCTGGGGTCCAGTGGTGCTGCTGGGCGGGCGGGCTGTCTGTCTGTCTCGGTGGCCGGCGCGCGAGGGAGCACTCAGTGCTTCCTCTTCAGCTCCCTCGCGCGCCGCGTGGGGATGCCGAGCCGGAAGATGACGTCATCTTCAGGCTCCGGTATCAGTGCGGTGCGCGAGGGAGCTGAAGAGGAAGCACTGCGTGCTCCCTCGCGCGCCGGCCACCCACCCAGCCAGCCCGCCCGCCGGGGTCAGCAGGGCCAGCCTCGGGGGGGCCTGAGGTGGCCGCCTCCTGGGCCCCCCAGGAGAAGAGGCTGGCCCTGTGGGTATATACCGGGTCGCAGGGGCGGCCGGGCCCCCTGGTGGGCCGGGCCCGGTCGCAGCCGCGACCCTGGTATGTACGCCACTGGAGACAATGTAATAGAGCAGCAGGAAATGCTAGCAGAATGCTTGGTTGTATAGGGAGAGGTATTAGCAGTAGAAAGAGGGAAGTGCTCATGCCATTGTACAGAACACTGGTGAGACCTCACTTGGAGTATTGTACACAGTACTGGAGACCGTATCTTCAGAAGGATATTGATACCTTAGAGAGGGTTCAGAGAAGGGCTACTAAACTGGTTCATGGATTGCGGGATAAAAACTTACCAGGAAAGGTTAAAGGATCTTAACATGTATAGCTTGGAGGAAAGACGAGACAGGGGGGATATGATAGAAACATTTAAATATATAAAAGGGAATCAACACAGTAAAGGAGGAGACTATATTTAAAAGAAGAAAAACTACCACAACAAGAGGATATAGTCTTAAATTAGAGGGACAAAGGTTTAAAAAATAATATCTGGATGTATTACTTTACTGAGAGGGTAGTGGATGCATGGAATAGCCTTCCAGCTGAAGTGGTAGAGGTTAACACAGTAAAGGAGTTTAAGCATGCGTGGGATAGGCATAAGGCTATCCTAACTATAAGATAAGGCCAGGGACTAATGAAAGTATTTAGAAATATTGGGCAGACTAGATGGGCCGAATGGTTCTTATCTGCCGTCACATTCTATGTTTCTATAATGCACATTTGGAGGTGACCACAGGAGAGTATGCATTTAAGAATAATCCCTGGAAGTATTGCAGTCAGCATGTTAATCTCCCATGTTAAAATTAGAGTAGGACCCACCAATATTTGGGTACTGTGACGTAGTGGGCTTAACACGATACGGCTGTATGGTAGAAATGATCCACATATTTGTTTGCTGAGAGGTGATTTTAAGACGACATTTATTTTTTGTATGTGCTGTTCCTTAATCTGTACTTAGATTAAGTTTTTCTGCCAATTGATGAGAAACAACACTTAACTAAATACATCGCAAAGGACACAAGTTGACCTGGCTTGAATCTCATTGTTTAATGCGTTTACATTTTAAAAGAAAACTGAATGCGATATCCAGGCTGGGTGGATCTATCTTCTAATTCTTGTGTATATTTTAAACAGCTTGTTTTCCTTTAACAAACACATCGTTACCATATCAACATTCATTTTATCAGGAAGATTTTGGTCTGTGAGTTTTTTTTATTTTTTTATTGCAATCAGTTAAACCTCAGCGGTATAGTTTTATCACTCCGTTATGAATTAATACTTTTCTGTTTTGATATAATTTGGAAAAGCGTATATTACAGAAGAAGTTGTAATACAGAATTTATCAGAGTGTGATGCAATGTGAATGGTTTCGATATTACCGCTGTATAGGCCTGCCCAATTCATCTACATTCACAGCTAAATCCAATGTGGCACTGTGTGTGTATAAACATTCCATGTTCCACGTCTATTCCCCGGGGAAGCGGAGCCAGTAAATGATGCAATAACAGTGCAAAATAAACTGGGGTGTTTGTGTGGACATGTTTTGTTTCCGCTCGATTAGATTGCAGCGTTAGAATAAAGCAGGTACTTGGTAGAAAGAACCATGATTTAAAAACCCAGCCCACTGACTGTTAATGCCACACTTTGGAGTTGTATATAAAGCACTAATTTGAAGGGAATCGGAAATTCCAATTTTTTTGTGTGCGTGTGTGATTATGCATGTGAAAAAAGATTTTCTTCTTTTTTTTGTGTGTGTTTAACAAGAAACTATTCTATATTCAGCATGATTTCCATAGTGGGTATGAGAAAAAAAAATTAAAATAAACAGAAATTCAGTAACTGGAAACGCTCTCTTGGGCAACAGAAAGCACCAGCGGACAAAGGAGTGTGTGCAAGGATCTTATAAAGGAAGTACAATGCTACCATTGTGGTTGGTTTTAAAGCAACTGTAGGGACAGGCACCATGATACCCACCAAAGTGAGAAACATGTAATGTAGCAAGTCTAAAATAATTAATTTGTGTTACTGGACAAACAGAATACATGCATGCCAACACCAGCAAGAATATAGCCGGGGCACGAGGGCTTTAGTAGAGATTGGTATGCATGTGGGCAGGCCAGTGATGCCACTTGCGTCATTACAAGTGTGCAAAAGAAGTGTGCCACCTTGGTGAACTTGCATGCTCGGAGGAAAGGTGGCCCTGGAGGACAGCTAATCAAGGCTGATTGTGCTTCTTGATCTAAATATTTAGCAATCAAGACTTTAAACTTTAACCTACCATTTGTTTATCAAAAACCTCATAAAGATAAGGGACTCTTTGGTGATCCGTTGTTGTATGGCTGTTAAATTAATGAAAGAATAAATATGTTTAACATAACAAAATGTAAAAAGGAGACATTCCTGGTTAGAATTCACCCCCTGTTTTACAATATTTAAAAGAGGTTCTGCAGGCTACAGGTCTCCCCCTGTTTTTCATGCATTACTGAGCTTATACCCCCCCCAAAATAGAACCAAAATAATTAATTGGTGCAGCTTTTATTATATATTTTGCTTATTTTTTTTACAATTTTTTTTTTTGTAGATTCACTTATGGCCATGCTGGAACTGTGCACAAAGAATATGTCTACATATCTGGGGGACATGACTACCAGATCGGGCCTTACAGGAAAAACATGTTGTGTTACGACCATCGTGCAGACGCATGGGAGGAGAGGCGGCCCATGATCACGGCTCGAGGTTGGCACAGCATGTGTACTTTAGAAGACAGTATTTACTCTATAGGTGGCAGCGATGATAACTTGGAGTCGATGGAACGGTTTGATATACTCAGTGTGGAGAGCTACAGCCCCCAGTGTAACCAATGGACTCGAATAGCCCCCTTGCTGCAGCCAAACAGTGAATCCGGAGTGGCTACTATGGATGGCAAAATTTATATCCTTGGTGGTTACAGCTGGGAGAACACAGCATTTTCTAAAGCCGTACAGGTGTATGACAAGGATAAAAAGAAATGGGTGAAAGGGGCCGACTTGCCCAAAGCAATTGCTGGTGTATCAGCTTGCATCTGCATTCTTAAAACTGGTGAGGCAAGAAACAAAAAATCAAAGACAAAAAGATACTCCGACAGAGGCCGGTGAGGCTGCATTAAAGGGGGGGGATAGAATTTACATTGTGGATATTTTATATACAAAATAAGAGAATGGTTATTAGATTTTGTAATGATACCACAACGGGAACGCTCTATGGGAGTGCAGTAACATCGAGTTCCACGTGTTTTGCAGTGCCATTAACAGAAGCATCCTGTTTTATTTTTCATTCTGCATTTATAAACAAACACACGTGAGTATCGTAACCCAGTGATACGTGTTAACTTTCCTTTTGGCTCTGGTGAAAGTATCATACTAAACTCCTGATTTATAGCATTCATTACTCACTGGAGTAAAGAAGAATACAGAGGTCCACCAATTCTGTGTCCCTTCCTAGGAGACAAACGGGGGCCTTTTATTAGCAACACACTGCTAATGAATCATTTGATCATTGTTACAAGATCGGTAATAGACTGTCCTGAGAGAGATACTTTAGTTTATTTTAAAGTACATTCCCAAAGAAGCAAAACATTTAAGCAAACTAGCCGCCACTATTAAACAAAAGTGCGACAGACTGCTCGAGTTTGTATTTAAAAGGATGCATGCGTCAAGGTATAGTTTTATATCGTGTGTGCGTGTGCTTGTTTAATTGGCTCCCAAGCTGTAGATATTGATAGGATATTAATCCCCCTTCAGTTCAGCTCTCGCAGGGATCCCATTCAGAGTCCAATCACGTGTGCGTCGATTGCATGTGTAAGCATTGCAGTCATGTGACACAAGGAGAGGACATTGGCTGTGGAAAAGACTTTGTTTGCATGGCATCAGAAAAAGCATCTTTAAAAACATATGTTGTATTTATACGGCTAAAACCATTGCGCAAAGAATAGAATTACAAATCTGATTAATTTCCTTTGCATAACATGTTAATCTCTTGTCAATTTGAGATAGCATGTAAGAAGGATTTTGAAAAATAATTTTATTTTAATTTTAAAGAACTGGCCTTTTCCCTCTAACTATGGCTTAACTGTAAAAAAAAAAAAAATAAAAAAAAAAATTACAAAGTTTTTTTGTTTTTTAAATTGTATTTTAATATTGTCAAAAAAAAGTTGATATTTTATTTTTTTAAAGGTGATGACAAATCTCAGCAAGAAATTTTGGTTGGTTGTTTTTTGTGTTGCCGATTTTTTTTTTTTTAAAGAAACATATATTTTTTTTTAATAAACAGCTTACAAAGAGAAACAAAAAACATTTGATCTATTTAAATATAGATAAATAGCTAACTAAAACCTGTCAGGAAAATATGACAAATATGGGCAAAGTTCATAGAACCAGAATCGGGGGAAAGGCAGCAGGATTTTTATAGCAAATTAAAGGTAATCCTGAAAACCATCATGAACGAATATTTCCATAACTTAATAATTAATAATATACTTATTAAAATATATAATAAGAGATGTCCAGCCCATTAATTAACTACACAAAAAACCAAACCGCATGAAGCCCTCTTTCCCCAGAAATACGAAGGCTTGGATCCAAACCTGAAACTTTAAATGTTTTCTCAATAAATAGCTGGGGATTAACCAGATGTGTCTAGTGTAATCGGAAATAATGCTAATTAAAAAGTATTGAGCTAATTAATATGTTCCCTGGGGAGGCTGCTGTTTCAAGTAACTTTAAAGGATGCGCACAGGAGATAGGTCTAACATGTCACATAGGTCAGGTTAGGTAATGAGAAAGACCTTCCAGATGGAGGCTGCTAGACCCAGCTCTGGCCTTTTCGACATTATGCCACCATCTCATATCGAGAAAGAACTTTAAGGATGATAAAAAAAAAAAACAAGCTCTTTAAAGTGGCTCTGTCACTCCTGAGTATTTTATAAAGAACATCTTTTGGACAAGCCTGAGGTTGACAAAAGTTGAAAATCCTGCTGTCAATCTTGTGCAGTCCCAGCAACCATCACAACAGATGGAGATTCTGGCATCATCTCACTCATTGGAAGCTCCTGATCTCGGGAGGCTTCCACAGTCTTGCGGGTGGTCTGCAGGAAGACTAAAGTGTCACCACGAGGGACTACATCTACCTTAAACACTGCACCCCATTGCCACCAGACACTTATCAGAGACGTCATCTACGTGAGTCTTTGCAAAATATGAAAGTGACCAATCCGGTTTAAGTAATACAAGGTCATTTTGAATATGATGGTTACATGCGGTCTCAAGATCAAGCACGGGCCCATTAATATTAAGACGTTACAATGTTTAGAAACAAATCCACAATTGTGACAGGCCTATACATAGTGTTCATTTTATTGGGTTCTAACTTCTTATTCAGCTCAGACTGTTATTTTAGAGTAAACCAGGTTATGAATCAAAGAATTATTAAAAAAAATAAGAAAAAAAAATTGATGTTTAACTTTTGTAAATTGTCTTGTTTTATTATCTTGTGAATTGCATTTATATTTATTTATGTGATGATTATGTTTTAATTATGTTAAAAGTAAAAAAAAAAAAATAGACTAATGTTGTTATTTGAAAATGTCAGGATTCCTTCTTTCTTATATATGATAATTAGTCTCCTGTAACCTACAAGAAGGTTTTATGGATTTCTGGACCTTCCAGGAGGCTAACCACACGGATTGGAATAAGACTCTGTAGTGTGTGGTGGGCATATTATTGCCGTGTGTTTAAAGCTCAGTCTGAGTTTTAAAGAGACGCAGCAGGTGAATTGTCACAGTTATAAGTAGATGGGTAAAATCTACACTAATGATGAGAATTTGTTATTGTACATAGAGTGATCCTTTAACACAGGGCTAACAAAACCATTTTCTTTCCCGGATGCCTCCTTTCTTGTACTGTGAATATTTACTGGTGACAAGTGTGCCATTATTTTTGTATGGAATTCCGAAGACATTTGTTGTCCCTGTAATTTCTTCTAAACCTAATGATTTCTGGTTTAAGGAGAATCTGTGAACTTGACCTCTTCCCAGTACTGAATCCCGTGTCCGTCAGTTCTCTGTTTAGAACTATTTGGCTCGAATGAATTAATGAATGAATGAATTAATTAATTTCTCTGTGACAGTCACACAATTTTGGGTCCTGTCCTAGCAAAAATAAGTCCCGTGGACCTGTTTCACCAGCAGATTTCAAATAGCAGTAGGGGGCTGGATACTAGAATCAAGCACAGTGTGAAACATTCATGGTCTGCTTGAGGGAGCAGGTGGTCAATGAGCCTGACTATCCTGTTGATGGTGGCTCTGCCACTGTGATGGCCCACTTCCTGCACAGTGCTCTGTGTGACTGCACTCTTCCAATGCCCACCTCGGTCAAGGAACGTGGGCAGGGAAGATTGACAGGTATGTTAAAGAAAACAGAGGGGAAAAAAATCCACATTACCCCTCCATTCTGCTGTACCTCAAAAGAGATAATAGGGCGAGGGGCATTGTATGGACACATCCGCTACCCCCCCAAGATTATTAAACCCCTTTTATACACAGCACACAGGTTGAGGGAAGAACAGTACATCTACATGGCCTCTTTTTTGCAATGTGCCTTTGGCCTCTGCTTTATTGGTTGGTGGCAAATGGTTATAAGAAAAACGAAAACAGAAATTCTCCATATGTATCCACACACACACACACTACATCGGTCTAACTATCTCTGCAGTTGCATAGCGTAAAGAGGTGACACAGGGGAGATTACCATGGGTGCAAAATTCTTAGGGGTGCAAAAAACTAGAATTTAGTAATAATAATTTAAAAATAGCGTGCCCTCCCCCTCACACAGAAAATATCCCAATGTTAAAACATTCTACACAGGTTTTTCAACATGACAAGGCAAATAAAGGTTGCCACGTAACATTTCGCAGTATTTTTCGTAATACAATTACAGCCATACTGTCCTCGTGTAATCCGTATCAGTGAATTACACAATGCCTATTGTTAGCAGGATTTCCAAATTGAAGATACCACCAGTATCCTATTATGTGCTTATTAAATAGTACCATACAGGTACGCCAGTAACGGGCATCTAGATAGTCTCGCTCCTTCCCTACCCGCCTCATCTCCGTGATGTGTGTAACACTGATAGTTGTGTGATTTTTAAAATACATCTCACATATAAAGTAATGTGTGTAACTGCCATCTATGTGACCTTTTCACACTATAGTTATAAACTGCATACTCTTCTACAAGCAACCTTTATTCACTAATATCTTAGTGACCGTTTGCTAAAGTAAATTCAAAAATAAAACAAACATTACAGACTTCAGCGGGTGAAGATTAACAATGAAGAGCATTGCAAGTGAGTTTAGCTCAAGGAAAATATCTTAAGGGTCAAAGAGCAGAACTGATTCCAAAGGGTGATTTACTGTTCTGTTTAACAATGGAATAATAAAAAGCCTAATCACAGACAAAATTCTATCCAGAATGTGTCATTCATATGGTTTCCTGTATTTATTTCAAATACCAGAATCTTATTGGGCTGCTCTTCAAAGAAAACTCAATAAAGTATCACTTAAAATAAAACTCTGTTACTTGCTTTGCACTCATGAAGACACACCATAAGTAATTGGCTGCGGTGGGATATAGTCGAAATTGCTAGACATTTGTGTGAAAATAACACTTTTTCAAAAAATGACTGTTACGGACCGCCTGGCACCCCGACTGGGTACCTCTGCCAACCAAGTACTCCAAGCACTACACCAGACACCATCAGCACAGTAGCCCCTTAGCCACTGCAGCTTGGCTGGGGTCTCGCTGTCCTCCACCCACCCTGGACCAAAGACCAAGATCCAACATCCATTGGGTAGACCTTTCCTACTCCAGAGAGTACAGCAGGATAGCTCTTACAAGAGCTAGTGATTATAATCTAAGGGAGTATAGTGAATATAGCAATCCCCAGAGTGAATATAGTTGTCCCCTCCACACATGAGACAAGGCTCTATGTTGAGGGTGAAGAGGAACTGTTTAATGGCAGCTACAACTGGCCTTATATGCAAATGCCCAGGCAAGGGGTTTTCAATAACATATTCCAGGAGCATTCCCCACTGGACATGAGAGGGGACTGTGACAAAGTACACACTGGAATTACATTGGCTCTCAGGTCCAGGACACTGACAGCACAAAATAAGATAATCACTACCCTGTGTTTGAGATTTAATTGAGTCAGGAACTGTACTAAACTCAATTATCTCCAGGCACAGAAAACATATAGTTACAATAACCTGAAAGTACTCCCAAAACACATGGAAACCCCACAAAAGTCATATCCCCTGGTAGCCCCGATCTGGGGGACCAACATATCCAAAAATCACTCAGACCAGTTCAGGTGTTCGGGATTTCCACGGAAGTCAATTCTGACCGAACATGCACATGGTCTTATGCCCAAAACCGTTCCAGAGAACCAGGGCTAACGGTCGGTCTCTCTTTCTGGAGTACAAAAGTACATAAATCACATGAACGGAGCCTTTTAAAGTGCATTGGGCAAGGTATATTGCAGGGCCCATAGTCCTGAGGCTGGCAAGCAGGCCCCTCCAAGAGCCTGTGACAAGGTTCAAACTGAGACAAATCCTGACTTATTAAATTTGTAGGTAATAGGAGTAGGTGATGTGTAGAGTCCCAAAAGGGGAAACCAACATCAGGAGAGCTCCACTGTATAAGAAATGAGGAAGGGAGGCCCTACCTTTAATCAATCTAAGGATAAAAAGGGATATGCAAACAAAAAGTATAACTTGAAAAAAGGGAGATCTACTAAACGGTGCCCAGGGGATCAATTGTCTGGAGTACTAGCTAGCATCTAAGTTCCAGTTCCCCTAGTGTCCGACTGACAGGAAGGTAGTGTAAACGAGGTTAGGGAGAGAGCAGAGGCACAGGGTCCCCAGAGAACAAGGGACTGGGTAATCAGGTCTAAACGCAGATGAAAAGCCTCACACAAAAAATAAATAATTAAATAAATCTCTCAATTCACCCTAAAAGTTACCTCGACACCGTGGTCTAACCACTAGTGTCTACCTGAACCAACTCTCCCTAGTAAAGTTCTAAATAAATACACACCTAAAAATCAAAACCATAGTGGTAACAAAAATAAAAAAGTGCTACTAAGTGCAGAGATTAAAGAAAAAGAGAACGCTCGACGCGCGTTTCAGCGTGTTCAAAACGCCGTCGTCAGGAGCCTGTGAATTGAGAGATTTATTACCGTTTAGTAGATCTCCCTTTTTTAAAGTTATGCTTTTTGTTTGCATATCCCTTTTAATCGTTAGATTGATTAAAGGTAGGGCCTCCCTTCCTCATTTCTTATACAGTGGAGCTCTCCTGATGTTGGTTTCCCCTTGTGGGACTCTACACATTACATACTCCTATTACCTACATACTTTGGAGGGTTACCCCCTCATTGAAGCTCCCTATTAGGTGGTTACAGTGGTGCAGCTCATGAGCCCTTGACTTGTATCCGGACTCCTGACCTGCACTCTGTTTACTTTATTTCTCCATTTTGTTATTAAATTTGTAGTTTATTGACTTATTTATTTTATTGTGGGAACACTACAGGTAAGTAAAAGTAGTGAAGACTCGATACTTCTCATAATGGGTCGACTCATTAAGTAAATCGCACCCAGAAAAGGGCAGACTGGGCCCACCCACTGACAAGCTGTTTGACCAGCACCAGCTTTTAGGACCAGGCAGGAAATGCTACTGAAGTGCCACCTGCATTGTCCCAGCGCTCGCTGCACAATGCAAGCGCAACTAATGATGCAGTCGCTCTATGCTGCCTGGGGACAAATCTAATTCCGATATTTACACAATAATATCAGTTCAGCTAATGTGGCTTAAATGGTTAATCGAAGAACCATGACCACTTTACTGATTTGAAGTGTTTATGGTGCCTAGAGTCTTCATGTACAGTATATTGCTATGAAACGCTGTACACGGGGCACAGTGCTACAGATAGAAACGTGTTACTAACAAGCTGCTGAAATGGGTTTGTACCTTGTACTCCTACAATGTTTAAGCTGCAAAACCAATTTCATCTGTGCAAAAGGATACTACTGTTCAGTGAAGATCAAACAGCCCTTGCACACTTAATTCACTCCTCAATGTAAAATGGACCAATTCTCAAAAAGATAAACTCCACTTTTAGACGCAGGTATTACAACAATGTATATTGTGTTTTGAATGTTGCAATATGATTTGCAGAGATCCGCAATACACTGTACAATGAATTGCCAATATAAATGTAATATCATTCTTCCTCTGTACAGTTTGTAATACTCCAAACACATAAAGCATGTCTGCCTAGGTGTTTTCATGTATGAACACCATGTCATTTTTTTTTTTTTTATATTGTAATGCCAGTTTTAAAAGGCATACACATTACATGCATATTTTCTCTGAGGGTATATCTACTAAACTGTTATTTTTCTAATGCAGTGTTCCTTTAAACTGCTATACGCTGTAAATGAACTATGATACAGAGTTATCAGTCTGCTATACACAGCCCTTCATCAGATGCGCAACCATAAAAGTCACATTTTTATATAAAAAGAAAATGAACACAGACACACAGTTGTAATGTGTAATAGTGCAACCCAAATGTGTAATGGAAATGTAGAACTATCAAAATGACATGCATTGTCCAAGTGATCCTGAAACATTTTATACTTTTGACTGTTCTATATCCGCCATTAACTTTTGGGTAGCATACGCACCTAGCATCGACACTTTGTGCATACGTTCATTTTTTTTTTTTGGCATCTTATTGTGTACTGCAGTGGGTCAATTTCTAGGGAATCTGTGTGGCTTGCTTGACCTTCCACAATCTCCTTCTGTAACACCCACCTCCGGTCTGTCCTTTAAAAAGATCAAAAGTAGTGTGGGCACTACAACGGCTCTTAAAAGTTTTTTTAGCTACTGCAGTCCCCTACTCCTAACCTATGTTAACATTTTCTCACATCCTTTTGCACCAAACTCTTTCTGTAGGGTTAATAGTCCCAGGACTTCCCATACAGCTCCTGAATGGTTTGAGACATGAAAGGTCATACTGGCACACACTCAGTCCCTCACTGCCCATATAGCCCATGTGGACTATGCACTTCATATTTCCATGTCATTAATTAGCGTATTAAAGGGACACTATAGTCATCAGAACAACTACAGCTTATTGAATTTGTTCTGGTGAGTAGATTCATTACCTTTAGGCTTTTTGTTGTACACACTGTCTTTTCAGAGAAAATGCTGTGTTTACATTACAGCCTAGTGATAACTTCACTGGCCACTCCTCAGATGGCCATTAGAGATCCTTCCTGGGTCATGGCTGCCTAAAATGCATCCAAACATTCAGTATCTCCTCCCTCTGCATGCAGACACTGAACTTTCCTTATAGAGTCATTGATTCAATTCATCTCTATGAGGAGATGCTGATTGGCCAGGGCTGTGTTTGAATTGTGCTGGCTCTGTCCCTGATCTGGCTCTTTGTCAGTCTCAGCCAATCCTATGGGGAAGCATTGTGATTGGATCAGGCTACCACTACTGCTGATGTCAGCAGGCAGTGGGCAGGTCTAAAGTAAACAGGGACATTGCATGCAGCTGCAGACTTGAATACAAGTAAGATTTTACTATTTTAGGGAGACATGAGGGGACAAGGGTGGCTAGATGGTGGTTTTTTTTTTACCCTATAGGGTCATGAATACATGTTTGTGTTCCTGACCCTATAGTGCTCCTTTAAAGCAAGTTCCTCATGAGCAATATTCACAGGATGTGGCTGGGCCATTGTCACTTAGAGGATCCTTGGTTTGTCTCAATCTGTTAGAAAATAGTTTAAATTGGCGTAGTCGTGGCAACAGTCTCTTTTTTTTAAGGATCCCCAACTTTTCATGTCCTTGGTGTCCTCTCAAAGTAAGTATTGTAGTGATTTACTCCCCAAATCACCTTATGTTTCTCCAATCTTGCTTTCTTTCAAGGTGCCGACATCTAGACTGGATCTAATTCCTGCGCATTTCCAACCTGCACGTTTTATGCGACACTCGGAAATGATGATCTCACAAGACTACCGAGGACAGGATGGAAAAGTGAGTTTTGTGGGAAAATATTAGTTGACAAAGAAAGGAAGTAGTCCCTACTGTCTTATCAGAAATGAAGAAAAAAGTGTCAGATTCTGAAAGAGTTAGGGAGGGCGTCAGTGGGGTTGAAACAACTAGAGATAGTAAGTTTGGGGTAACAGAGCCGCTTTAAAAGGACACTGGGCACTATGACAACTTAATTGCACTTGATCGTTTTTTGCCTTTTTTTCATGCGATTTCATCGAATATCTTCCTTTTAAATATTAACCCCTTAAGGACTGGGCCAAATGTACACGTTTTGATCAAAATAAAACGTAAACAAAACCTGGCATTTGCGCTATATGTCTGTTCAACCGTAATTCACCTCTTTCATATTAAGTGCACCCACACTTATATATCATTTTATTCAGGAGAAATATGGCTTTCATTTAACATCAAATATTTAGCTATGAAACATAATTTAATGTGAATAAAATATACAAAAATGGGAGAAAATAAGAAATGTTATTTTTTTTTAGTTCTACGTGACATTTTAACTTTGAATGTCATAATACTGTTTGCTTTTACTGCAATAAAATACACATATTTGTATTAAGTGATGTCTCACGTGTAAAACAGTACCCCCTAGATACAGGTTTTATGGTGTTAAGGGAAGTTACAGGGTCAAATATAGCATGTTAAGTTTTTCAGTTTTTTCACATTGACATTCGCCAGATTGGTTACGTTGCCTTTGAGAGCGTATGGTAGCCCAGGAATGAGAATTGCCCCCATGATGGCATACCATTTGCAATAGTAGACAACCCGGGGTATTCAATGGGGTATGTCCAGTCTTATTTAGTAGCCACTTAGTCACAAAACACTGGCCAAAGTTAGCGTTAATATTTATTTGTGTGAAAAATGCAAAACACCAATTTGAACGCCAATTTTGGCCAGTGTTTGTGTTTTGTACAAACCAAAATGGAACAGCAGAAAAAATTGCAGACAATAAGCACTAAGGAATATTTTAGCACAAATAATGGCGTAACCTGGAAAAATACCAGAAAATAAAAACACATAAAATGCTCAACACTTAATACACACCCCTACATTACCACACACACACTATCTTCCATACACTGACACACTCACACACACATTATCTGCCATACACTGACACACTCACTATCTGCCATACAGACACACACACTCACTATCTGCCATACACTGACACACATACACACTATCTGCCATACACTTACACACTCACACACAGTGTTATTCACTACAGTGAGATGTTTAAATGTAAGGCAAAGTGGAAGCAAAGCGGACTTATAGAAAGTTGCCAATTTGACTATTTTGTCATAAAATTTTAAATTCACTATAGCGAATGACCGAGTGTCTCTCTAACATACAGTCTCTGTCTATTTCACAGTCTCTCTCTCACTGACTGTCTCACACTCTCTCTCACTGACTGTCTCTCACACAGACTCTCTCTCTCACTGACTGTCTCTCACACACACAGACTGTCTCACACACGCACAGACTGTCTCACACACGCACAGACTGTCTCACACACGCACAGACTGTCTCTCACACGCACAGACTGTCTCTCACACGCACAGACTGTCTCACACACGCACAGACTGTCTCACACACGCACAGACTGTCTCACACACGCACAGACTGTCTCACACACGCACAGACTGTCTCACACACGCACAGACTGTCTCTCACACGCACAGACTGTCTCACACACGCACAGACTGTCTCACACACACACAGACTGTCTCACACACACACAGACTGTCTCTCACACACACAGACTGTCTCACACACACAGACTGCCTCTCACTCTCTCTGACTGTCTCTCACACACACAGACTGTCTCACACTCTCTCTGACTGTCTCTCACACACACAGACTGTCTCACACTCTCTCTGACTGTCTCTCTCTCAGACTGTCTCTCACACTCTGACTGTCTCTCACACACACACAGACTGTCTCTCTCTCACTGACTGTCTCACACACAGACTGTCTCACACACACAGACTGTCTCACACTCTCTCTGACTGTCTCTCTCTCAGACTGTCTCTCACACTCTGACTGTCTCTCACACACACAGACAGTCTCTCTCACACTGACTGTCTCACTCTCTCTCTCCCTCTCACACCCAGTGACCGCGCGCTCCCTCCCGCCCTCTATCCCCACTCCCCTCCGTCACGTGCCCGGCCCCGCCCCCTCTCCCCGCCGCTGGCCCCGCCCCCGCTGTGAGTGCGCCTGCGCAGTGTGCTCGGCCCGGGCGCTGTGAGTGTGTGTGGCTGCGCGCGCGAGACACAGCGAGAGAAGATGGCGGCGGCGGGGGAAGCGGCATGAGCGGCCTCACTCATTGAAAGCAGCAGCAGCAGCGCTCCGCCATGGCCTCCCCGAGCGCTCAGGTAATCAGAGAGCGGAGCCCGAGCCTGGCGGGGGATCACCCCGGGGCCGGCACACGGAGAGCGGGGGGAGGAGGGAGGGAGGGAGGGAGGGCGAGCACGGCCCGCCAGGCTGCGACTAGGCCCCGGCCTCCTCATATCTGCAGCCTCATCGGGGGGGAGAGGGGGACCGGGGGGCAGGGAGAGGGGGCCCGGGCTGGCCGGGCCAGGCTTGGAGGGGGGCAGGCGGAGAAAGTGATCTGAATGGGGGGGGCCCCCCAAGGAGACTGGGCTTAAAAGGGGGGCCGGGGAGAATGGCCTGAATAAGGAATCCCTAACAGCATGCGAATGCTGCATACACCAGGGCAGCACTTTTCATGTCACCAGCATGAAGACATGTGCCAGGAAACTTGGGGATCTGGCGGAAAGTGAGAGCCATGGGGCTATTTGCTTATCATTAAACTTGGGCAGTTTACCCCCTCTCAGGGCAAACCCAGGGGTCTTTATCCAGATACAATGGGAGGAAGGGGGTGACATACATTTTGGGTTTTACAGTGTTTGCAATAGTTGTATAGTTTAGGTTAATCTTTGGAAGTCCAATTGTGGACTATTTTCATTGATTCACAGCAAGTGGTTTGCTGGCTCAGTATCATTTGAAAATTTTAGGCCTACTCACTAAAGGATGAATTGTCTGGAATTCAAAGTAGAATGGACTCTCTGGGCACCATAACCATTTCATCTCATTGAAATAGTTATGGTGCACACATCCAGGTTTCCACATTAACCCCTTAAGAACACGTGACATGTCATGATTCCCTTTTATTCCAGAAGTTTGGTCCTTAAGGGGTTAAGCTGTACAGTAACTGAACTAACTCCGCCTATCCATTGCTGCTCTGAGTTGTGTGGATAATCTAAAGTTCAACTCCATGTTAGCCCTGTCTCTGATAGGGGATAAAATTGTGGGCACTGCGGACTCCTGTTCATTGCCAAATTAATTCCGATCAGTTTGACACTAAATAGTGGGGTGGGACCAGGGAACACTAGGCATCATCTCCACTTCCAGTGGTTATGGTGCCTAGAGTGTCCCTTAAATTGAAACTTTTAGGCCAAAATGAAAACATAGCCAACTTGAATAACTTTTCCATTATGGCTATTTTAGTATTTGACACACACTTTTCAACGTTTCACTTTTTAGTGAATAACTCTGCCAGCTTTCGAAAGCAGGGACACATGTTGATGGGTGAGCATACTTGTCTATGTAGTCACATCTTGGGAAACCTAGTCTCCACTTGTAGAGCGCAGAAGATTTACCTATCACTGGCATAGAATCCTGTGCAAGGCCTCCTTGATGGGCAGCACCCTATAGTAAAGGCAGGCAGGGTTTTGCCACTGAAAACTATGTACACTCTGCATTGTTCTCCATTCATTCAGAATTTGGTGTGTGATTCTGCTGAGAGAGGATGTTTTAAAAGGCGCTGTGCGTGATAATGTGTAGATTTCAGTGAGCAATGTGCTGGGCCTCACATCTGTTTCCTTTCCAGTTTTACGCACGTGTTTTCTACCCGTCCATGTGGATAGGTGACAAAAGGCAGAGTAAATAATGGGTGTGTTATAGTTGTGTATTCGTAAAGAGACATTTGCAGGTCACGGGTGGAACATGGTATATAGATACCTCTAGCAGTGCATGGATCCCAGCTTTTGTAGACTGGAATTGTAATTTAGGATGGGTTTGGGAACCTTTTATCTTGTAAATGAATGCCAATTACTTGTGGCTTGCTGTGCTAGTTAATCTTTAGTGTGCAGTACACAATGCTGAATGAAACTGCCTGTGGATGGATCCATTTTCTTTAACTGTTCCTGGATTGAAAGCATTGATTTATATGTATACTATCCTTTTTGAAATTTAGTTTAGTGTTTTTAGGGCTAGTAATTTAGAATTCTGTAAATCAGTATGATCTATAAGACTATAGGTTGCAATAATTGTTACACTTCGTCTTTTATACCTGGAAGTATTCACACTGGTTACTGTTTGTCTGAAACTTGTAACCAGTGTATTTTTGTTGTAGGATAATGGTGGCAGCTAAAATGGACTGTGTGAAATTTAGGGGTTCATGCAATGAAAAAACAGCAACAAATTTACAGTTTTTGATAAACAGAAGGGGGGGATTGGGGGCAAATATACCAGTTCCTACCCCCAGGCATTTATATGAAATTGAAAGTCATGCTTCACGGTCTCTTACTAGTCGTTATATTTAAAGATTAAACTCCATGACAAACTCTGTGTTCCACATGTGCCATGAGCCATCCAATAAATGTATTGGTAGTGTAAGATTGGGAATTACTGAAAATATGCCAGCGATCAATATACATTGGAAATGTAGCTGTGACAAGTTTCCATCCGATTGCAAGCCTTTGGAATTTAATTGTCACAAGACATTCCTCTGCCGTGTTGTGAGCAGATTACATTTGGTTAGTGTGTAACAAGTGCTCTTAGTTTAGTTTTGCTGACTTCATTTTCCTAGAATTACTGTTGCTTTGGGTTTGATTTGCAAGGAGCATCAAAAAACATTTTCCTGCACTAACCGTATAATATGCAGCTTCCATAACAAGGCTAGCAGGGCGCAGCATACTATAAATAAAAAACGAAACAAAACGTGTTTCACTAACACTTGCTGTGCTGGTCTACAAAAAAAATAAATATTTAAACATAAAACTTGCCAACATTCCAGCACAGAGGCCAAGTTCTCCCCTTAGCCTGATCTTTATCCGCTGATGCCAGTCCCCCTGCTGGAGATGGAGGATGGGCTAAGCCTGTCACCAGCATGCTGTGCACGCAGACATCCGGCGTCAAATATGCACAGAATAAACAGTAACCAGCTCAGAACTCTTGTTGTGGACTGGCTAATGACACCTCAGGTATGCCTCTGGCAGCAAAGGGGTTAATTTATGTAAGTGCAGTGCTTTATAGCGAAATACTACACATACAGAACTCGTGGTGCGTGATGTGACACTTTAAAGTTCATGGTTGGCAGATACTTGGTTAATATAAGTTATCAAAGTTAAGTTGTCTTGCGTATCTGCTTTATAGGCAGTTAGCCTTTTACTGTTTGACAGTCTATTTTCTGCTTATGTTACTGTTGAAGTAAAAAAAAAAAAAATTGTATAAATGTATTTAATAATTCTGGAGACTTCTAAAATGTAAAGCTGCATAGTGGAGTGTGAGGCCAGAAAAATCACTTTTTAAGCAGTGCTATTTTAGGCTAAGGTTTGCATTTCTCCCTGTTTAGTTAATACACCCCGTAATATAACCAGCTTTCTTGCTGATCTGTGTAAATGGAGTTGAATATTCACCGGTGCTGGTGAGAGATTAATAGACAATAGGTTGCATAATTAAGGTATCGATGCAATTAGTGAATTTTCACTTTTGTATTCTTTGGTTGCCGTGATGTGATGAATTGTGTATGGCTTGCTGATATTACATATAACCCTGGTAACCGAGAGCTGCCAATATATTTATTTAGTGAACAGATTTTTAATGACCCCTCATTAAACATTTGCATTTGTTGTATTTATGTGTATTTGTGTTATTGATGCTTAGAAGAAGCAAGTTGTCAAACCATTTACATTCTCTAAAAATGATTTGGGGCAGTTGTGTATGCAAGAGCCTGGGAGAGATGAAACGGTATTTGTTCCCCTCATCACACCAATTATTTGTGGACTAGATTTCCCTTGCTGCTTTGCTATACATAAGTTGGCAAGTAGAAGTTTGCAAATACTTGAGGTGCCTTAGCTATTGTAACTGATACAAATCATCAGCCTGCATATTCTGTTTGCAGAGTATTGTGTCTCATGATGAATGCAACAGATTTGTGCCCAATTCATTTGTTTAGATTTCATTCCAAGTTTTGTATGCAGCATATTGGCTTAATCGTTTGTATGTTTTGTGATGTTTGCAAGTTGCAAGTCATAATGATTCACAGAATTCCTTTAGAGTTGAATTTGATCTGAAAGGAAGCCTGTTTAATATACAAAGCTTTACAAATACTGGGAATTATTCCTATAAAGCAGGGGAGTCTTGGCTCTGTGTGCTGACGGGTGTGGAAAGGTGAGAGGTTTTGCAAAATGTATGGCACCCTTACAAGAATTAAGTTAAACTGGGAAAAAAGTTTAAGGGACACTTTACATGGATACTCTAAACCCTTTTCTGAATCCTCATGGTTTAGTTTATAATGCCCTATTGGACATAATTTACTAGACCCCATATAAACTTAAATTATAGAGTTGAACCTACGTGGAGATGAGCGTTGGGTGAAGCTCCCAGCATGCCCTTCCATGATTGTGTGCAATCAGTGGTGCCGATCATGTTTTACTCAAATGCTTCAAGCACAATGCACAAGCACGCGCCCTGAGCCAGGGAGAGGATATAAAAAAAAAAGAGGCAGGAGCAAGATCATAGGTAGGGGGTGCTGACAACAGATGTACATTTTGCACAGAATTGACTTTAGGCAGCCTGGAACAGAAATTGGTACAGGCAGGCATAAAATCATTCCTGGAGGGTATACTATGGCTTACAGTGGTGAATAACTCCTGACTAGTCGCATAGGGCTACAAATTAATGGAACACTGTAGCGTTAGTAATACAAACCAGTATTCCTAATTCTGCCCCTGTTCTTAGTGCTATCATCTGGTGTGATCCAGTGCAATGCTTCCTATAGACTGTAAGCTTGTTTGAGCAGAGTCCTGTTCAACCTATTGTTCCTGTAAGTTTTCTTGTAATTGTCCTATTTATAGTTAAATCCCTCCTCTCATAATATTGTAAAGCGCTATGGAATCTGTTGGCGCTATATAAATGGCAATAATAAGAGGAGCATTGGGGACTTAATGCACTTGGGTGGCAAGCACTGTGTGTGCATTCAAGCTTCCCCATAGGAAAGCACTGAGGCTCCTGCACCATCCTGCACCATCTGACCAAGTTTCACTCTCAGTGCAGCTGATGTAGGTCTAGTACAGTGATGGCGAACCTATGGCACGCCGGGCCTTTTCTGTGGGCACGCGGCCATAGGTTCGTTATCAATGCAGAGTAGACACCTGTCTGCCCAAAACGGCAGGCGCCTACTCTGCTTCCGTGTCAGGAGGCAGGGGGAGGGATCTGTGAAGCAGCTCCCCTGTCCTCCCGCGAGCAAACTGTGTGGTGCGTTGCCGTGCGTTACCATGGCAACGCTCCACACAGAATCGCGCGGGAGGACAGGGGAGCTGCTTCACAGATCCCTCCCCCTGCCTCCCGACACAAAAACAGTGCTTGCCACCACTAGAGATGTCGCGAACTTCCTGCGAACGGCTCGCCGCGAGCTCCGGTCAGCTGACACATCCTGGCCAATCTCCAGCAGACCCTCCCACTCAGACCCTCCCACCTCCTGGAAAGCATCCATGTTGGGGAATTCGCGACATCTCTACGGACCACCAGGGCTGGCTGTGTGTCGTCGTCGTCGTCGTCGTCCCCCCCCTCCCCCCCCTTCATTAAAGGTAAGGAGGGAGGGGTGGGATACTGATTTAGCCTACCTTTTTTTAACCCCTTTACCCCTACCCCACACACAGCATCCCTCCCCTCCACCCAGCATCTCCCCACCCCCACAGCACCTCTCATTCCACACACACACACACTTCACCTCTCATACACACACACACACTTCACCTCTCATACACACACACACACTGCACCTCCTCATACATACACCTATACACACACACACACACACACACACTGCACCTCTCATACATACACACACTGCACCTCTGTACACACACACACACACACACTGCACCTCTCATACACACACACACACACACTGCACCTCCATACACACACACACACACACTGCCTCTCCTATACACACACACACACACACACACACACACACACACTGCACCTCTCATACACACACACACACACACACACTGCACCTCTATATATACACACACACACACTGCACCTCTCATATACACACACACACACACACTGCACCTCTCATACACACACACACTGCACCTCTCATACACACACACACTGCACCTCTCATACACACACACACTGCACCTCTCATACACACACAGCACCCCACACACAAACACTACACCCTTCAATGCAGTCTGTGTGTGTGCGTGTATTCAGCAGTCTGTGTGTGTGCGTGTATTCAGCAGTCTGTGTGTGTGCGTGTATTCAGCAGTCTGTGTGTGTGCGTGTATTCAGCAGTCTGTGTGTGTGCGTGTATTCAGCGCACTGCGTGCGTGTATTCAGCGCACTGCGTGCGTGTATTCAGCGCACTGCGTGCGTGTATTCAGCGCACTGCGTATTCAGCAGACTGTGTGTGTATGTATTGCATTTGATACTAATAAATATAAGCTTAATTTTATCATTATTTAAAATTTGTATCGTTGAACTCTGTTAATTCGTTCGGACAACAGTACGAGTTGTTTTTTCTAAAGTTAAACCTCAGTATTGAGGTTTAATTGCTGTGTTGACACTTTAAGGAAAAAAAGTTGGCATGTATTGCGGTTTGGGCACTCGGGCTCAAAAAGGTTCGCCATCACTGGTCTAGTGACTCCTAGGGGTGGATTTAGCCCTGCAATGTTTTAAATTGTAGGGTTTAAAGGATCCTGTCATATACAAAAGGTAGGAATTAGTTTTTTTAATATATATATTTTTTTCTTGCAAGACTTGATGAAACGGTTAAATAATAGTTTTGATGTGACAATTATCCTTTAACCCCTTAAGGACCAAACTTCTGGAATAAAAGGGAATCATGACATGTCATGTGTCCTTAAGGGGTTAAAGGGACACTATAGTAATCAAACACCTTTGTCTTATTGAAGCAGTTTTATATATAGATCATGCAAATGCAGTCTCACTGCTCAATTTTCTGTTATTTAAGAGTTAAATCACTTGTTTCTGTTCATGCAAACCTAGCCACACAGCCTGCATGGGGGGAAAAAAAGTTCATTTTCATTCAGATGCTAACTTGCTTTAGACATTTTTATCTCCTGCTCTGTAAATTAAACTTTAATCACACACAGGAATCTCATGCAAAGTCTAGCAAGCTGTTAACAGAGCAGGAGATAATACATTCTAAATTAAAAAGACTGTGCAATAAAGGAAGTATAAACAATAGATTAGATTTTACAGGAAGTGTTTAGGAAGGCTGTGTATATCACATGCAGGGAGGTGTGATCAGGGCTGCATAAATGTAACTCCTAAATGTCAGAATTGAGCAGTGAGACTGCAGGGGTATGATCTGTACAACAACACAGATTTATCAAGCTACAGATGTTTTGATGCCTATAGTATCAGTTTGAATTTACATGTTATCCAGTGACGAGATGAGCTCCTCACAGCAGTCTGATCTTCCTACTGTGAAGTAATGAAGATTACTTTTGTCCTATCAATCATCTGGAAGCATTGCAGATATATTTTGCATGCAGGCTATTGCTATTATCCCCCATTCCAGTTCCTCACACATACCTAGGGCTTTCCAGGTGGAGGTCTGGGAGAGCTTCATTGGCTGAGAACATCACCTGCGTGTGCTGAGCCAATGAGCTTAGCCTGCACTGACTGGATAACTCCATGTAGGGAGGCCCTGGTCCACGAGGACCCTAGGTAAGTTGTTATGGTGCTTGGAGTATACCTTTTAAATACATAACTGCAAGCCTGTTTTCTTGGGACTGTGTTCTCATTTCATTTTCATTTTCTCCTTCCAGTTCCCATTGTGATTGGGGTGGGATGTTTTCTACTGTAGTGAACATGTATGGATGGAAATAGTTAATATTTCCTGTTTTCTGCCTGGGGATAAACTCATTGCTGCTGTTGCAGTCTAGAAAGCCTTTGAGAGATTGTTTCACAGTTCTGTTACTAAACCCACCTATCGTTACCATAAGGGGACTCTGCGCTCCTACACCTTTTTTTAATAAGAGGTTATTGGGCTCTCCCTGTGTTTAAAGTTTGATCCTTTGCGGTTATTTTACACGGATGTCTTATCTTTCTTTGTCCAGGGAAACTTTTTTTTTTTTTTCTCTAGCCTACAAAGCTGAGATAGGGGCCAGGCCAGCATTTGGTTAGGGTGTGTTCGCCGAGCACAGGGTTGAAAACTGCTGAATAAGAATAAGCATTCACAAGATCAAACTTGACAGTTTTCGTAGATTCCTAATTATTTTACTGATAGTCTGTCGAGCAGAAAATGGCAGCACTTTATAGATAATAAAGTATTCTCTCTATGTTCTAATTACATGCGTTTAACATTTTTCAATATTTTGTATATTCTCGCATGTTATGGCTGGTGCAGCTTGTGTATGTTCCTCCCCCTTCCTTCATGCGCTGCATGCGTTATCACACAGTACTGAGTGCCATCCTCCATTCTACGGTTTGGTTGTCAGGCACCTCTAGTCATGAAATCCCATATTTTACTTACAGGGTTTGGTTTAGCCAGGTTTACATAAATTCACAGATGTTCAAAATTCAGTGCGACATTAGATTTGCTGGGTTCTCCGTACATGGCTCGAAATCACCATCTTCAACTTGCAAGAGGTGATACGTTACATGGACCATCCAAACACCATAGCAGCTTATTGTAGTGGTAATGGTTCTTGAAAGACTTTACGTAAAATTTGCATTTGGAAATCTTGCTTTGAATTTGCCTTGTAATGTTGGGTTTCTTCTCTCTCTCTAGTACCCCCCTTTCTAATCTTTATTGAAGAAAAACTTCAATATATTTCTATTTACTAATGAATCTGTTAAATGTCTGGTGCTCATACTCCATACTTTCCCCATCAATGCCATTTGAGGAAGCATTGTTTCCCATTCAGCTGTCCAGGTATTTGTACAGTGTGAGCACACTCCGGCTCTGGGAGTTCAGTAATTTATTTTGATTTGAGCATGTCACAACTACAAGGATTTCATAGGTAAGTATGCAGGGACAGTAATGGCAGCCATACTTTAAATGTCCCTTTAGTGGTTTAAAACCTTATTCAGACATGGTGAGAAATATCCTGGTTGGCTTTCAGAGCCCTGGTTTTAGCACAGTAAACCAGGCAATTTACAGATCAGCTTGATGGTTTACCTCACTGTTTAGTGACTCCAGTTTCTATTCCCTCACAGTGGGTGGTGTGCATGGTTATTTGAACTCTTATCAGCCCCTAAAAAACACTTTACATTAGTTTAGAAAGGACATTACACATGTATATCAAGTTTGCCTTAGGGCGGTAATTACCTACTGTGTTCTTTTAAATTGCAAACCGCACTGCCCTTTATCCTGTGTGTGACCCAACCACTTATCTGTAGTATCCAAACTCCTCATAAAGAGGCCTTTAAAAAACCCTGTGTTTTCAAAGTTTAAATTGCCAACTGTATCTGATTTTAATCTAGTACATAACCTAACGTCTAATTCTCCAGCCCTGCACTTCATGAAGGCAGAATAGTGATGTGAAGGCTAAATTAAAATGTAAAATGCTGCACATATGTCACTTGTATTTAAAGGCCCCTTGATGGCCAGTAGAGCAGTTGTTCTATTTGACACCCCTCTATAGAATTACATGTTATGATCTACAGGAGGGGGGGTGTACATCTTTGTGTGAGAATATTTTATGTGGTTGATAAAGAGAGATTAATTATTGTTGACTTTTTATTTTATAGACCTTTAGATCCTTGTACACATGCATGTTTGCAGAGTGATCTAATGCACCCACATTTACTTTAGTATGAAAATTCTAGTCTAGACCTAAGCGGGGCCCACAGTACTTATTTATTTTCATAGAAAAAAATCAATTGGGTACTAATGGTTGCTTGGACAGATTACAGGGACACTATAGTCACCAGAACTACAGCTTAATGTAGTTGTTCTGGTGAGTATAATCATTGCCTTCAGGCATTTTCATGTAAACACTGCCTTTTCAGAAAAAAGGCAGTGTTTACATTGTCCCTAAGGACACCTCCAAGTGGCCACTCCTCAGATGGCCACTGGGGGTACTTCCTGGCTCATTGCAGCACAGTAGGGAAGCAGTGCCATTCAGCGTCCCCACACTCTGCATGGAGACGCTGAATTTTCCTCATAGAGATGCATTGATTCAATTCCTTGCCGATTTTATTGGCTTTGGATTGGCTGAAAATCAGCAATTCTGATATCACAAAGAGGACGGAGAGCTGAAAATAAGGTGTTTCTAACCCATTCTGAAGGGATTAAAAGGGGGGTCTTCCTGAGCATGTGTTCCTGAGCCTATAGTGTACCTTTAAATGTTTAAGAAACATTTTAGGTTTTGGATGTAATGCGCGAGAAAGAAACATTTTCCCCGGTTTGTCCCTGCTGTGTTACTTTGAAATCTCTGTTTATTGCAGTTCCACCGCACAGTGTGGGGAATACAGAAAGGTCTGTTTGTTTTAATAGGATTTACTGGCTCTGGGCCGGTGGATTACAGTCATTTGTCACATTAATGCCATTTCAGCGATTATAGAGGTACGCTTCCAAAGAATCGCACATGCTGCAGCTGCACTTTTTATGGCTGTTCTGTGTGTGTAACCATCTCAGGATTAAATTGTATTGTACAGGACAGCTTTTGCAGAGAAAACAGCTACTTTATTTGGGAAGGTGAATTAATTTGAGAGCTGTGTCTCTCTTGTGCTGCCCATTTTGAGACCATCTTAATTTCGCTTCTTTGGAAGCAAAGTAGCCTGTTCTACTGTAGTCTTTCCTACCATCCTTTAAATATTTTAATAAATCTTGCTATTGGTTATAAGACATTACCAGTAGAACATTACATGCATGATGTCATCACACAGCACTGATATCCCAGGTTAACGGATGTCCGCCGATTTACTCCCTAAATACCCTGTGCTAGTGTGGATTGTCCTGCATATTTAGTTCATGGGAATGTTCTGCACATTTCAAAGAACACTCAGACAACATCAATTGATTCGGACAAACTAAATTTCTTTACAGTGCACAAGCCTACTAATAATCCATTGAGATATAGATCTATCTTACCAATCTTTATTTAGCGATTTTCAAATGTGAGGGAATTTGTGCTTTGCCTTTACAGTAGTTGATAATAAGGACGTGCTTACATGGAGTGTATTGGTGGCTAGGAGTTGGCTGAGTGATCTCTAATAAATTAGAATTTTACATTTTTTATGAATGTAATCTTTCCTTTCTCCAGCAATGAGCATTCAGTATGTTATTGAATCAAGTCAAAATGTAATCTACACACCTGTCAGTATGAACAATAAGCATCTTATTAATATAAGGCTATATCACTTAGTTTATTAGTATTGAAGGATAAAGTGCTCAAACTAAGTACTCCAGGAGTTCTTACATATTAATCATAGCAGTGATCATAACGTTTTACACCCGGGTTCTAGGACTGCATTTTCTAGATCCTCATCCAGTCTTATGGCGACAAAGCCATCACTAAATCATTTCTGGATTGTTGCCAAGACGATCTATGGTTAGGGGGTCTGGGTTTTAACTTTTTAAGTATTATTATTTCTGGCTAATAGTACATATATATATTTTTTTTTTCCCAAACAGTATATCTTTGGGGAGTTCAGCGATGATGAATTCAGGCAGTTTTTTGTGACGACACGCTGCACAGTTGAGGTGAGTTACTCATTATCTATTTAGTAAATGTCTAGGTTGAGAATAAATTAGTTTGAGACAATCTTTGATTCCAGGTCCAGATTGTCTTTTTCTTGAAGGAACACATTTACTTAATCCCAGTTTGTTATACAGTGGTATTAAAGATACAAAGACCAATTCATTGTTTTTTGACATTTTGTCCGAATTACTCCCGATTATTGGTAAGCACTAATCAAATTATTCTTAACAGTATGTTCTTAGCTAATGCATCGGGCATCATTTGGTTCAGATCCAGTGGTCTAAGGCAGGGGTGTGTAACCTTTAGCACTCCAAATGTTGTGGACTACACATCCCTTAATGCTCTTAAAGCCTTAATGCTGGCAAAGCATCTGTGGAGATGTAGTTAAGATCTAGAGAGTGTTGATGGTTGCATTCTCCTGGTCTTGGGTATCAACAAATGTTAAGATAGAACGGTTCCCCTTTCTATATCAGCTCATACCTCTGACCATACAGTGTGCTTGCTTTAGTTAACGCCCAGTTTCTGCAACAAATTGTTACACACTATGATGAAATGCACCTTCATGTAAGACACATTGCTTCTGAAATTGCTATAATTTTATTTAGGTCTTTAAACTGAATTAACTAGGCTTGATAAATGGCACACATGCCTTCTTTTCCATTGGTCTCTGAAATACTGAACAATGGGTCAAATGGCTCCTTGATACTACAGGATACACATTTTAATGCCCCTTTAAAAAGAAATGTTTTGTAAAATAATCAGTCTGTTTTATAAATGGAAAAATCATACTACCTGTCTGTTAAAATTAGTTTTAATTGTCTTGTTAGAACATCAGGAGGGTCTAATTGCCCTGGGGAAAGCTGTGCCATGTGTTGAAATACCTATATTTATTTTGTGTAGTTCTATCGACTCCAATTGTTTTATAATTTTTTTTTAATTTTTTTACTTCCAAGATTGCTTTGTTGAACACCACTCCTAGAGTCTTATGGGAAGGCATTAACATGGTTACATATTTACTTAACATTAATAATTTAAATAAAGCTATAGCAGCCCATCCCCATGCCCTTTTATACACCATGTGACTGGGAAATTGGGAAAAACTGAATAAACAAAACCGCGATCACATGGCAAGTTCCGTATGTAAGCAGTGAGTCCTGGGTATCAATGTATAACCACAATAAAACAAGTGAAAAGACAGCATTATCAATAAAATTATAAAAAATGAAAATTTAAAACTAGGAGCAGCACCTAACCGTGTATTAGCCCCAAAACACTCCTAAAACTACAAAAAAACATACAATAGGTGCGCACCTATTGTTTGTTTTTTATCCATGTATAATGAATGCACTAAAACATCTACTGTGTGTTGAGCAGGACCCTCTGTAGAGGAGCCAGGAACAATGCATGAGGCATAAAATTATATTCAAAATGGTGGTTAATCCTCTTTGCGGCACGTCAAATGATATTACACGCTCCTCCCATATAGTCCAGCATTAGTCTGGATAGTTATCAAATAACACGTTTAAAGTGATCACAAGTACATTATCTTCAGCCAAAGTCACATACTGTGTCGGCTGATGGTGGCATACAGCATACCTAGAAAACACCTGTGGAATTACTTTGAGAACTGTAGTAATATTCCCTGTTGTGTAAACGGCTTAGACGAGACAATGGGAGCCGCAGCTTTGAAACATGCCCTTTTACATAATTCCTTCCATGTCCTTTATTTTGTCCTGAAAACAGCATATCTTAAAGAATAAAAACTGACCATAAGATACTACAATGTATTTGCATTACTTCAGCAACTACAAATGTCCATTAGTTAGTTTGTAGGCCTTAGTGGAGTTATGAATAGTATCCGGATCAGATTGATGCCCTGGGAGATTGCATTAACTTTAGAAGGGCCACAGAATTGCTTATTCTATACATTACTCAGCACTTTTCCTACACCGCACCAGTCTTGATAAATCGTTGGGTGGTCTCACAGCACACAATTTCCATAGACACACATTTTCTATCCTCCCACCATACTATATCATTAAATTTGGATTTTCTCTTGTGCTATAAGCAGGAAGGCAGCAAATAGACTAATTCAGCGGGAGAGTAAGGTAAAAACCTCAACTAACATTGTTTGGGAAACTTATAATAATAATTCTATGTAAACAGTCATTGTTATTGGGTTTTCCATTCTCTGTAACCATTGTTTCTGTTCTCTCAATGTAGCTACCCCCATTCAATGAAGCTGTTCTGTGTGGGACTCAGTCTTCAAGTGATCTGCAAGATGGTGAGTGTGTGGTCACTTCTGTATGCTGCGCTCAACTATTTCTCACTATTTCTTTCTACTCTAATGTGGTGGGCTCCATACTGACAATCTGAATGGACTAGAAATACTTTTATTTAAGTGAATCATCTGATTTATTTTTATTTATTTTTTTTCTTTCTGGAAAGCTTTATTTCAAGCCAGGAGCAGTCTTTTTTCACCATGGCATATTGGTAAGAAATTTAGATTTTTACAGCTAGTTGGTTTAACTGACAGACATTTCTTGGTTTATTTGGGATGTGACCAGGCTTCGACAGGCTATTTCTTGCTTCCCACGTGTTGAGTGGGATGTATGTTATTCATTCAAAAACACACATCTTTATTAGTTTGAGAGAGTGTAGCTGCATACATCCAGGCACTAGGCATGCTTTCATATTTACCATACTGCTCATGTGCTGTACAAGCTCTAAGACTCGGCTAGTAACCTATAAGCACTTTGACATTGTAAAGCCACCATGGTTGTCATCTTGATATTTGGTTTAATTAATCAGGGTTTGGTGGTAAGATTGCTTGTAATGTGAAAGTTTTGTTATAAAATATTTTTAGAGTATAGTGAGCCCTTTTCTTGTTTTTCGCTTGTCATGTGACTAAAATATAACTTGTATTACTCAACCTCTATTGGCCCCTGGATGATGAAAGTTTAAATTGACTCTGCCTGTAAAACCTGTGAGGTTTGCATAGGTTGATGCATTTTCATCACTCAGTTTTTAAAGTCTTATATAGATGGCAGCATTTTTATCTATTAAGGGTAACTTTTTTTCTTTTGCAGGTGAAGAATACCAGAGGATTGAATTTGGGGTGGACGAAGTGATTGATACGGATGGATCCCTTCTTAATAATACCGATTACAGTATTTCAAGCACCCTGAACCCTCAGGCTCCAGAATTCATTCTTGGCTGCTCACCTAATCAGAAATCGCCTAATGACATTCTACATGAAAACAACTACGATCCCAGTGATGGTCAGTTGAGCGAGTCTGCCCTTCCGGACGGCAGTGGCAATGCAGACAGTGATGGCACATCAGGCATTGGACAGCGCGAGCGTAAAAAGAAGAAAAAAAGGCCACCTGGTTACTACAATTATTTAGAAGGTGTTGGGGATGGTGGCACTGCTGTAGAGACCCTTGTAAATGGGCATGCTGGCTCAGCAGGACTCAACTGTATAAGCACAGATGACCCTGAGCTCACGGAAGATATACCAAATTCTTCAGCCTCTCCTAGGACTTGTAACAGCCCGGATAACTCTGTGGACTTTAACAATGAAGCTTTGTCTGATGATGCTTCAGTACCTAATGCACTAGACAATGCCAGGACTGCTGGTCAGCCTGAGGAATGCAGTGTTACTTCTTTGGAACAATCTTGTATCCTCTCTGACGATGAGAGGGAGACCTCTGTAAGGACAGCTGTTGTCCAGCCTTTTGCTGGTAGTGATACTACTGAAAACCTTGGAGTTTCCAATGGACAAACACTTGAAGCCCCAGAGGAAGGCCTGACCTCCAATGGGGTGGAATTACACTCTGAGGTCAATGCCCCCTCTGAGCCAGCCAAGCAGGAGGATACTTCGGCTCCTCTGGCTGTGACCCAGGTTTCAGGATCAGCCTCTGTTAACCCACCAGCTAAGTCCTGGGCTAGTCTTTTTCACAATTCCAAGCCCTCATCCACCACACGGGTGGCTTATGTTGAGACTAAATATGCCCCTCCTGCCACATCTCCCCAGGCCCCAGAGAAACAAGTTGAAGTTAAGGAGGGCCCTGTTCCAGTATCAGAGGATCCAGTAGCCATAAAGATTGCAGGTATATCTAACTTAGGCTAGAAATATTACTAGTCCCCATTACCCTTAAATGCCATTGGTCTCTCCAGAAGGAGACATCATGCAGTCTGTCTGGCCACATTTTAAAGTGGACCTAATGTGTAAACAGGGGTAAAACAAATGTGCTTTTAATCTCTTACAATATTTTTCTTTTCAGAGTCTATTTTTGGTAATGTCAACATGTCACATTATTAGTGTTAATCTTTGTAAAACTAATATACATTTTAAGCTGTTCTGTTGTCCACAGCAATGAGAATATTCACTAAACAAAGGTTCTATGCAGAATTGGTAGATGAAGAAAATAGCCAAAAAATCCCTAAAATGTTCTAACCCTTGTTAGCTCTGTACAATTCCTGCTTCATCAAGTAAATCATTGGAAAGCCCAGTACGTAGTTGTATAACTGGAAAACAATCTTTGATAAGTGTCACATTTCCTTTACAAGGTAAAAGTAATATTGTTCTACATTGGCTCAATTTAAAAGGAGTGTAGATAAGTAGTTTGCATATCTGTACAACATCTCTCCAGTAGAGGGAGAGCCAGTTATCAAATTACTTGTTTGTGCAGTGAGCTTCTTATACGAACCCAGGAGACTTTAAAGGAACACTATAGGGTCAGGAACACAAACATGTATTCCTGACCCTATAGTGTTAAAACCACCATTCCCCCACCCTTTTCATGCCTCCCCTAAATATAGTAAAATCTTACTTGTATTCAAGTCTGCAGCTGCTGCCTCTGCCCCTGATCTGCCTGCTTACAGCTGACGTCAGAAGTGATTCTGCGAGCCAATCACAATGCTTTCCAATAGAATTGGCTGAGACTGTCAAGGAGACGGATCAGGGTCAGAACCAGCACAAGTCAAACACAGCCCTGGCCAATCAACATCTCCTTATAGAGATTAATTGAATCAATGCATCTCTGAGGAAAGTTCAGTTTCTGCATGCAGAGGGTGGAGACACTGAATGTCAGTCACTTTGCAGCACTACCCCAGGAAGCACGTCTAGCAGCCACCTGAGGAGTGGCCAGTGGAGGTATCCCTAGGCTGCAATGTAAACACTTCATTTTCTCTGCAAAAAGCCTGAAGGGAATGATTATACTCACCAGAACAAGTACAATAAGCTGTAGTTGTCCTGGTGACTATAGTGTCCCTTTAACTTTCTTATTGTTCTTCTGAAACTTAAAGGAACAATATAGTCACCCAGACTACTTCATCCCAATGTCCTTTTAAACGTGCAATGTATAACAATATAACATTTATTTTTAATTTCAATCATTCCATTGCAGGGTTAAGTCCACTTGTAGTGACTCAGTATTGCTGTTCAGCAGCATTGATAAAGTAAAATGTGATCATGTGATACGGAAGCCCCATAAAATGTTTTCCTATCGGGAAGTTTTGGGTGTTTGACAGCTTTTCAGAGATTTTCTTTGGGGAGCACTGAATTGGACTATCTCCGCCCATTCCTCCTCTGTGACGTCGCAGGAGGCAGAGAGGTAGCCATGGTGCTTTAAAGTAACACCTTTATTTTTCTTTTAAATTGTATAGCGAACTGGGGCAACGAACCAGAATCAGAGTAGGGACTGAAACCCTATAGCGTGAGGAATACAGATTTGTTTTTCATTAAGTTGTTTTTATCCATGGAGAATTTGGCTATGTGAAATGTGGATGACACTAGGTGTTAATGAGTACTCATTATGGTCAGAACAGTTTTGACATATATCATATACCCAGCATCAAACTTGCATACCACCAGACTAAATGGGTGAAAGTGATGCAAGGTAGGGAATTGCATTTATTTAAATAGGTGCTTTTTCTGTCTTCTGGACTGATTGCTCTGTACTAGTGTTCTGCCCTATTTCTAGCAGACTTGTTTGAGAGAATACACAGTATTTGAGCAAGGGGGAGTCAACGTCACCAAATCAGTGCTAACCCTTTCTGCACTTGCAAATTAAAACAGGTTCCCTGTGACAGGAGTTTCTGTCAATTTGGCATTGCCAAAAATCCTGAGTTTGGAGGGGAACCTGCAGCCTAAGTAGCTACTGCAGGACTAGGGTCAGGAATACACGTTTGCTGACACTATGGTGTTCCTTTATAGGAACACTAGTGTCAGGAATAGAAACGTGTATTCCTGACACTAGTCCTGGAGTTTAAAAATCAATTCTAGGTGACCGCCCTAATTTTCTCCCTTTAACCCCTTAAGGACCAAACCTCTGGAATAAAAGGGAATCATGACATGTCACACGTGTCTTGGGATAATTAAAGGACCACTATAGTGCCAGGAAAACATACTCGTTTTCCTGGCACTATAGGGTCTCTAGGTCGGATTAACCCATTTGTAAACATAGTTTCTCTGAAACTGCTATGTTTATAGAAGAAAAGGGTTAATCCTAGATGGACCTGGTCCTATAAGCATATTCGTCTTACTTCGTCTAATTTTAGATTTCACTGCAACATACAATCAGGGCTCAAAATATCCACTCATCACTAGCCAATGGCTAGAAAAATTACCCCTGGCAAGTAGAATTTCACCCCTTGTGTCATGGATCCTCCAGGCTAGAAGTGGTGAGTAATTTTAGACCTGGCTAGTAGTGTGGGCTTGCTCTGAATACATTCATTAAATTGATGTTTGAATATTAATAAGCTAATATTTGATTTGTGTTGCCTGTGTTCTAGCTAGGTTAGATTATAGATAGTTTGACTGACTGTACATTATAAAATTGTCTTTTTGGAATTGTTAAATTGCGGTTCTGAAATTCTACATAATAGGGTAATGCTAAGAAACCGTTTTTGTCGTCTTGAGAGCATACTGGTGTGCCCAATGCTGCTACAATGTCTTTATTACACTTGGTGATCTTGTATTACAAATTGCGGATGTATTTTTGTTCTGTCCATAGCTGGATCTAGATTAGTCCAGTAAGACTGGTACTTGTTGCATGTTTTCTAATTGAACTGTCATACTGTAACTAAACTAGTTTACGGTAATCTAAAACTTTTAGATTTCACAAATTCTGTATATTATTATTCAACCTTTTAAACCAAATAAAGGACAGTTCGAATATAAAAAACTATATTTTCTGTCTAATACCTGCCTTTAACCCCTTAAGGATGGAGGCAGTAGTAAAAGGTACAAAAGCTACAATTTGAGCTAATGTTTGTTCAAGGTAAACTTTCATATTAATAAGCTCACCCACAGTTATAATTTGTATTCAGGAGAAATAGGGCTTTCATTTCACTTAAAATATTGGTATATGAAACATAATGTAAAAATTAATAATATCCCCCAAAAAGTGTGAGAAACTAATCCTCCCCCCCCACTCCCCCCCCCCAAAGGTTCTGAATGGCTTTTAATGTAATAAACAAAATCTGCATATTTATGTTAAGCGATGGCTCACCAGTACCAGTGCATCTGTAGGGACATCAATGCACTTGCATTAAAATCATTGATTTTGGTCCATGGACTCTCATTCCAACGCCAATACTTTAATACTCCATTGTGCAAATTGTAGACTCTTTACATTTGAAATCATAAACTTCATCTACTTCATTATATAACTTCTGTGCTATAGTTTGCTTTTTTTGTTTTATAACCCAAATACACTGCTGTATAAATTATGTACTTTCTGCATCCTGTCCTATAGGTTCCATATTTAATTTTGTAACTTCTAGGTGAGTGCTGTTCAGTCTACAGCCTGTGGACTGCATTTCCCATAACTCTGCTGCCTCAGGATTATGAGAACAGTAGCAGCTGGACAGCAAAGGGTGTACCCCTCTGTCATAGACTGTTCTATCCTCTCTCTACTCTAGTTCCTCTTACCAATAGTTTATATACTTTGTTCTGTGACTTCTTCTTGTTAAGCTATAAATTCTGTATGCTGAAATCATTTTGTAACTTTGTTGTGTGATAAATGACTGTACCATGGTTTTGCACTTGGGTATCTCATGTTAGTGATGTTAAAATAACTTGGTAACTACCAGTGCCTTAGTGCCCTCCCAGGGTAAGTAGTCAAACTATTTGTGAACGGTTTGACAACTTACCACGGTCCACATGACAGCTGGAAGTTTTAATGAGCTAAGCCCTTTCATGTGCTCAGTTATGGTGCTTAGAGCATTCCTGCAATTTGTGTTAAACAAAAAAATGTACAGTTTAGTTTTTAGTTTTTTTGAAATCTTTTCAGTATTTTTTTTACCTCTGTTTAAAATCCTTGGAGCTCTGTAGTGTATTTGTGTGTCTTACTCATTGGATGAAATCATTCTTTTTTTAACATTTTCTCATTGTAATTAATGTTACAGAAATGCTGGAAGGAGTGAAACTTGTTCATAAACCAGTATCATTGCAGCCACGAGGATTAATCAACAAGGGAAACTGGTGCTATATTAATGCTGTATCCTTTTCTACTGGGCAACATGTGTGTTCTGTGTATGTTGGATCTGTTTAATACAACATATACAATGAATTGGAGTTACTTTAAACATGCCTATATAACTTTATACACTTACATACAATCTGTGTACAGAGCTAACTATGCTCATGGGGTACCAGAAAAGAAAATGGCAGCGGGAAAGGTTACTTGAGTTGGTCTTGGCTAAAATAAAAATCAATGCAGAAACCCCCACAGGTAACTGTTCTGCTTTAGTTACAAGTGTAACCATCAAAGTAGCAGTCTTTCATGGACACACACAATTTATGCATTTAAATTAATGGTCTTCTGCCCTAATTTAAAGTGTGTGTGTGTGTGTGAACAATTGACAGAACACAAAATATAATTTGTTACCAAGCACTTTCTGTACTTGCTGGTCATTCACTTGTTTAATTCCCTAGCCTAATCAGTGACCATGTGTCGCCGTTTCAGAGAGCGTAGGAAACACTTAGCTTTCAATCTTTTACATGTGGTGTAGTATCTGTCTTGGTGTATTTGTGACCCTGTGGAGTTGTTACTCTCCTTAACATATCTCGAAGACATTGCAGGCTCTTGTGGCTTGCCCACCAATGTATCATCTTATGAAATCCATTCCAGTCTACACAAAGGCCATGAGACCGTGTACATCAACCCCTATGATTGACAGTTTGTAAGTATCCAAGCCCTTCCAAGGCAGAATTGCTGCATGCCGTGGTCCTGGGTGAACATTAAGGTGATCTGACAGCATTTTGTGTGGTTAAAGAGATGCTGGATGAAGAGGATCTTATTGAAATAATGATGCTGAGTCGTCCATTCATCTCACCCTTCCTGATTACGATATGAACTTTTACAGCTGCGCAATCCTGGTTTGTGCCTGAAATTTTAACATGAAAGGTGTGATAAAGCTCTGCATGTAAAGTTTCTTTCAATTTGTTGAAAACCCCTGGCAGAGTCCAGCCGTATTGGGCATGACGAGAACCATGCCTTATCTATTAATTTCTTTGTAGTCTTGTACTGTGTACAGCTAACTTGGAACCACTTTCCAGACCAGCGTGCAATATTGTATTTTACTGCCACGTAGATTTTTTTTTTTTTTTTTTAAATATATGTTCTCCTAAAAGGTTGTTTTTGTCTTTGTTTTCCAGCGTGCGGCTAATGAATGAGTTTACAAGCATGCCGGTACTCCCGAAAACAAAGCAAGGTATGTGATTCCCGGAGAGAAGTTCCTTTACATCAGCCTGAGTTTCTGAATTCTCCAGAGAATGGGTGGCCCTAGCTTCTCAGCCAGTAAATGAATAAACAGTAGGATCCACCAATTTTGGGGTACCTTGACAAGGCTAGGTCAATGAACTTGACTTGTATTGACCACATATGGTCTGACCAAATGTTCATATATAGTATTACAAACTGCATGTTCTGGTGTCTCCCAAATTCTTCCCCTGGAATAAACAAGATTTTTGACAGGTAGAATTGCTGGAAAAGATTATTTTTTTTTTTTTAAAAATACTAAAACTAATTTTAGGATAGTATGTGGTGATAGTTAATCTTGGCTTTGCAGTTAACAACTAGATTTCTGTTCCTGAGGAAATATTTAGAAACCTTCTTGGTATCTGGGTTTCCCACCACTCATGTAAGGTACGGTAAGATACTAGGATAGGGTTACACCAATAGAGACTGTTCAGAAACCAAAACCACGGCCTAGTGCTATAGTAAAAATAGTCCTATAGCAATAGTCAGTCCTACCATAACCCTCTACTTTAGTGCATTAATGTACATACACTTTCCTGGTGGAAAGACTTGTGCAGACTGTAGCCTGTAGGGGGAAGTAGTGGTGGTGTTATGGTGATCTCTGCCAGCATTAATGTATTAACTCTTTCTATCGTGTGTTTAGGTCATAGACATTACATAATAATTCCTTGAGATCTAGCAGGGATGTTAAAGGAAGGTGAGAGTAGAATGCAGGCTGATGCAGTAACTGTGACAAAGCATGCCGTTTGTGAGTTCAGGTTTCCTTACCTGTTGATATCTGGTTCTAAGTTTTTATTTTTCATTGCAGCTCCTGGGGAGAAGATCGTCAGGGATATCCGCCCGGGGCCTGCCTTTGAACCCACTTACATCTATCGCTTATTGACTGTTTCCAAATCAAGTCTTTCTGAAAAGGTAAAGCTGTTTTAGAAAGTATTTTGTCACTTTAACTCCCATCAGGCATGGTCTTCGTGTGAGTTACACCATCCAAGGGGTGTGCTGGCGCCTCACCAGGTATTGATGTCTTTTAGCACATTGTTACTGCTGTACTGATAATGCAGAAATTTCCCATAACAAAGTGCAATTCTTGGCAGCACTGATAGGCTGAGAAGTACGGGTCTTGTCCAAAATAGTTTAGTAGAAATCCTGGGGACGGTGCCATAACTTACCTGGCACCTCAACCACTATAATGGGCAGTAATGTATATGATGGGCAGTGCACCTTTAATTTATTGCAAAGTACGGCAATTCTTTATAATTACGTTTTTTTTAATGAACAAGATAAAACTATTTTGTATTTCCATTCTATCCTTTGAGAGAATATCGCACACTTTTTGATAGGAGCATGTTTGTGTTTATATTATATGTAATCTATTTTGCTGGTTTTACTTCCAGGGTCGCCAGGAAGATGCAGAGGAATACCTTGGATTTGTATTGAACGGACTACACGAGGAAATGTTGTCACTGAAAAAACTTCTTTCCCCGCAGAATGACAGTACGTTTATAGATGGTCTTTAAACCCGTTCCTTGTGGCAGCATTATTGTCCTGTTCTAGGCATAGTTTGTGCTGGACTCCATTAGAAGCAGTTTGCCGGAGCACAACTGTGCGTTAACAAGAGTGCGTCAATCTTGATTGAAAACCACCATTTGGCGGATCTCGCTTAGCACATAATTACTAGTTTTAATGCCCTTGTTCAATTTCATACTAATCAGTTACTTCTTGCAGTGATTCACAGAACTGACCACTAGAGGACGCCAAATATTTATTAAATATTGTGGCAGAAGCAGGTTTCTAATATAAAGAAATCACTCATAACGTTCTAAAAATATGGAGTAATCCACTCTATTGTGATTATTATTATTTTTTTTTTTTAAAAAAGCTTTTTACACACTTCCAAATTATTAGCAAAAAAATCACCATATTCAGATAATTTGACATTTCTTTTCCACATCATGATTTTTAGCTAATCAGTTCTGTTGTCAGCCCATGACCTGCGATGACACCTTAATGATAAGTTACACTTACCGCTGACAGGAAATATCTGGTTTAACATAGAATTTAGAACCTGTGATCATTGATTGGAACTTTTCACATTAAAATAGGATCCATGAAGAATTGACAGAATAAAATGACTGTTTTTTTTTTGCAATTCTTTATTTTTGCGTGCAACGTTAGTTACAATACTACCCTTATGGCCACAACATCCTTCCGGGTTTTCGAATGTTTCATGACATCACAACATAGTATAGGCATATATAGCAGTCTGTCGGTTCTAATCTGTGGTTTCAGCTAGTTCTGCACATTTTAATATAATTTATGGATCATTTGGTGTCAAACTGAGGCAACATTGGAGTAATTTTGAGGAGTGTCTTTTTCCCCTCCAGTGCCAGGATTGTAGTAGTGTGTGTGGGGGGGGGAGGGGGGGGGTAAAGAACACAAGGCTTGTCTGTTTAGAGATGGCTGGTTGCGTGTTTGTGCCTCCTTATGTGTTCCATGTTGGGGTTGATTGCGTGTGTAAATGGTTGTCCTCAGTGATGTTTGTGTCCACAGGTGAGTACTGTGAAGTCTGCATGTGTCAGCGTGTGTTCGTTTGTGTATAGGGGTTGTCGCTCATTGAGCCTAATTGTGCCTCTGCGATCGTCCAGTTGGGAATTGACTCCTTACTGAGGGGGGGGTTACAGCAATAAAAAGTGAAACAGGTGAAACAAAAGGTAAAACAGAAAGAAAGACCGTAACCGGTTTATGCATTGTATGCTTGTTGGCTACAATTTTTACAGTTCAGGTCAGTTCTCTCCGGTGCTCTCTATTCCTGGGGATGAATGGAGTCGTTCTGTCAGGATCCCAGGTGTGCGATGACGTGGGAGTTTCTTGTTCTGTGGGCCCGGCGTGAATCCCCAGTGCTCGTATGAACTGTTCTGCCTCCTGTAGTGAGGAGAGATTGTGTGTGGTACCGCTTTTGGTTACAGTCAGGGTCCTTGGTAGAGTCCATTTGTACTCAATTTTAGCTTCGCGCAGACTGCTCGTCACCTGCGCCACAACAGCGTGTTTCTTGTTAAGTCCTGGTAGAAGGTAATGTGGGATGATTCAAAAGCAAGTGGTGTTTTTCCCCTGACTGCGGTAAGGATCTTGATTTTTGTCTGCCACTGAGTGGCACCAGATGATGACGTCTTGTGGAGCTGTGGCTGGGGCTTGTCTTGCTTTTCTGATCCTAAAGAAGCCGTCTAGTGTGAATTTTTTTGGCTTGGGCGTGCGGTAGGAGCGTGGCTGTGAGACGTCTGAGGCCCCGGTTTTCCGTCGGGTCTTTCTGCACGTTTGTGGATACAAAAAAGGCATCAGCTTGTTGCTCACTTATTGGGCTTTCCCTGGGAGCTGGTAGAATGCCTCTGCAGGTGCTGCAGGGCTTCGTTTTAGGGCCTTTTTGCTGTCGTTTGTCCGGAGCTCGGAGGTGATGCGACCGTTCCTGTCTGGCGCTCGGCTCCGCCCCCCAAAATGACTGGGTTTTAAGGGGTTAAACCGTACTAATTTAAGTGATGCAGCTTAGATCTTCTTCATTGGCATCTGCAAGACAGTGAGATCTGGCCAATTCTGCTGTTCACATTCTGTGTGTAAGGGAATAAAATGCCATGCACACAAGGCTTCCTTTCCAATGTACTTTAGAAATTATATCTGCTTTTGCATAGTTTGCACTAGGCCAGGGGTAGGCAACCTTTTAGCAGCACTGTGCCGAAATAGGATTGTGATTTCCTGTAGCGTGCCGGTTCTATTTTTTTAAATTGAGGTGTGTATGTTGCTGTATTCTGCTTGTTACGTATACTGTAGTTGCTTTGTATCGTCGTATTTGTGCGTATATGAGCTATTATATTGTATATGTTTATGAGTAGTTTGTGGTATTGTGAGGCTGTTTAAGGTATTGCATGTGAGAGGCTGCATGTGGGGTTGTGTGCATATATGTGGATTGTCAGTGGTGTTAAGTTTGTGCGGATTGTGTGTTTGTGTGTGGGCTGTTCGTATTATTTGTATGAGGGGAGGGTTATTCTGCAGCTCTGTGTATATCTAGCAGTGTGGGTGGGGACCAGGACGGCCAGGTACATGTCAAGGACAGGAGCTGCAACAGCAGTTGCGGGCTGCTCTACTCCAGTGTGGATTCCCATTCACAAGTGCTGGAATGAAGTGATCTAAGATCACTTCCTCTAAGTGCTGCAATGCATAAATTGAGGATTTCCCTTCACCACCTCTTCGTATTAGCAGATATCTGAAGTTTACCTGGGACTCATGATAGGCCAGAGCCTGTTTGGCTCTAGCAGCCCTGAGTGCCGTGCAAAGACACATCGAGTGCCGTGCATGGCACTAGTGCCGTAGGTTGCCTACCCCTGCACTAGGCTCTCACTGTTTATTTTTTTTTTTTTTTCCAATTTGAATTTTATTGACTTTTTCGAGTATGCAAACTTGGGGGTGGGGATACAGAAAGGAAGGGGGGGGTGGGGAAGACAGGTTATCAGCATTCGTGTTTAAGCAGTTGTACAGGTAGACAGTTATACCGTTATACCAATATACCATTATGCATTTGTACATTTATACAGTTATACAAATATTCAGTTATACGATTATCCACTTTTACGTGGGTTCCCAGGTATATGTATATCTCCCCGCTAATCACCATTCTCTTGTAGGTGGTTGTACGGTTATACAGTTACCCTCTTATATCATTATATCATTAGATTGTTGTATATGGGCTCCTAGGTTTATTTACATTTCCCCGTTATGTGGTTGACCAAGGTTGTCCCTGGCGTATCTCCCACTACCTGTTGCGTAATGTAAGCTGAGGCATTTGCTTGTACACCTAGTGGATGCTGGTGACGTCACCTTTTGTGGGCCTTGATGAGTGGTTTGCTTTCTGCCCACTAGTGTGGTTATAGCTTATCTCCAGCTTCCCGCCCTCATACCTCGGATGTTATGCTAGCCTTCCAAGTCTTATGTGCCTCAAGTATATGAGTGCGTTTCCCAAATTGTGCTGCTGTCATAAGTTCGTACTCCCAGTTTTGTTCTACCTGTTTTATCACATCCTGGATAGTGGGGGTTGTTGTTTTTTTCCATAACCTGGATATCGTCTGATTTGCTGATATGAGGGTGTGATAGAGAATCGTCTTAATGTGCTTCGGGATGCCCTTGGGCAACATAAACAGGATGCATGTTTGTGGGTTATCTAACCTGGGTGTCGGATATATTTTTTGTAAATGTTGGGTCACTTCCTTCCAGAATGAGCTAAGTGCGGCGCAGGACCACCAGATATGTAGCATGGTCCCCACCTCACTCCCACATCTCCAGCATATGTTGGTAGTGTTTGGCCACATCTTTTGGAGTTTGTCTGGTACTAAGTACCAGCGGTACAATAGTTTGCGTTGTAGTTCTAGGTGTGTGTGGCATGCTGTGAGTCCCTGATGCGCCAGATATGCCCGGTCCCAGGTGTCTTCTGGAAACGTCTGGCCCAACTCTTGGTGCCACGCCAGTTTGATCTTATCTAGTGTTTGTGTTCGTGTTGTTATTAGCTCCTGGTATCCCCATGATAGGGTTTTCCCCAGTGTCTTTTTGCCCACACAGTGTTTTTCAAGTCTCGTCATGTTCAGTTCATCGTCCCATTTATCTTCGGCGTCTAGCTTACTTGAAACGTAGGACTTTAGCTGCATGTAAGAGAATATGACCTTATTGGGCAGTGTGTATTCCTCCTGAATTGCCGGTAGTGCTTTCAGTCGCCCCCTGTCTATCACCTGATATATATGGTGTATCCCCCCTTTCACCCATGTCTCCCACGGGAAAGTTGGGATGTCCAGCCCTACTGTTTGGATTGGTGTGGCCATAGGAAGCTTTTGTTGTGCCACCATTTTATCTCTTATTTTGTGCCATATTTGTAGAAGGGTCTGGGTACTGGGCAGGAGTTTGTCCCTGGTGTGCTTAGGGCAGTTTCCTTGCCATATCAGTGCTCGTAGGTCCCTTTTGGGTGCCCATTGCGCCTCTATGGCTACCCATTGTGGAGCCTTGACAGTGAGGTTTATTTGTGTAATGTTATGGAGGTATGCTGCTCTATAGTAAGCCGTTAAGTTCGGGAGGCCCAGCCCCCCCCTGCGGACTGTCTGCTGTAGCGTCCCTGCTGCCACTCTTGCTTTTTTCCCCTCCCAAATGAAGGCACTGATGGTGTGCTGCATATTTTTGAGGTATTGCTTTGGTAGGGGTATCTGTAGTGTACGGAACAGGTATTGGATTTTTGGTATTAGTGACATTTTGACTGCTGCTATGCGTCCTGTCCATGACAGGTATTTTCCCTTCCATGCTTGCATGGAATCTGTGAACTCTTTGTGCATGCGTACATAGTTGTGGTGGAATAATTTATCAGGGTTTTTTGTAAGTTTGAGGCCCAGAAAGGTTAGGTAATCGTTTCTCCAGTCTAAGGGGAATGCCTCTCTCAGTCTGGACGTGAGGTTTGTGCCTAGATGCATCCCCAATGCTTGTGTCTTGGTGACATTCAATTTGTAATATGATACTTCACCATATGATTCTATGTGTAGCATCAAGTTTGGCAGGGAGATTAGGGGCTGTGTGAGCGTTACTAGGATGTCATCTGCAAATAGATTGAGCTTGTACTCCCTGTCTCCTATTGTGATGCCCTGTATGGATGGTTCCGCCCTTATCGCCGCTGCAAGGGGCTCCAGTGCCAGGATATATAATAGTGGGGACAGGGGGCACCCCTGCCTGGACCCATTCGTTATGTTGATTTGTTTGGACACAAATCCTGCATTGAGTACCCTTGCTGTGGGGTGGGAGTATAGTGCTTTTACCCCATTTATAAATGATCTAGGGAACTTGTACTTTTGGAGCACTGCTTCTAGAAAAGGCCAATTAAGGCGATCAAAGGCCTTTTCTGCGTCCAATGAGAGTAAAACACCCTCCGTCCGATATCGTCTTAGGCTGTGTATGAGGTCGATCACTTTCCTCGTGTTGTCTGATCCCTGTCTACCTGTGGTAAAGCCCACCTGGTCATCATGTATCAGTGTAGGGATGATGTGTTTTAGCCTATTTGCCTGTATTTTAGCGTAGATTTTTGTGTCTGTGTTTAGTAGGGATATTGGCCGGAAGTTTTGACTACATGTGGGTGGTTTGCCTGGTTTTGGAAGTGTTATAATGTGAGCTCCTAGCATGTCTGCCGGGGCTTCTGCCTTTCGGGTGATGGCATTAAAGGTGTTTGTTAGGTGTGGTGCTAGAGTGGCAGCAAATCGTTTATAGTACGCGTTGGTAAACCCATCGGGTCCTGGTGCTTTCCCCTTGGGGAGGCTCGCTATTACCTGTAGCACTTCTTCCTCTGTGATAGGGGCTTGTAGGCCCTCCCTTTGGTCCTCAGTAAGGCCCGGTAGTGATATACCCTCCAGGTATTGTTCTATTCGTGTTTGTGACGGTTGGGGGGTGTTTGGGTCCCGACCCAGGTTGTACAGGGTCGTATAGTAGTCGGCGAACACGTCGCTAATGTCTTTGGGTGTAACCCTTTTTTCCCCTTTAGAGTTCAGTATGAATGGGATTTTTGTTTGTGCGTTCCTTTGCGACAGTCTCCTCGCTAAGAGTTTGCTGGCTCTATTTCCCTGGGTGTAGTGGGCTGCCTGTAGCTTCCGCATTGTGAACCCCATTTTTACTAGGTCATGTTTTTTGCCTTCGTCTATTACTCGTTTAATTTGTTCTAGGAGCTGTGGGGTTGGTGTGAGTTGGTTCTGTTTGGTTAGATTGTAGAGGGTAGTCAGCCATTCTTTTCTTTTTGTTTGGGTTGCCCTTTTTATTGCACTTGCTTTCCCTATAAGGAGTCCCCTTACAACTGGTTTGTGGGCCTGCCACAGTGTTTCTGGTGATATGTCTGGAGTTGTGTTGGTGTCAAAGTAGTTGGAGAGGTCGTCTTTAACTGTGTCGCTGTATTGTCGGTCTGTCAGTAGAGATTCATTTAGTCTCCACGGGCTTCGATGCTTGTAGTCATATGCGTCGCATAGCACTAAGGTTATTGGGGCATGGTCTGACCACGTTATGGTACCTATCGTGCAGGACATGATGTGGTTGAGGTGGGCACCTTTTATATAGTACCCGTCAATACGCGAGTAAGTGTTATGTACCTGAGAGAGGAAGGTGTAGTCCCTCTCCCCAGGGTGTTGCAATCTCCATGCATCGTAGTAATCGTGTTCTTTGAGCAAGCGTACTAGTGGTTTGCATTCCCTCTGGAGGGTAGCTGATCTGGGAGTGTTTAGCTTTACTGTGGTATCCCATTTGGGGTCCAGTATGTGATTGAAATCCCCACATAATATAGTAATGCCCCTCTGGACCGATTGCACTAGTGTGATGACTTTATGTAAGAAATTCCTCTGGTGTGTGTTGGGTGCATATAGGTTGACTATTGTGTATTCTAAATTGTTGATTTCGCATATCATGATAATATATCGCCCTTCTTTGTCTATGGATATGTATAACGGTTTGAAGGACACATCCTTGCTGATGAGGATGGATACCCCTTTCGTTTTGGATGTGGAGGTGCTATGGAATTGAGCTGTGTATTGCGCCTGGGCTAGGATTATTGATTTTTTGAGGTGTGTTTCCTGCAGGCACACTATATCGGGGCATTCCCTGCGCAGATCTCTTATGAGGCAATATCGTTTTACTGGGGTGTTTAACCCTTTTACATTATGACAGTGTATCTTCATATTTTATTGAGTGGTGTTGAAGTATCTTGCTTTTGACTTGGGGGGTCAGTGTCTGGTGTGCTACTCCTCCCTGGGTCCTATGGTCTCCAACTCGGATATATGCTACGTGGTCTCCAACCTGTCTGGTGGTGGGGGGAAGGGTGGGGTGGTGAGCAAGGGTGGATGCAGTCATGCTAACCTTATGCAAGACCTTTGGGGTAAACAGTGCAACATAAAACAAAACATACAATATCACAGTATTACAATTGAACATTTCCCACTGAAGGGTAAGGCACCCATTATGTGGTGCCATTGGGGTGCGTGGTGAACTCTGATGAGTGATGTGTGCGGTGTAGCTAGGTGAGCATGCCATGCCCGTTACACGCTATCTTTTTGCCTGCGTGTGTTTTGCGGCTAAATGGTGAAAGGTGAGATGGGTATGAGTTCTAGCGTGTCTGGGGTGTAGCTTCTGGACAGGCCTGTATTTAGGTCTGGGCTCCTATCAAGTTGTTGTGAGTGGGTTGTTTTTTTTTTTTCTATTTAGTGTGCTAGGCACTGACATGTGCCAGGTTAATGGTGTGGCTGTGTGAGTTAGATATCGAGTGATAGGGTTTGAGTGTGCGTGTCATGTGTGTCTGGTATACTTGCGGCCCATTGTCCAACTGCTCCCTCTGGAGTCTCTGTTAAGTCCCATCTCTTGCTTGGAATCCCTCTGTGGGATCATTTTTTGGCCCTCTTCCACTCCGGAGACAGTCTGCGCTGATCTGCAGCCTTTGCCCCTGCCTGGGTTGGTTGAATGCCCCAGCTGCGCAGTAGTTTGTGGCCTTCCTCTGGCGTGTTGATCGTTGTCAGTGTGCCATTCCTCCTGATCAGCAGGCGGACCGGGTATCCCCACCTGTACTGGACGCCATTGTTGCGCAGGGCCTCTGTGGTCGTTTTGAATTCTTTCCTTTTCTGTAGTGTAGCCGCTGACAGATCCGTGAAGATTTTTATGTGAGTGAATTTTTGTGGCAGATCCCTTTGCCCTCTCGTGGCCTGGAGAATTGCCTCTTTTACGTGGAAGTAGTGGAGGTGGGTTAGCACGTCCCTTGGTGTGTCTTGCGGCAGGAACGCCGGCTTTTGGACCCTGTGGTACCTGTCCAGGATCAGCATCTCCGCTGGTAGCTCGGGGGTCAGTGCTTTGAAATACTCTATGAGGAAGGGGTGCAGATCTTGTTGAGACACCTCCTCCGGTATGCCTCTAATTCGCAGATTTTGTCTTCGTGAGCGGTCTTCCAGATCCATGATTTTCCTTTGGGACTGGTTCAGTAACTGCTGCAGGTTGTGCACTTGGTCTGCCAGCTCGTTATGAACAGATGTCTGCTCCTCCACGCGCTGTTCCACCCGTGCGGTCCTGTCCCCCAGCTCCTGCACGTCTTTGCTGAGTTCCCTCAGAGTGCTTTGGATGGACGCCAGGATTTTGCTGGACATATCCTCCAAGCATGTCTGCAGAAAGTCTTGCGTGACTGGCAGGTTGTGGGAAGCCCGTGGGCGTCCTTAGCGGCAGTGTGTCGTTCCCGCCGTCGCCATCTTGGGCCTGGTCCAGCAGGCCTGTAGCTTTCGGCGTCGAGGCTCGGGCCGCGAAGAACTCCGACCTGTCGGTTTTTTCTGCTTGTTTCTTGTGCTTTGGGTGGGACATCGTTAGGTGAGTCGGGGGTCCCGGTTTTTCCCGCAGGCAGTGCTGTTTTTTGTCGCTTTTAGGGCTAGCTGGGAGCGGAGCTCAATCCCGTGCGTCCATCCGCGTTGCCCGCTAAGCCACGCCCGCTCTCACTGTTTATAATAAAATATGGGTGGGTGTCTTCTCTCATTAGTCCCAAACCCCCTCTTGAGCAGTGTTCTCTTTGTTGTGTGTTTGTGTGATCTGCATGCTTTGTCTTTTCTTTTTGTGCTGGGCTCTATTTTAGCAGTTTCCGGTAAACCCTGTCATTTTGGGATTCTGGTCTGCTCCTCGTTCCGACTTTCAACCATTTATAGAGCCAAGTAGTAATCCTGATGCTTACGAACTAGAGAGATGTTCCTTCTCTGTAGTCCTCTAGACTTCCTGATGGACACTGCCTACGTACCTGTAATATTGTAATATTGCTGAAATCCTCGTGACTCAAGTGCTTCTATCAAAGTGCTGAATAGGGTTAGATTTATTAATGCTTATGCAGTACTTTGACATGGGTCATTTTTATTTATTTATTACTGGCATTTATAAAGCGCCAACAGATTCCACAGCGCTGTACAATTGGGAAATTATGGGTTAATTATTGATTAACTATCAGTACTAAACAGAATCTTTGTTTTTGTTTTTTAACCAATTAAAGTTTCTTGAAGTCTAACAAAGAATCCATCATTGCTGGTATAGTACATAGATTGTTCTAATAAAAGAACATTAAATTGTTATGGCATTAAACCGATATAGAAATGGATGAGTGTCTTTCAGTGGAACACAATGAGGGTCACCTGAATTCCTGGGAAATGAGCTGTCCTTATTATAAGACCGCCTAAATTCTGGGCTAAGGAAGGGCTGGATGTTCTCACAGTCCTTAGATTAGGTTTAAAGGAATTGCAATATGCACAATTACTGTGATTAAGAAAGGTAGGGGTAAAGGTGACATTTATTCTCTATGTATGTATCCTGCTGGTAAACTTTCAGGAAATGTATATGCTAAGAGATTGAGTTTGTAGGCCAGAATTTTGATAGGCCATGGGAATTGTACCCACAATGCAGCATTTCTCAGTTAGAAGCGTTGGAGATAATTTAGTTTTGTAGAAACTTTTATCTCTGCCTTTCTTCTTATTTGACTAGCACAGGATGGACAGCCGTGAGCAGGCAGTGTGTGAAATAATGCATTCAAACAGGTCTATTCAAAGTCAAATTGGAACTTAAGAAAGCAACACTATGCAAAACATTCACACTGTTATTTCTTACAGAAATCCCAATCTCCAATGGGCCTGATACACCACCTGCCAACGAGGAGAAGGAAGTACCACAGCTTGACGAACAGGGAGAGGGCAGTGATGAGGAATGGGAGAAGGTCGGACCTCGCAACAAATCTTCCGTGACACGGCAGGCCGACTTTGTTCAGACATTGATCACTGATATCTTTGGAGGACACATGAGGTATTAGTATTGTCATCTACTCGTACAATTGGAACCCACTTCATTCTGTCTCCAGGATATCTGTATTTTATCTGAAATCACAATTGCATGGAAATTACTTTTGATAAGATTATGTGGAACTGTCTCTTCCTAGGTTTTTACACAACCTAGTAGCTGTGTAATTCGTATCCCATTCCCTATTTCCATTTCTGTCACTTCTTTGTTTATTTTATTATTTACGTAGCGCTGTACAATGGGTGGACTAACAGACACATAATTGTAACCAGACAAATGGACGCACAGGAACAGAGGGGTTGAGGGCCCTGCTCAATGCATGTTGTGGGGGTTATTCATCATAATCTCAAATGATCTCCTTTCTTATTCCATTCTTTTCATTAAGTATAAGACTGTGCTTCGTGTCTCTATGCTTCTCATCACATCTTGTCTCCAAGTCTCTCCTTTTTATTTCATGTCACCTTCCTTCCAATCTGTCTGTATCCGCTTTCTATAAATGTCTTCCCAAGTTTCCCAGTGATGGCTTGTGTAGAAAGCGAGAGTATTTGTGCCTTTGTCAGCACTGCCCTGTAACTGATCACTTGCAGTACTGCAGCATGCAAATGTACGGTGGTCTGTTTAGAGAATACTAGCCCAATAACCAATGCAATAGGCACAATGCTAGAATGCCCCTTTAAACTGAGCCTTACATCTCCAGATAATTATCACTGCTGAAACCTAAATACCAGATTCTTATAAAGATTGACTGGCTAAGCATCATGATATTACAAACACCTGCTCATTGGCTAAGGATCATAGCGTATGCAGTCCAAAGCAGTGACAGTGTCAATTTTGCCTACACTGTCTTCTTAAAAATGTGCAGATGTAGTATTTTCTTTGCATGATATGGCATAGAAATGTATATGTTGCCGTTTTGTTATATATGTCTGTTAGTTAAAATGTACTCTTTAAAGCACGGTTTGTTTTGAGTTCTGCATTTTCCCAGACAGCAGAGGAGCCCACAAGAGACTTTGTAACGTGTAGTCTGAGTAAGTGGGTGGGGTGTTTGCTTTAATTGAAAACCCTTTCCCAACACCACAACTGCAAATGGTCAGTGCCATGTGGCTCACTCCCCCAGCCATTAATACTCCCACTCTTCCAGCAATGCCAAAAGCCATTGACCGGCGCTCTCTCTCCATGGAAGGTTGGTTTTCATGCTGGCAGGTTTGACCAGTTCTTTATCTAACAAAGACATTTACCCAAACTGCTTATAGCAAATGGCATTTTCAACATCACTTTTTGTTTTTTTTTCTTTCTATCTGTAATGGCTAGTGCTCCCCATATGAAGCCAGATCCATTTCCATTCTGTATTGTAGGTGCTTTCTTCTGCTTCTGTCAAAAACCTTGAAGGGAGACTAAACTGCTAGGAATACAAAGTTGAGGACATCCAGCATCAGGAGACCAACAGTCACCTAGCAAACAGGAAGTGCCTCTAGTGGCTGTTTGACAGCCACTAGAGGCAGTCTTAGCCCTGCAATGTAATTATTGCAGTTTATCAGAAACTGCAATAATTACCATTGCAGGTTTAAGGTGACACACATTGCACCCAGACCATTAAAATGAGATCAAGTGGTCTGGGTGCCTATAGTGTTCCTTTTAAAGCGTAGCTTTCACTGTCTGGGGTATTTAAACAATTAGCAAAGACTCCCAACCGTGCCATTTACCAGGAGCCCACATCAGCGCGAGAGTACAGTCTTTGGAGTATCCCGCAAGACTGTCCATGGAAAAAAAACCTTCTCTCACCACTACAAATGACAAGCTTGACAAAAGTAAATCCACATTTTGTCAAGTGGAGGAAACACAGAGACAGTAGTTTCTACTTTTATCTTTATGAAGTACTCATTTTGGATTGGGAAGTTTTGACAGAGCTGCTTTAATGTTATCGCTTTCAGTATTGCATGTCAAGGACAGCAATGTGTACCCTAAAAGCACCCAGTGGATAAGTTTCTGGTGTTTTACTCCTGTGGAAAATAAATATGAATGTTCAGATTAAAGGACCATTGGTCTGAGTGCCAGGTCCCCCTAGTTTTTAACCCTGCAGCTGAAAACCTAGCAGTTTACATTGCAGGGTTAATCCAGCCTCTAATGGCTGTCTGACAGCCACTAGAGGCGATTCTCAGTGAGAGAATCGCATTGAACCCACGATCACGTTCCGATCCCCATTGGAAAGCATTTAATAATTCTTTCCTATGGGTGGTTTGAATGCAGGCACGTCTCTGGCCACGCATGCGCATTCGGCTCCACTCGAGGAGCTGACGTCGGCAGGGGGAGGAAAGGTCACCAGCGCCGAGGGAGCCCAGCACTGGATTAAGGTAAGTGGCTGAAGGGGGGACCTAATAACCCTATAGTGCCAGGAAAACATGTTTGTTTTCCTGGCACTATAGTGTTCCTTTAAGTAATAGCTCATGTAATCTTACTTTATAAGCATTATACAAAGACCCTTTAACATTGATGGTCAATAACCAATCTCCTATTAAGAGGTTAATATTTCTCGTAGTATAATCCTGTCAACTGTGGAACTGTTACTGTATCATTTCTGACATAAAGAATACTAATTAAAAATGCATGCATCTGTGCACATTTCTTGGAATGATCTGTGTTTAGAAGTGAGTCTGACCCTGTTTTCAGACAGAAACATTGAGAATTATTTGTGCCTGTCTCTGGACTCTGCGGTACACAGCTGATCTATTGTGTATCAGTTAGGATTCAATAAGGAAGCTGTTTGCTGCCTCCATGAGTTTCTGTTTCTAGAAGAAACTGTTATCTTCCGTTTTGTCAGGTTGTCCCTTTAAGAGCTTCTCGGAGATGGAAATTCTAATTTTAAAAAAAAAAAAGCACCTTCCTGGATGAATCACTGGGTCTGGAAAGCAGGGATGTTGGTCAGTTATATCGAATAAACCACAGAACATATTTCCACGTATGTGGGAGCTTAATGAAGAGCCAAATGTTTGACACCAAGGAATCCTGTTGGTTATCTGGTGCAATTTATGGTATTTCATCTCTTCCTGTCACTAAATCATCTCTGGGCACAGATTATTTTTTTTTTTTTTTATTGGCATATATGTAACAGTCCTTAAAGAATATGAAAATTGACTGCGTAGATTGTTTATACAGCATCCAAGTGCCCCCTTTGGCATTGATACAGTTTACATCCAGTAGTTGTGTCAGGACAAAACATGTCTGTGTGAATGTCCTGGAAGTGTACATAAATAAGTGTTTAGTTAATGGACTTGAGTATATTTTAACCCTTTCCTTCTGTCTACCTTGCAGGTCCGTTGTGTATCAGCAAAGCTCAAAGGAATCTGCTACACTGCAGCCATTTTTCACTCTCCAACTGGATATTCAGTCTGAAAAGATTCGCACGGTCCAAGAAGCATTGGAAAGCCTGGTGGCGAGAGAATCTGTCCAGGGTTACACCACCAAAACCAAACAAGAGGTGTGTTTCTTTCTTCTCAAACTGTTCAAATAGATCATTCTTTGAAGGAGTCATCGGCAGCCAAGGTGGCAGGTCTGTGCTGACCGGTTCAGCTCCTGGGGACCCGGTTATATGTGGTTGGACAGTAGACATGCAGGATGTAGAAGGGAATAGAAGCAAACTGTGTACTTACAGTAGTATGAAAGGAAAGGCTGTATGGCATGCGGGCATGGCATTTGTGGGTTTTAAAACAAAAATGCAATTCGTTTTCCATTGCCATAGCTGGAGGCAGTAATTGATGGAAAGTTGAGCAGATAGACTACCCAGCTGATATCATGGAAAGATTGCAGCACAAAATGTCAGCTTGCAAGGTAGCAAACACGCTGCAGCTGTACTAATAAAATAGACTGACTAGTCCCCTGGAGTAACGTAAATTGGGACTGTGTGAGCTGCTAGTGACATGGTGGGCTAACACACACGTCAAAGGCAGACGAAAAGATTTGAGATTCCTTGGTTATGTAGGACTTATGGGTACAGATAATGTTAACGGAGTAATAAAACAAAATACACCCAGCAACCACCCAACATATAAACAAAGATTGTGGCACAATGATTATAGTATATTGAAAGACTCCAGCAGGGGGCAGCGCAATTTAGTTGGGGAAAATTTTGAGGTTTTACATTGGATAAACATAGACGTAAATGGTGGTTAAAATCCCTATGTTATCTATCCAGGTTTTAACATTTTCCTTGCCTGATGCGGAACTCTAATGTATTGCCTATCCTTGTGGCTTTCCTGAGTTGTCATTTAGATGTATTGGATCTTTGCTTAGTTTAAAATGAAGTACTTGTGTATGCCTGGCGATTAATAATGAAAATGATGTGGGGTTTGCATTTCATATTCTTCTGTATTTAGAAAATATCTACTTGAGACACTGCAGTCCTTTCTTAGTAATAAGGCAACTTGTTACCTTGGAGTAATGGGGGAAATCTGACACCGACCCATTATCTCAGCTATGCTTAGCTTTTCAATTCATTTTAATGAAATTGTAGTGACTTCTTTATTTACAAAGCCCCAATAAATTCCGCAGTCCTATACATTGCGAAACATATAGACAAATTTTTCAGTCAATTGCGACAGCTGTGGGGAAAAGGCATTGTCTCGATCGTTGTGAGACTATATCTATGGCGATTCCTACAGTGAGACCTGCCTGTTTAAAGTTGCTCTTGTACCATAGTTTTTTTAGTTTTTTTTTCTACACATGTATACGTGTGCTAAGATTTCTGCTTGTGCTATGTATAAATAATTTTTATTTAAAAGGAAACAGTAGTCATGAAACAACTTTAGTTTAAGCAGTTTTGGTGTATATATCATGTCCCGGCAGTCTCACTTTTCAATTTTCTGCCATTTATTAGTTAATTCACTTTGTTTATGCAGCCCTAGCCACACCTCCTTGCATGTGACTTGCACAGTCTTCCTAAAAATGTCCTGTAAAGAGTCTGCTAATGTGTATACTTCCTTTATAACAAAATCTGTTCAATTTTAAATTACATTTTATTTTCTACTGCTCTGTTAATAGCTTGTTAGACCCTGCAAGAGCCTCCTGTTGAATTTTAAAAGCAAGAGATGAGAAACTTTTAATTAAGCTGCATCAGATAGAAAATGAAACTATTTTGTTTTCATGTAGGCTTTATCAATCTGTCAGGGGATGTGTTGCTTAGGTTGCATAACTGGAAGGGGGGTAGTAATTTTACTCCTATATGGCAGAGAATTCAGCGGCATGATATATACACAAACTGCTTCATTAAGCTAAAGTTCTGTGGCATATAAACTTTTTATTATTGAGTAGTCGTAAGTATTAGAGTAATATTGCTCCAAATTCTGTAGGAATAAAAAAAAATATAACCAAGAACCCTTAACTGGTCCAGTGCTCTATGAGATTTCTAACACACTTTATTTTTGATGGTGTTAATTTTTTTTTGTTTTAGTTTTCTTTTTGCTGTGTAACCCATATGGCCTTCTCTCTATTAAACTTAAACCTGCGATAGTCCCCCCCTGCTGTTTACACAGCCTGTTACGTGGGAGTGACATTCAGTCTAAGTTGCTTGTGATTTTTGCATGTAAGGTTGGGTTGCTAAGCTGTCATTTTGGGTATTCACAGAAAGACCACTGTTCAATTAAGGGTTTATAAGAAATGGGTGTGCAGTTTATGTACCGGTGTCGCTGTCTGGTTTATATTTTTATGTCTGGGCTGGAAATAAAATGCTTGCATGATAATTAGCTTGAGACACGGCCTTCAGACAGAAAGAAGCCTCACAGGATTTTATTTTATGACATTTAGACAAGTGGTCACTTTCAAAGTGAATTATTGGTTAATGTCTTTGCCATCCAAAGCAGTGATTTCATGAAACATCTTTTGCGTACAGACCTTTTGTTCGGTTACAAACTTTTCAGTATTCGAAGATATAGCCAGATACTTTCGTGGCCAGAAAAATATCACCAAAGGTCACCAGCCAGGAAAAATAAAGGTTCACTTTTTTGGTTAGTGTCATAAGGTTTTTCTTAATTATTAGCTTTCGTAAAATTCACGATCTCAACAATTTTAATTTTTCAGTTTAGTATCCTTTTGCTGATCATATCCAAACATGTATGAGAAGGGTTTAAGAAAAGGGCATTCTTTGCCGACATTTACCAGATCCTGTACCAGGCTGTTCATGGAGTATGGTACAGGCCTTATTTTCTGAGTTTTAATGGCATAGATCAGGGTTTGGTTACATTGGGCACTCTAGATCTCCCTGGATGTAATGACATTCTGGCTGTAAGAGCATTAAGGGGATGTAGTTGCTAAAGTTTGCCTATCCCTGGATTAGATCATTAATTATTGAGATTTCTGTTGCATTTTTTTTTTTTTTTTTCCTAAATAAACTTTTAAAGAGATCTTGGTGTGGTTGACAAAGTCTGCTCCATGTATATTATAAAAAGTACATCGGCCACAATGTTGAGATTTAGTATACTGTATAACTGAATGCTCTGTGCAAGTCTGTTATCAGTGGAGAGTTGAGCATCCTGCCCGCAGTGTGCTGTAGCTTGTTTGTTCTCCCCAATCGCGTTATGCCTTGGGTTTATAACTCTGTGCCTTTGACCTTATGAATTGTGACAGGCCCATGTTTGTTTATTATGGATGTGTCTTTTCAAAGAAGGGAATGTGCATTTTTTTTGTCTTTTAAATATTCAATCATTTCTTTAACTGAGTAGTTACGGAGTCACCCATTTAGAAATCTTTATTTAACAGAACACCTGATAGATTTTTCTTCTCTGAAAAACTTGTTATACCTGATCCACTTTATTGGCTGACATTCTCAAATTGATGATCTCAGCCATTCAAAATGCTTTCCAATACGAAAGCATTGGATTGGATGAGATCATCAACTCTGCTCTCCACCAAGGAGCTTGGTCAGGGGTGGAGGCAGAAGTAGCTGTTAATGCATCTCTATGGGAAATGTTCAGCGTCTCCATGCAGAGCGTGGAAATGCTGAATGTCAGTGCTAAACTAAAATTGCTGCTCTAGTAGAAAAAAAATTATCATGGCTTTATTTGATTTTGTGGTCTGGATTTAATATTGGGATAGACACCGTATACTAGTTTGGCCCCAAGCAAGCAGTTTTTTTTTTTTAATTGTACTGACTTTCCTTTGACATTGTGAAGAATTTAGTGAAGGTGATCTGCACAGTGTGAAGAATAGGTCAATGAGCTAATGCCACATGTTGGGGTGACTGGAATTGCTGCTGCAGGAAAGATGTGTGAAAAGACCACAATTACTTTCACAACAAGAATTTTACTTGATTGCGAGTGATAGACAGCCAATGTATTTTCAGCTCGGGAACCACTTGAACCTTACCAGTACATGTTAAGATTTTCAGAACATTCAGTTCTTGGAATAAAAGTTCGAAAAACAAGACATTTACCAAATTTTGGTCCCCCCCCACCCCCATATCCTTTGAGTAAATGGTTTTAATGTCAACATTCAATAGTACGCAATGTGGTAGTAAATGTCTTCTGTATCTTAAAACTTAATTAGTTCTATATTCTGCTAGCTGCAAATTAGCTTTTTTTTTGCCACATTGCAGCAGGACAAGAGGCACCTAGTTGTTTCTTGCAGAATGCAGTAATAGCATGCAATGGAAGGCAGCTGATATTAAGCCCTTCCAACACTGTGTGGACACATGCCAGCTTTCTCATGCCTTGCATTTACCTCCCTCTTGTTCCAGTAACCTAGTACTGGTTTCACCCCGGATTCCATTCTGTCCTTCAGTTTCTCTGTGTGCTACTGTAAATGGCGCCCCTCCATATAGACAACAACTATCTTTTGTAAGTCAAATATCATGGCTTCATTCTTGCAACCAGGAAGGAGGGAGAATTCTTGGCTACAGGTATTCTCTCTATATTGTCCAGAAACATTATAGTTGTACAGCATAATTGGCACACAGACAGATATATTTTTACATACAGATGGCATTGTAGGAAGCTGTTCTCCTAGGGAATTGAGGCACCTTGCAAATAACCATAAGCACTATATTTGACCTTTTTACTTATTTTCCCATAGCTACTGTATATAACATAAGTGGCATTTTTTTGCTTCTCTAATATTTTCAAATTCAGGGTAATTTTAAAAGGTAAGATACCATATAATCTCTGAAATGTTTTATACCCATCTACAATATTTGTTTAAAAAGAATGAAGTTGTGCAAATTTACATAATTGTTAGTGTCCCAAGTGTATGAGTTGCATTAAAGTGACAGTGTACAGATTAGCTCAGGTTAAAGGAACACTATAGTCACCTAAATTACTTTAGCTAAATAAAGCAGTTTTAGTGTATAGATCATGCCCCTGCAATGTCACTGCTCAATTCACTTTCATTTAGGAGTTAAATCACTTTGTTACTGTTTATGCAGCCTTAGCCACACCTCCTCTGGCTATGATTGACAGAGCCTGCATAAAAAAAAAAACTGGTTTCACTTTCAAACAGATGTAATTTACCTTAAATAATTGTATCTCAATCTCTAAATTGAACTTTAATCACATACAGGAGGCTCTTGCAGGGTCTAGCAAGCTATTAACATAGCAGGGGATAAGAAAATCTTAATTAAACAGAACTTGCAATAAAGAAAGCCTAAATAGGGCTCTCTTTACAGGAAGTGTTTATGGAAGGCTGTGCAAGTCACATGCAGGGAGGTGTGACTAGGGTTCATAAACAAAGGGATTTAACTCCTAAATGGCAGAGGATTGAGCAGTGAGGCTGCAGGGGCATGTTCTATACACCAAAACTGCTTCATTAAGCTAAAGTTGTTCAGGTGAATATAGTGTCCCTTAAAAGATTTAACTGCTTGTCTGCTCAGTGTTGACAGCACGTGGTTAGAAGGTACAATGCTTTCTAAGATGTAGGTGATACATACTCCAAGAATTCTGCTCCGTAAACACTTTCTAAAGGATAGTTAGAAGGGTTAAAAACTCATGCAGTTGGAATGTCAGCAAGAGAACATTTTTCCCACATTCTGAATATCTCTTGTAAAAACAAACGGCTTTCATGGCAAGCTTGGGTTCATTAGCAGTGTCATATTTTAATTCTTAGTAGCTCATGTATTCAAAAATCAGATAAAGTTGGAGCTGGCAGTACTAAGGGGATGTTGATACTACAGAAAAGCAGGAATCTTGTATTAAAGAAATAGATATTTAAAGTGACAGCACACACTTGTTATATATTACCTGGGTTCACAGTCCTGTACAAAGCCATGGACAAAATCATTGGTATGGAATAGGGAACATGGAAAAACTAAATTATTGAATACAGGCTGAATATTTCCACACCCTCTTTGTCTTAAACTACCTCCTTCGTTTTTTCCCCTCATTCTTTCCCTAGATACCCCCTTCATGTACAGGGTTTTATTATCTGATGAGTAGTCGGTGGTTAGACTTGCACATAGCTTTGCTGCCCACTCTGTCCCATCCAAGCTTGTACTGTTTGCGGAGTGATGGGGAACACCTTGCTGACCCATGTGTAGGAAAGAAGACGACCTTACTGGCAGTGTGTATGACATCACATGTTCCTGGGTGTCAGTATTCTTTGATATCTGTGTGGTTGGTAAAAGCAGCACACGTATACAGTGTAACTATAAGGCCATATATTGATTCCCATAATTCTAGGTGTATAGAAAACCACCCCCAGAATAGGGTGAGTGGGTGACTGGCTGGCCTGTTGTGCTTGCAGGATGTGTTGGCATAGCGGCCCATAGGCTGTTTTTACAATGTTTCACATAGGGCTAGTTACTAAACTGTGAATTGTAAACAAAATAACTGAGCTGGAAACCTATTTTACTTGAATGTTTCAATTTGATGCTTTTGTTTAAAATGTTCTAACCATTCACATTTTAGTGAATAAAAATAGGATCCGCATCTGCCATTAGGATAAAGAGCTTCACACCTGCTTTTTACTAATTAGTCGAAGATTGTGGTCTCCATTGAACCAGTAAAGCCGTGCGGGTCTGGATAAAGAATAGAGCAGATTTTACCCCGTGCTACTTGTGGTGGAACATCCTGACCCATCGTATCAACTCCTATTATTGTAACAGGATCCATGCAACCACTTGGATCTATTACATGTTTCTGGACCCAGGCCTACAAATTCCTAGCGTCTGCGGCTTTGCTCTAGTGTCTGCCTTCCTCAGCCCACTGCTGCTGAGTATATGGGGTCTGAGGAAGCTGTGCAACAAACCTGTTCTTCTAGGGACTCCAAACTTTCCTGAAACATAAACGATACATTCTTTGAATAAATTCATCCAGTTTTAGTAGACTCTTGCAAGTAAATCTTATCTTGTATCTTCAATATCTATATGTTCTGGTGGTCATAGCTCAGGCTAAGAATGTAATACTCTGTACTTCCTCACAGTATACACAGTCCTCGGTTTGGATACACGTTTTCTAAGATAGTTTTGTCATTTTATATATTAAGAAAAAAATAAAAATGTAGGAGTCCATCATAAACCTGCCATCCAAGCTGATTCTTGCACATGTAAAGCTATATAAATATAGTTATACAGTATATATTAATCTGGCTAAGCAGCAATGTTGGGTCAGACTCCACTGTTATCTGCTCAACCTAACTTGCCAGCTGCTGTGATTAATCTGTGTGAAACTGCTGCAACAGGCAAGTTAGGTTGTACAGCAGTTATTCAGATAGCCGTAGAGTCTGACTCAGCGTGACTGCTCAGACAGATTAAAAATAAATTAAATAAAAAGGTTTTGGTTTTAAACAAAAAGCAAAGCACTACATTAAATGTAATAAACTTTTTGACCATGTTCCTTTAAGAGAGAAATTATTTTTGTTAATACTTTGTTTAATCAACGGTTGAAAAGGAGAATCACCTCTGCAAGTTATATCACAAACACACCACATCCCATAATGCACAGCATGGCACTGGGATAGATATAATATTTATATGGTTTTATATATGTGAAAGTAAACCACCAACAGTCAGCTTGGATTGTATGTTTATGATGGCTTTCTAAATTTATTTATTCTAATACCATAATCAGCCAAATAAAGTGATCTTTTCTATAAAAAAAAAAAATAATTCTGATTCACTATATGTAGTAAATGTTTAAAACTTTTAATTTGAGGACAGTTGTCCTTTAATCGTGTGTATGTATATATGTGTATACAGAATAGATATATAATTCAATATAATTATTTAAGTTTAAATATATTATCTTGTGACACATTCTGGTGGTATAGAAAATAGAAGTGCCTGCTTTATTCACCCACTAGTACATAAGTCATTGCTAGTTTAAGACCTTTCAGTAAACATTCATGGGTGCACATTGCAAATTAATGCTGTGTACAAGTTAACCAGAGAAGAAATATGTAGGAGGTGTTATATTAAATAAACGTTTCTAAAGGGTCACTCTGTAAGTGCTCAGTTGCAGAGAAAAAAATTTGATTTGAGTATTTTTAAAGCTAAATCCAAAGTAAAAAAGTGAAACATTGACGGCTGTCCTTTGTCTGCGTAATAACTGTATGTGGCCCAGATGCAGTATAATTACTGATGGTGCTAGGTAGGCAGTAAACTAGTAAAACGACTGCAATGGTGCCACGTCACAGCTGGAAGCTTATATGTTGGACATTGCCATACTCGGCTGACTGCACCAATTAATTGATGGGAATATTTTAAGCATTTCATAAAGATAAAATCTAACAAAGACTGACAGAAAGGTGGAGATAAAGCTGTCAAGCCCCCAGCAGCACTAGTTACAGCTGAGGGGGTGACCTGTTTAGGGAGGCTCCATATAGATCAGTGTTGTACTCTCCTGTATGAGCAATTGTACTGCAAGGACGTCGGCTCCTGGAAGATGAAGCAGCAGGTGCGAGAAGAAGTTGTCGATAGCCACGAGGAACGGCTTCAGGTAAGTAAAACTCACCTTTACATGCACCCAGCAGCCACCACACTGCAAAGATCTCCAAAAGTGTATCGCTTGCAAAGTATGCAAACACCCCAGCAGGGGAGAAAGATGCTTTAAACGGTGAATGGTTGAGATGGATAAAAGATTTAAGAGTAAAATGTGCAATTGCAGAATATTGTCCAATGTGACTATTTAACACTGCATGTTCCTACAGGTGGAGATAAGCCGGAGAGTTACTTTGGAAGAACTCCCACCAGTCCTAGTGTTGCACCTCAAACGTTTTGTATTTGAAAAGACCGGTGGCTGCCAGAAACTTGTCAAAAACATTGAATATCCTGTGGACCTGGAAATTAGCAAAGGTAAGAGACAAAACCAGCATGGCGTTTATGGTGGTCGTCATTTCTTTGTGTTTTTTTTTAGAGTAAATGTATGCTCTGTGTCTGTTTTCTAATATCCAGAGCACTGCATGTTTTGCTCAGGGTCTCACAAGTTTTTCCTGTAAAATCGACCAGAATCAGGTTGTGTGGGATTATCGTTCCAATAGAGGCAAGTCCCAAAATGAAATGTGTACAATAAAAACTATTTTTTAAATTTTTATTTTAAAATACCTCATATAAAATGCATCTGACAGGTTGCTCATCCAGTATTTCTCCCCCCCCCCCAGAAGTCTGTGCCTCTTTGTTATGCATTTTGTGTGAATATTTATTTGTAGTTAAAATAATTTTTTTTTAAAATTAAGCATTTAATAAAATAAAGAATGCACTTATGCGGAATCCAGCATCACAACATCCCTGGTGATGTCCATTCAAATCCTTTTGGTCCCATCTCAGACCGGATGTGCGCACTTTTAGCCAGACAGGGAGTGGATAAATAAACACTGAAAACAGAGCAATAACAAACTGATGGAGGCCGGACACATAAAAGCTATCCCTTGCTGACCGTACCTGCAAGGGTAGAACTCTCTGCATCTGTCCCCTGTGTGCTCTGACCACAGAACTCTCCCCTCCTTCCACGCACAGAATTTACATTAGGCAGCCGGAAATATAGAGATTTGGCCTGCCTAAGTCACATGTGCCAAAGGTGAAACTAGCCCCCAGCACAAAAGTTCAAATATCTTCATTTTGGGGAGGAATATTGCTTGCTTCATAGACTTCTACCACCATGACTACTTGTAAATGCAGACGTCATGATGGTTGGAGCAATACTTTAAGTAAATTTTGTGTCCAATGTCGTTGCACAATAGAATATTGCCATTTAATGTAATGTGTGTAGTGCATATATGAATTGGCTACTTGGTTGCAATGTCAGATGACAGAAGGGATCATGTAAATTGCATAGGAATGTGAAAGGGTTCAGATGGTTTACTATATGGATTGATCATTTGATTAATCAAAGGCTCTGCAAGATGTGAGAAGTCACACATAAGTGGCTTGGAAGTCCAATTTAAATATAAACTAACACTCTAATTTTCCATATGTCTAGATTCCCTCTTAGATAGGGGGTGCTTTGATATGTTAATGCCATTAGCCTTGTGTTCCAGTATCCTATCCAAAAGACACATTAATACTTACCCACAGATTAATAATTAAGCCTCATTTTTATTATATCTAGAATGGGACAAGCACAATCTTTTAATCAAGCACAAACATGATATGCGTAACTTAACCATAGGGGAAGGGATTGTTATCTCCGGTGTATTGGGTCACAAGTAAGGAGTAGGGATATCTATGGAGCGGAAAAATGTTAAATTCATAGAGGCCATTATTATTTATGTGGGAAGTACATAAGAGGAGAGAGGACCAAATATTTCCATTTGGATTGATGTTGGTCTGGAACACAAGGGGGTGGTCACTTATAGTTTACTATAGGTACGCCTTATCTCCACCACTGGGCAGGGCTTGGGAATCCACAGGGTATATATCTAATGATAATGAAGTGTGTATTGGACTTGCTTGGGGGCCAGAATCTAATTCTGAGTGAGTCACCATCTACCTTACCAGAGACCCCCTGGGCAGAAGTTTTACTTTGAAAACCTTAGTAAGTGATTAGGACTCCTGTTATTTTATCCTTTTTGGTTTTTATCTGTTTTTGGTGTAACTAATTTGATTGTCATCTATATTTTTGTATGCACAGTGACTACTTTTTGCTCATAATAAATATTCCTTTATTAAGTTCTGCCTTTGTCTGGTAAAGAATCACGTTGCCTGAAGAGACTAGTGTGTTGCAATTGCTTAGATAGTGTTAATAAGTTGTATTTGGTGGGATTTTATTACTAAGTTACCTGGGGGACCAAGGCACCCCATTTATAAATTGTCTTGGTGGTGGCAGCGTTAAAATAGTAATATTTGTGGGTGGTGGTAAGTGGGATTTTAGCATTATTTCCGGTCTAGTGCAGACAAATAGTGAACTTTAACTCTTTCACCACCACAACTACATCACGCACACTCTTGCTGTAGGGTGTGCTTGTGACATCCAGTGTTCTATTCCTATTAATTAGGGACAGTGGCTGGTGAACCATGAGCTGTCACGATGCTCAAAACCCACATAATCTTGATAGTCTAAAAAGGCTCCTAACAACCACAATGTTTGCTTATATGTAGATGTGTGAATGTACTTCTCTGACAAGAAATGCAATATTTAAATATGTCTGTTTTTATATAAATGTTATGTGTGTGGTGTTAGGGCTTTATGTAACCATGACGTCAGACCAACTAACTATGTAACACATAAGGCACGCATTCAATCAATGTTTAATTGGGGTGTGATTTTTATTTTTTATATATACTTGTATTTCCTGTATTAATGTACATATTTTATATAGATGTGTGTGGCCATTAAAGTTGATCGGCTTTAGTAGCGGCATAGACTGAAAATATACAAACTCACTACTTGAAGCTCTCCATTTTACATATAGCTGGCAAGTCTGTTATCCCTGCTTTGGAAAAATACAATAAATGTATATCTACATTGCAAAGCAGCCGTTCTATTGGTTGAAAGAGATGGATCATAATCTGTTGCAATGAATTTTCTTTAGCAGCGATGTGTTTGTCTGTTACATGTAAGCTCTATTGAGAGTTCCATTTTAGCACATGTTATGTTTCAGTTGAGTGACTGAGCCAATTATGTATTTTAGGAAAATTGTAACCTAGCTAATGTCATGAGCACAATGTGGGTGCTGTAGACAAATTACACACACACTTTTTAAAACTAGTGCTGTAAAGTTTTTGTAACCGTTTTATTTTATTTCTTTCTAGATCTGCTTTCTCCTGGGGTGAGAAGCAAGATTTTTAAAGGCCAAAGAACCTACAGGCTCTTTGCAGGTAAATAATCTCAAATTTGAAATCGTTGTTGCCTAATTTTAATTTAAAATGGTTTGTATTGCTCACTTTTCTAGACACTGACGTTCTTAGAAGTTTATTGGCATGTTTTTTCACTGCTGCAATAATCCCTGTATTTAGAAGATACATGTTATGAGTGGAAAACCAGATTTAAATTCAAATTGTTTCTCTGAAGATAATGGGTGAAAAATGCAAATTTATAAAACACATTTCTTGTAAACTGTTAGCTGCTTGTTCTATTGGGAGACTGCTGCATCTAATGAACAATATAACCGTCATAGTCATTGAATCTAGTTCTGCAGGGAAAAATAATCTTAAAACAGTGCAATTACCTTCGAGACGGGCGACCAAAAATTCTAGCTCTCTTATAGTGATATAACTGGCAAAGCCTCATGGGTATAGTAGTTCTCCCAACAGCTGGGGTATATGGGTGTATTGTATTTTTTCTAAATACCTATTCTGTATAGATCCACCTATAGCAAATTTGTTTGTTCCTCAAAAACATTGATGAAACCTCATATACATGTGAAGAAAAATGGAGGTCACTGCAAATAGTCAAATTTGATTAAAAGCACACTATAGTCATTAGAACTATAGCTTATTGTATTTGTTCTGGTGAGTATAATCAGTCCCTTCAGGCTTTTTGCAGTGAACACTGTCTATTCCGAGAAAATGCAATGTTTACATTACAGCCTAGGGACACCTCCACTGGCCACTCCACAGATGGCTGCTAGAGGTGCTTCCTGGATCATTGCTGCACAGTGTGACTGACATTCAGTGGCTTCATCCTCTGCATGGAGAAATTGAACTTTCCTCATAGAGATGCTGATTTGCCAGGGCTGTATTTGGCTTGTGCTGGATCTGCCTCCTTGACAGTCTCAGCCAATCCTATGGGAAAGCATTTTGAGTGGCTTAGAGAATCACTTCTGATGTCAGCCAAGCAGGCACATCTGGGCAGAGACAGCAGTTGCAGACTTGAATAAAAGTAGGGTTTTTCTATATGGGGGAGGAATGCAAGATGGTGGTTTTAACTCTACAGGGTCAGTTATGTGTTCCTTTAACTTTTTCTTCAGTATTGAGTATACTTTATTATAGTTGCTAATGTCTGATTTATTTGATATTATGCAGTTGTCTATCACCATGGAAATAGCGCAACTGGTGGTCATTACACTACAGACGTCTTCCAGATCGGTCTTAATGGATGGCTACGTATAGACGACCAGACTGTCAAAGTGATCAACCAGTACCAGGTGGTGAAACAGACTGTGGAGCGTACAGCATACCTCCTGTATTACCGCCGTGTAGACCTCCTGTGATGGCGCCATGGAATAACTCACTTCACATCTCCTTTTTACCCTGTGCTCTTTTTTTTTTTTTTTTTTTGAGTGAACTTGTTTCTTTACTTTTTCTTTTTTCCTTTTTCCCCTCCTCCTTCTCCAGCTTGTTTCTTTCCTTGAATTTTTAGACTAGTGTAGGCAGAACAATGTTTCAAGAATTCGAGTAGCTGTAACCCTGGTCTTTGCCATAGAGAGGGCCGTGACTGAGCGTTGCTGCCCTCTTGTGGCACTTAAAGGGTTAAGCATTCCATGTAACTTGCTACACAAAAAATAATCTCAATGATTTTAACATCGAAGATGTTAAACTATGTATAACCCTTAATGCTGCCAGAAGGCTGTGCAGCACATTCCCCTTTGCATTTAGTAGATTTTGGCTGGCAACTGCTTCTTCTAAAGCAGGATGTAAAATGGGTGATCGATAGATGCATCTTAAAACTTTTTCTTTTTCCTTTTTTTAAAAAATTGTCTAGGCTTATAGTGGCTCCTTTATTCCCTTTTAGCAGTGTCCACGAGCCTAGCCAAAGAAATATTGCACCAGCATCAAATCTTGTACATTTATGTGGGGAAAAAGTCTTCACTTCGATCCAATTTTCACATCCTTCATGCCGGCTCTTCCCTCATCCCTTGCAGTCTCCCTACTATCATCTTTTCAGATCATTGAATTAAAAGAAAAAAACAAAAAAAAATAGAAATTATATTAACAAAACAAAAAAAAGGGTTTCTTGCATAAATCCATTAAAAGAGGAAAATACACTTTACAGATAAAGGCTTCTTCAAGGTTGCTGGGTGCCTCATAGGGTTAATTACAGTACAAATAAATGTCCTTTAATTGTGAGGTATGAGGGCTTGTTTTAGCTGTTTGTGCTGCTGGATCAAACAAAACTGATTCAGTGGAAATTTCTTTCAGCAGCAAAAAACAAAAAAAAAACGCAAACAAACCTAAAACCGTTTGCAGGGAGAATCCGTTTGAAATTGAAAACGTTAGTCAGTATAGATGGGTGATTGTGACTTTACTGCTATTGCATTCAAATTAAAATTCTGCTTCTGGGTACACAAGATCAACGATTAAAACAGCAGGCTTAACATTCAAGATCTGTATTCCTTTAAGTCTGCTTTGTTTAATTTTGCTGTCTTGCTCTCCTATAACGTTGAGTTCCTAATTGTACACAGTTTAGTGATATTTAGGAGTATAAAGTTGTCGCCCAACATTAAAAAAAGTCACAAAGTTGGTTTAAAAGTGTGTATTTTTTACTTTGTGTGTATGTTTTAACAACATATTAACACACTACCATAAATGTCCGGTATGAAGAATTGATCTTCCATATTTGTTTTTTTGTTGAACGCAGACTAGAAATGTGTTAACTCTTTAAGCTGGAATTTTTACAGTGCACCTTTCTGCATTTACACTTAAAGAAACTGCTCCTACATTTAACAGCAGAGGGCACTATGTACTACTGCAATAACTGGTAATAAGTTAGAATACTAGCCATGGATCGCCTTATTAGTTTAGAGTGGAAGCTTAGTCTTCCATTCATAGATTTACGGGGTTTATTTTGTTACAATACTTGTGCATTTTCTTACGATTTTGCTAAAAGGCTGAGTTTCAGATCAATATAAAAATAGGTAGCTAACTTTCAGTAAAATTGCTTGTAGTTTGGCTTGAAACTTGTTAGTTTTGTCAATATCCCAATGGCTCTAAATTGGGAATGCCTAAATCCTGGGCTAGGAAGCTTTTGCGTGGTTTGAATGACTCTTTGTAATGTGAGCCCAACATATAACATTCCGTGTTTGGATGTTCAGATTAGGAAAATCCTTGATACAGTAAATTAACAGGCTGTTCTGTTTTCCTGTGAGTCTGCACTGCCCAAGGTCCAAACACCATGTAGAGAAGGATGTTTACATTTCAGTCTAAATCAAATAATCCCAAATTAATGCTACCAGTTGTCCCCACCAATAAACCAAGAACGCATCAGCAATAAATCAGCTAGCAGACTTCATGTTCGCTCTATGTGTTTCCCAATGGACTCATCGACTAGTTTCCAAGTCATTCTTCTCGAATACAGTACTAGGAGATGACTGATCTATTGAAGCTTATGGAGAATTGTGCACTAAAATCATTGCAGCAGCATATTCTCATTTATGTGAATGGCAGTGCAACCGTTGTCTCAAACACCTGCAGATAAATAGGGAGTCCCTTTAAATCCTAAATGGGCATAAAGCCTTTCAGTGCCTGGAGTACTTGTTTTACACCTGCTTCCTTGACTGATAAAACCATAATACTGTAGCACAATTATTCTCTGTCCCCATGCGTTTCTGACACAGATACTCAGCTGTAATAGCCAGTAAATATACTGAGCTGACACCCTGTGTGGTTACAGCTGTATTTTGTCGGAATTTGAATGTTTCTCACAAAGATGCACTGCCTTGCTGACCTGAAAGTACAGTAAACCATTTACAACCCAAGATATGCAGGTTAAAATTACCCAGGAAGCTTTGCTTCCCTTGGCTGTCTGTGCCATGATAGGTACCAGAAGCAGTGTATTGGCATTTACAATGTGTGATTGTTTCTATGTAACATTTTGCAGATCAAATTAGAGTTTTGGGTTAAGGAATGTCCTCTTTCCAGTAATGCTTTATACTTATGTAAAGAGGATGCATTGTATTCATAATGAAGAAAGTCCAATGTTCAGAAAAGATTCAGTTTTCATGTTTTGGCCCAGGGCAGGGGTTGATTTAGTTTAGCTTTCGGCTTCAAAAACTGCGCAGCCTGAGGTCCCAGCTGTAAATTGTTTCATTTAATAGTATTTGTATTTTAGGAATTAGACAGCAGCTTCTGGGTGGGTAGCCTTTATTAACTTGCAGGTAGCACCGGTCATGTTTTACATGAATTAAACTGCATACAGCTCTGTGTTTTGAATGTGAGCAGTTGCCACACAAGTCACGTAGGAGAAGCATGGTGTGTCACTGAGTATTACCACAATAAAAAAATTACACTTAACCTCCTTCTAAGCAGGGACCCTAAACTTGTAAATATAAGACATAATAGGATAATTATCTAATACCAGAGAGACTATATCTATGCTTAATTAGACTTATTCGACTTGTGCGCAAATCCTTTTCAGCTGCAACAAATTAAATTCCTGTTAATCTGCTCCAGAACGAATTGATCAGTCTGGGATATAACTCTGGAGTCCAACACTAAATGCTGGATGGATTAATTTGTTTGGGCACAGATTAAAAATGTACCGTATTTTTCGCTCCATAAGACGCACTTTTTTTCCCCTCAAAAGTGAGGGGAAATGTCTGTGCGTCTTATGGAGCGAATGTGAAGAATTACTTACCTGTCTTGGAGCGTGGGCCGGCTTCACAGCGCGCTCCGCGGTCCAGGAACTTCTATTTCAGGTTCCGGTTTCCGGCGGGACTGAAAGGAAGTGTCACTGAGTGTGCACACTTCCTTTCAGTCCCGCCGGAAACCGGAACCTGAAATAGAAGTTCCTGGACCGCGGAGCGCGCTGTGAAGCCGGCCCACGCTCCAAGACAGGTAAGTAATTATGGGACAAGGGGAGGGGGAGACACTATGGGACAAGGGGAATGGGACACTATGGGAGAAAGGGAGGGGAGGAGACACTATGGGACAAGGGGAGGGGGAGACACTATGGGACAAGGGGAGGGGGGAGACACTATGGGACAAGGGGAGGGGGACACTATGGGAGAAAGGGAGGGGGGACACTATGGGACAAGGAGGGGGACACTATGGGACAAGGGGAGGGAGGAGACACTAGGACAAGGAGGGGGACAAGGGGAGGGGAGACACTATGGGACAAGGAGGGGAGGAGACACTCAGGACAAGGGAGGGAGGAGACACTATGGGAGAAAGGGAGGGAGACACTATGGGACAAGGGGGGGGACACTATGGGACAAGGGAGGGGAGACACTATGGGACAAGGGAGGGGAGACACTATGGGACAAGGGGAGGGGGGGACACTATGGGACAAGGGGAGGGGGGACACTATGGGACAAGGGGACACTATGGGGGGAGACACTATGGGAGGGAAAGTGCACTATGGGACAATGGGAGGGGGGGACACTATGGGATCAGAACACTAATGGACAAGGGGAGGAGGGGTTAAAGAACACTATGGGACAGGGTAGGAGGGGTTAACAATCACTATGGGACAGGGTAGGAGGGGTTAACAATCACTATGGGACAGGGTAGGAGGGGTTAACAATCACTATGGGACAGAGGAAAGGGGGGTTAAAGATCATTATGGGACAGGGGAGAAAAAAAAATATTCTGAACAAACTGTCCCATGGTAAGAAACACTATGGAACAGTTTGTTCAGAATATTTTTTTTTCTGGGTTTCCTCCTCTAAAAACTAGGTGCGTCTTATGGTGAGGTGCGTCTTATGGAGCGAAAAATACGGTAATTCTCTACACTAATCAAATTACTGTTAAAGAGGAAATACCTCCCCAATATGGTTTTTTCCCCCTCTTTCAAAATATCTAATTTTATACAGCCAACACAATTACTCAAATCAGCTTATCTTTGTATAATTGTTTGCTGTCTCATATATACAGTCTGTGTCCTGCCACGTCCATATTCCTTAGTAAAGACTAGTATAAAAAATAAATTAGTTTCCACAGTCTAGTGAAAAGTGGTTTACATGCGATTTACTCTGAATGGTACTCTGAATTGTGTTCTCAATTTGAATAAACCCCCATTGTAAAATGAATTGCAAAACTTGTGCAGGGTAGAAACGTTTAGTTTTTTTCAAGTCAAAAAAGGTTGACCAGTGTACTGCAAAATATATACGTAATATAAAAATGCACTACACTGACAGGTGCCTTTCCCTGCATTCCGTTTACAGATCGAAGGAAGAGGAGGAGCAGTAAACATAAATATAGAATGCCTTTACTGCACTTCCTATTTCCCTCTCTATTAACCCCTTAAGGACCAAACTTCTGGAATAAAATGGAATCATGACAAGTCACACATGTCATGTGTCCTTAAGGGGTTAAATGAGCACTATAGGGTCAGGAACACAAACCTGTATTGCTGACAATATAGTGTTAAAACCATTATCTAGCACCTTTGCCTCCCTAAAGATAGTAAAATCTTATTTGTATTCAAGTCTGAAGCTGCTGCCTCTGTCTATGAACTTCCTCTGACCTCAGAATCACAATGCTTCCCCATAGGATTGGCTTAGACTGACAAGGATGCAGATCAGGGGCAGAGCCAGCACGATTCAAACACAGCCCTGGCCAATCCACATCTCCTCATAGAGATGAATTGAATCAATGAATCTCTATGAGGAAAGTTCAGTGTCTGCATGCAGAGGGAGGAGACCATGAACGTTTGGATGCATTTTAGGCAGCCATGACCCAGGAAGGATCTCTAACAGCCAGTGAAGTTATCACTAGGCTGTACTGTAAACCCTGCATTTTCTCAGCAAAAAGCCTGAAGGTAATGATTCTACTCAGCAGAACAAATTCAATAAGCTGTAGTTGTTCTAAAGACTATAGTGTCCCTTTAAAGGTAACTCCTCACTTGATCTGTGAGTAAAATTAACACTTAGTGGCTGTCTCATAGCTGCCATCATCTCCCCGCCTCAATTATTTTCTTTTTGGTGTCACATGCAGATCTTTTTTTTCCTTTCTCATTTGAAAAGAAAACAAAAGGTAATGAGGGGTAAGATACAACTCCAGAACAAATCATATGGTATAGAGCAGCTGTTCCCAAATTGTGTGCAGCAAGATATTTTCCCGGTGCTATGATAAGGGTCCTGGGAACTATGCCTCCCTCTCCCCTGCCGGCTCTGCATACATACACTCACACTCTCTCTACTGCCCCTATCCCTTTCTACAGCCCGTGTCCCGGCAGATCCCAGGTAAGTTGTCAAACTGTTCTTAAGGGCACTACTGTCACTATAACCACTACGAAGTGCTGTAGTGGTTATTGTGCCTGGATTGTTTCTTTACATAATCTACCAGTGCCCCTCCCAAGATTAGGTTCTGGATCTGCGCTTGAACGGCAAGCATTTCTGCCGAACAGGGGCCCAGTAAATATTGCTGCAATGTACGTATATACACAACCTAAATTTTTTTTTTTTGACTTGGGGCATTAAAGGGCGCCTTGACCCTAAAAAGTTTGGGAACCTCTGCTGAAGCGTAACATTTATGTACATAGGTCTATCATTGTAACAGTAAACATTTATTGTAGGGATGTAATGCAAGTCTGTCACACAGGAGATTGAATTCATGGTGGCGACATCTATGTGTAATTTAGGAAGGGGTGGGGTATAGAATGGAAAAGAAGGAACCAAGACGTTAGTAATAACAGATTGCCTTTGACTAAGCAAAAACTGTTACTACATGCGGAACTTAAAAGACCACATTTAATGAACATTATTTGCTGTTACACGTCCTGGCAATTTGTCCAAAACCAAATTAACAAGTCCACTAAACAGTGATTAAAAAAAAAAAAAAAAAAATGAAATACAAATTGTAACCAAAAATAACTGATTTAGAAAAATTCTCCAACCCAATGATTGCTACATCGACTACTTTCACCTGGAATTTTTATTAGATCAACTAATTTGGGCTGGCTTTGTATTTTGCAACAATAGAGAGTTTATTAGATAAACACAACTTTACAATATGATCTTGTCAAAACATACAGCATTCATTTTCTCATTCATATAAATTTTTAAGTGATCTTTTCTAAATAGTATTGGTCAGACTTCACCAAGTTAAAAAAAAAAAAAAGTCTGTCAATTTCATCAAAGCACATGTCACAATCTCCCGGCGAGATTCAGAAGTGACTTAAAGCCACTCAGCAGGTTACTTCGGGAGATTGGCCACGAGCAGATCAAAGATTTGGTTTCTCCAAAGTGACGTGGCCTTTGAAGGGCACTTGTTGGAAACCCTCTCGATGCCATATAAGCAAAACAATTGGAGTGGGTACTAAGAAAGAAATTCATTTTCCCAACACAGATATATACATACATGGTTACGTAATAGTGGAAACTAAATGAAAAGGCCATAAAAGAACATGATGTAGGGAAAACAAAGCCTATTACAGCAGCTAAATAACTTGAGTAAGGATTCAATGCATGCTGCTAGAATGCAGGCCAACACTCTGCTCATTTAAGGGAGAGTCCCAAGAACAAGCAAACTTCCTGTCCTTAACAGAAAACTTCAGCATTACCTATAGGTAAGGTAAGGAGGAGACACTTGGATGTCCGTATACCCAGCTGTCTTATATGGAAGCAGAAGAGCAGGGCACAGGACATGCCAATCAATATTCCTATAGCCCTTTTCCAATACAACAGCTGAAGAATAGACAGAACAATGTGCAGTAATACATTGCAGATAATTTAAATCCAGATGGTACAATTTAAACTTTAAAAAACAAATCGGGGCGGAGCCTGACCTGCAAGCAGCCATCTCCTGCGATCTGCGCTGGTCAAACGTTGATACCCCGAATCACAGAGCAGGAAACCCCAATCAGAGGTGCGCTGTACTTAGGGAACACCTTACCAATTCTATAGATACCTGACTCGGGACCTGTATTTGCCAGGAACCGTGGCAGCAAGTTGCTGCCTTCAAAAGGCAGAGCAGAGAAAAGGCGGCCGATTTACTCACTCCACTTTCAGAAGCACGATACCAAGACTCTCCTACCCACCCACCCCATCTGAACCGGCGGGGGTTATCCCAGTCCCCCTTCCCACTCACTGACCTATCCATATATCCTGGCTTTGGGCGCCCACTCAATCTGCCTGTCTATCAACAGCCACACTCTCCAAGATGGCGGGTGTCGGAGTTCCTGAGGAGCAGGACCAGAAAGGGGGCAAGAGAAGCTCAGCAAAACTACACTGAAAGTGCCTTATCATGCTTGGATGAGATTTTTAGGCGCTTCTGGGCAGCATTACAAGAAAGAGCAGCGGCATCACTAACTCAGAAGCCAGTGTATGTGCAGGGAAACAAACCATAGAATGCTGGGGGGCCCATATCAGGCAGAGATCCTCCACCAGGGCTGGATTCTTGCACCAACGACACAGTCCATGAAAGCGGAAGACAGCTACCAGCAACGACAAATGACAAGCGGAAGCTTCTGCTATCCCCAGATGGGGAAGGACTCTTTAGCTGAGGTTCTAACTAGGATGAATAAATGTTTGACTCGCTGATTATCAGCCCAAGTCTACTTTATAAAAAAAAATATTTTTTTTTAAATGTGCCATTATTCCTTATGCCATGCTAATGTATACTATGCCTGTTATCGTTGTACTTGTTGAATCTGTTGTGGCTCTGCAAGCTTGCTTGTACATCTTATGCACATCAAAAAAAAAGAAGCCAAATCAGCCTGTAACGGAACTCCCCGTAATGGACACTTCCTAGCTTGCGCCGAGGACCACAAGCACCACACCGGACACCACAACCACCGCAGACTCCACAACTGCTGTAGCTTAACTGGAGTCTCACCATCTTCTGTACACCCTGGATCAGCTTCTGTCCTCCAGGACCGTGTGGGGAAGACCTCTCCTCCAGGAGAGTGTATCAGGAACAAGCTCTTAAAAGAGAAGTGATTAAAGCTCAAGGGAGTATGCAGAGCATAGCAATCTCCAGTTTGAGTATAGCTGTCCCCTCCAATCACGAGACAAGACTACGTGTTGAGGGTCAAGAAGATCTGTTTAATTGGCACCAAAGGGCTTTTTTATGCAGGTTTCACACAGATAGTACCGCCCACAGGGTTTTTAAGAACACCCAATCAAACACGTATAATAATATAAAACACTCCCATTCATTCCCACAAAATCCTCCCCTCTGCCTGTGATATAATTACTGTACACAACTGGTTAAAGTAATTATCACAGGCAGGAAAAATACACTTTTTACACATATACTATAACTTTAAAAATATACATTCAATCTTCATAAAAGTTACATATTCATACTCTGCACACTTTAATTACACACACATCCAAAATTCAGCCAATTCCTTCCAAGGGTTAAAAAGTTAGCTGGAAGTCCTTTATGACCGACCGCAAGCACACTTTCATGCCCAAAACAGTTCCATAGATTTGGGCTGTGCAGTTGGTCAATTTCAGGCAGAAAAATGACTAAGTCCCATCGTCGAACTGGACTTAGTTTCTGCGGCTGCAAACTCAGTGGAGGAGAAGGTAAAGGTCAGCGGTGTTCGTTGAAATGTGTAGCCGATTTCAGTTCCATGGATTTGGCTACACACACCGCTGACCGCGTTCGGCAGAATAAAGATGGCTGCCGCCACGTGTTCGTTTGTACGAACGGCGGCCACACAGCGGTCGGCAATTTACCTACAGCAGGCTCCCAGCCTGGGAGGTAAATTGCCCACAGGCTTCCACTTCTGGGTGGTCCGCCTGTGTAATACTTGGTTCAGTAAGCCCCATTTACTGAACCAAGTGGGAGAAAGCCAGGAACACAGTATATTAAAGGTTTAGGGACACCATCTTAAAGGGGCATTGTCCCCAACAAGTCTGGGCACACCGGCTGAAAGAGGCATTGGTCCAATTTCCACCATGTCCCAAAAATGTACTTAAAGGGCGAGCACCAGTCCAATGGAAGTCCATAGGCCCCAATAATGTTTTTAAAGGGCCATACACCCACGGGCCATAGTCGCAGGGCAGGAGGCTGGCAAGCAAGCCTCTCCAGGACCAAGTGGCGAAGGGCACTTCGTCACACAGCTATGTTTGCCAAATTTGAAATTTAATTTTCCCCCTTGCAGTGTCAGTCTCAGCTGGAATCATATCAAAAGCATTGGGAGGCTAATGCGCATGCTTGGCAAAACGCAGTGCTGCACCAGTCAGACTGCCATCTGATTAAAATGAGTTTTACTCAGCAATTTCGGCAGAAGTGTCTCTAGTGGAACTAGTGTCTCTTTGTGACAACCGTTCTAGGCATTTAAACCATGTAATGAAAACATTTTCTTTCTGCTGAAGGGTCCGAGTGTCTATAGCGAAGCATAAGCAACCTTCAGCACTCCAGATGTTTTGGACTACACCTCCTATGATGCTTTGCCAGCATTATAGGTGTAAAAGAATTAGGGAGGACGTAATCCCTAACATCTGGAGTGCCGAAGGTTGCCTATCCCTGGACTCTATAAAAAGACACTTTGGACCCCTAAAGCACATCAGCAAGCTAATATGAGAAGCTAATATAACAAAAAAAGTTCAGATTTCAATAGAAATTAGCACTTTTATAAATTAAATGAACACTTCAGGGTCAGGAACACAAATGTATTTCTAACCCTTTAAGTGGAGCGCTGTATAAAAACACTCACCCTTAATATAGGGGTATAAATGCATCCAATAGAAATATATGTGAAAAAAATGGAGAGAAAAATTCCAATGGTGAAGCAATCTCTGCGTTTTCATTTGAGTATACGAGGAAATAAAAAAGAAGAGGTAGGGTGTCACCGTAATGCACCAAAGTGGTCATGGTTTGAGCCAGTCCTACACTTGGCTCTTCGCTTGTAAAGTTTGTTCTTTATACATTTTTGTATAAGCTATACAGTATCTAACATACTTCACCATTAAATTATTTTCTCTCCATTTTTTACATATATTTCTATTGGATTCATTGATACCCATATTTTAAGGGTGAGTTTTTATACAGCGTTTCACTTAAGGGATTAATGGTGGATGTCTCCTTTTAATTCCCTTTTTCCTATATAATGCTTGAATACCTGGTGGATTGGAGAGGTCACCACGAGAGTGTTGTAGCGGCTGATAGATTGGCATTTAAATTATTTGTATTTTAAGCACCTATATGTATGCACAGAGCACTTTTTGTTTTCCTTACCCAATAGTGTTAAAACCACTGTCTAGCCCCCTGGTCACCTCTTTCCCCCCTAAATATAGTAAAATCTTACTTTTGTTCAAGTCTGCAGCTGCTGGCTCTGCATCCGATCTGCCAATTACGATGTTTTACCATAGGATTGGCTGAGACTGTGAAGCAGGCAGATCAGGGGCAGAGCCAGCACCAGCCAAACACAGCCCTGGCCAAACAGCATCCTAGAGATAAATTGAATCTGCATCTCTATAAGGAAAGTTCAGTTTCTCCATGCAGAGGGTGGAGACAATAAATGACAGTACTGCACAGTGTGCAGCACTGCCGCAGGAAGCATCTCTAGTAGTCATCTGAGGAGTGGCCAGTGAAGGTATCCCCATGCTGCAATGTAAACACTGCATTTTCTCTAAAAAGAAACGGTTTACTGGAAAAAGCTTGAAGGTAATGATTATACAATAAGCTGTAGTTGTTCTGGTGACAATAGGTTCCCTTTAACGTTGTTATACCCTCCTTGCTTTCAGATGACCGGTCCTTTACTTCCTGGTAGTTTAGCTCAGTAGAGAAACTCAACAGGCAGCAATTGCCCAGAGCCTTCTCATTAAGCTGCATTTGAAAGTCTATGATTTGACAGCCACAGAAAGTTTGGGAGGGGTTAGAAAGCTGGAGACAAGATATCTACAAATTTTATAAGCTGTTTTAACATATACCCCATGACAAAATGTGTATATTTAAACAGTGATTTTCCATAATTTTGTATTTGGGCCGTAGAGTGTCCTTCTAAGCAGTGGTTTACTAATGTATTTTCATGAATGAAAATGCTGCATGTACATGTAAAGAGTGCCCCACACTTCTACTGAGGATAACAAGATTGGCTGAAAGATTCACAGCTACTTCCCAGTCTTTTCAAGTAGGTAGTCCTGAAGATTTGCAGAAAACATAGGGACCTCAAAAGATATCCTATATTCTTAAATATAGTCTGCATTTTAATGTACCTTTATTATGTGTCATATTTTGTGAGGCTGGATTTGGTCACTTGATTTTTTCAATACCTAAATCCAAACAATATAAATTTAACTTGATTAGCAAAGCCAGCTATGATGCCAGTATCATACTGATCTTTGGAAGTGGCACTGTTATGAAACATGATGAAGACGCAATGTGCATTTTGGAATGCCTTGCTCTATATACTGTTATATGCTGTTTATCATTCAGGGTTCGTAATGATCTCTCAATTTCTGTTTTTGGACAAGCTGTATGTTTTCAGACTTTTGGACACCACAATCCTATCTGCAACTGATTATGGTAAATTACTCAGAACTAATCATTTGCACATGGCCAGGGAGCAGACTTAAGCCGAGGAGAAAAGGAGCTGACAAAATGAAATGATTTAAATGGGCCAAACCCTGGGGTATTTGTATAACAATATATCTGTGATTGAGTACAAAGCACATACAAATTAGCATATTGGGAATAACTTATGTTTGTTGTGTTGCTGTGGAAAAGCCAAGTGACTTATCCTCTTGCTATATCAATAGTAAGACCAGTGTTCTGTATAGAACGAAAAATAAAACCTCCCACAATGCTTTGCTAGCCTACAGACTGAATGAAGGCTTGTACTTACTTAAATCTGCTTGACCTGTGCATTCTTAAATGACCGATTGGCTGAAATCTCTATCTCTGAAGGGCCGTGCGGACGTATAACCCAGCAAACAACTCATGTGATGAGAGAACATGTTCATTTGATTTGGTATTCGGGGTTCTGTCCATGGCCATAGAAAAAAAAAAAAATATGGCTACGGTACAGCCACTAAATGATTAATTTTATTGACAGATCAAGTGAGGAGTAACTAACAAAGGCAGAAAAAGTTGGAGCAGTAAAAATTAAAAATAAATCTATATGTAATAAATGTAGAATGTATAAATAGATTTTTTTTTTTCTGCTCTTTTTTCCCCCTCTCCTGGGTTACTTTTTCCTCACTTGATCTGTGAATCAGATACCTTAGGGTAATGCAAAATATATACATAATAGTTATATTATGCATATGTTTTGTAGTACACTGGTTGGCCTGTTTTCTTGCCCTATTATTTGGTCCAAATGTTTCCCTGAATATTTTTCATGAACGATGTTAGACCAAGATGAACTGCTACATGAATGACTGTTGCAGACCCAAACACAATTTGTATTACGGGATAAATTAATTGGTTGAAACAAGCAATACTGCCGTGCCCAAATTTACAAGCTACTTATTTACCACCTCTGCTTTCTGATGTGAAACTAAGTGATAGGCAGTCACAACGTGAGACCGTTGTACTATAATAAATGGTTGCATTATGTATGTGACTCTCTGGACAGTAGACCCCCTCGCAGCAATTAGCCATGGCTCTTAAAACATTTTGACTGCGAATGACTAACAATTTGTCATGGAAAGAAACTATGTGTGTGAACACCCACCACAGTGTAATAAGTGCTTAATTTATATCAACAGAAAGGAACTTTCCTGTATAGGATAAGATTTCCAATAGTATCCCAAAAGACTTCCTCTTGTCTTCCACACAACACAAGCAAAAAAAGGGGATGATCTGCTGAACCAATCATAAATAAAACAACATAGCGTATAACTGTGTATGATGACAAATTGTAGAAGTTATATTCACAAATGGCCACTCACACTTTTGCTGAAGTTTGCAAGCCTTGAATATTTTATGATGACAAATTGTAGAAGTTATATTCACAAATGGCCACTCACACTTTTTATTCAAGGCTTGCAAACTTCAGCAAAAGTGTGAGTGGCCATTTGTGAATATAACTTCTACAATTTGTCATCATACACAGTTATATGCTATGTTTTATTTATGATTGGTTCAGCAGATCATCCCCCTTTTTTTGCTAACAATTTGTCATACAGACAGCCCTGACTTATGATTGTATGCATTTAAGGATTTTTTTTTTTTGTGTTAGGCTACTTTCCTAAAATTGAACCCTTCTAAAACCAACGACAGCTGCAAAGCTGGAGGTAAGACCGGATATTACTATTTGGCATTATGTTTAGCCTACCAGAAGGATGATGGTCATTTATTATACATCAAAGTCACTCAGTTATGTCGATTATTTGCCGAAAGACTTCCCAGAACCTTACCATATGTTAAGAAGCAGCTAAAGCATTGATTGCACGCAATCCACATTTACCAAACTGATTACTATAACATCCTTCTCGCCATTCTGCTCATTCAGCAATATATTCTTGGAGAAACAGTTAGACATTTCGGTTATGTACCCAGTTTGCCTCACCAAGAGAGCCATGAGGTAAGAGCTCTAGGAAATATTTAGCAAAACTATTCAAATTGCAAAATGATTCAGCTTAGCTATTTGGCCCTAACGTTTTATACTTGACCTAACTTGCCTGTTGCAGCAGTTTCACATAGAGCAATCACAGCAGCTGGCAAGTTAGGTTGAGCAGCAGTTGGTCAGTTAACAGTACAATCTGATGGTACAAAGAAAGCTAAATTTTAATTGTCATCATTTTAAAAAAAATGTTTTAATACATATATCACCTATCAATGTGTTTCATTAAAGGGACACTATAGTCACCAAAACAACTTTAGCTTAATTAAGCAATTTTGGTGTATAGATCATACCTCTCCAGTCTCACTGCTCAAAACTCTGCCATTTAGGGGTTAAATTGCTTTGTTTATGCAGCCCTAGTCACATCTCCTTGCATGTGACACAGCCTTCCAAACACTTCCTGTAAAGAGTCTGTTTACACTTCCTGTATTGAAAATACGGTTTAATTTAGAATTTCTTATTTCCTGCTCTTTTAATAGCATTCTAGACCTAGCAAGAGCCTCCTGCGTATAAATTAAGTTTAATTTACAGAGCAGGAGATAAAAACTTTTAAAGTCAGCTAAATCTGATTGAAAGTGAAACCATTTATTTTCATGCAGGCTGTGTGAGCCACAGCCAGAGGAGATGTGCCTAGGGCTGCATAAACAGAAACAAAAGTGATTTAACTCATAAATGGCAGGTGTTTAAGCAGTGAAACTGCAGGGGCATGATCTATACACCAAAACAGCTTCATTAAGCTAAAGTTACTTTGGTGACTATAGCATTCCTTTAAATGTAATTAACGTTAAACATACAGGAACTGAAAAGTTCCACGAGACTAAAATAACAAACCTTTACAAGTTATACCTTTATAAGCTAATGAAAATGATATTTAGCAAATTCCAAATTCCTTTATCTGGAAATCTATTCATAAACAGGGCTTATCTATTCATAAAGCAAAGAAAATGTTTTTTTACAGTAAGAGCAATAAGGATATGGACTTCCCTGCCTGAAGAGGTGGTTTTGTCAGAGTCAGTACAGATGTTTAAACTGCAATTGGATAAATACTTTCAAAAACATAACATACAGGGATATAATTTCTAATTAGTGGGGTAATAGCTGCTTGATCCAAGGAGACATCTGACTGCTATTTTGGGGTCAAGAAGGAATTTTTTCCTAGTTTGTGGCAAAATTGGAAGCGCTTCAGACTAGGTTTTTTGCCTTCTTTTGGATCAACAGCAACAACATATGTGAGGAAGGCTGAACTTGATGGGCACAAGTCTCTTTTCAGCTATGTAACTGTGTAAGTTGCAAAATACCTTTATTGGGTAATGAAAAATATATACATTTTTCAAATGTTATTCTCATTTAGTTAACTGGCTAACACGGTATCAATAAAAATTATTTACATTCTTGTTTTCATTAAATTGAACTTTAATTAAGAAACATTAATCTAAAGTCACCAGCACATGCATAATTAACATACTATAAAGGTGATACAGCCTCTCGGGTGGAGAGAACATTCTTCACAAACCTCCAGACTACTTCTAGTGATTAAACCTATAGAAAATGTATAGCTCGGTTTCTTATTTCCCACTAATTACTGTAATTAAACTTCTTGGCAGTCAGTAATTGCAACATAGCCTTTTGAATTATGAAGGATTTATTTGAAAAACATTAAAAGTTTATCATTTCTGCTTGTTTGGTTCAAAGTTTTTTTTCTAAACAAGTATCCTTAACTGTCCTCTCATCTTAATATCATACATTGATGGAATATTTGCAAATTGCTTATCTCATTGTTTCTGTAAATAAACATCTGTATCATTTTGCTGAGGCAGGGTTGTGGTAATGTTAAGACTTGTAATGTTAATGTAGAGGTATGTATGTAATAGGTTACATATTGTAGAATAGGTAGATAAATCAATTTAAGGTTTCATGATGCACATTTTCCTAGGCTGTTTGTGACTCAAAGATTTTAGACTACTCAGAGTCAGTCCAGCTCTATCAGATTAGCAATTCCAATCCATCTCTTTTAAAGGGACACTGTAGTCACTATAACCATTATATCTAATTGAATTGGCAATAGTGCCTGGAGTTCCCCTGGTGCTGTCCACTGATTCAGTGTTAAACCATTTTCAAGCAGTTTGACACTGAATGAGGATCCCACAGCCCTGCCCTCATTTGAAGTGTGGCTAAGGCAGAGATTACACACTTCTTTGTATCAATACCTATATATATCTGCAATAGCACTGTGACAGGCTAAATGCAGTCAGCTGACACTCTCAGCCAATCACAACCACCCATTACAGCTCAGGTTGTCTCCTCATTAGCCCAAACAGCTCAGAAGGGATTGGATGCGGGAGACTCTTGTTTAGCATTAAAACATCAAAAACAGTTTAATGCCAAATTGAAGACACTATAATTATAACCACTTCAATGAGCAGTGGTATAGTCCTTTTACGAGACAATGTGAGCACCATAAACATCTATGCTCCAGGTACAGGTTACAAAACAATAAGGCACCCTATCACTTTGTCCCTGCCTTTGGTTACTGCTTATACAAGTTCTTCCACAGAGTATGAAGCTATTTAGTCATTTAATGAATATAGTTTGTTTATTGGGTTTGCATAGGACCCAAATAATAACATGACCAGGGCAGATATTGGCAAAGATATATCCTTCCTGTTACATCTTCTGATATGGAGAAAGCGAAGATCTCCAAACAGAAGAAATTGGGAAATGAGTATAACGTTTCAATTTTTTTTCTGCATTGTTAATGCACATACACCATAATGGATGGGCTTCATCTCCATCCTGGAGAGTATCTTTAATATGTGAGTACGGCTGTTTATATGGCATGGCATGTACAGTAAAAATTAACGAGTCCAAGAAAATGTCCTGAAGACACTCTGCCACCTTATCCAGCACAAATAGCGAGAAGTACACGTTTGTGGGCACTTGGAAACAGCTAACTTCATATATGGTTCTTTTTGGTATACGGGATCATGCAACTCACACAGGGAATCATTACCCATAATGAAAGGACCT